AAGCAATTCTTGGATGCATGAGCTCAATCTATTTGCATGCTCGACAACAGCTAAAAAGGTTTCCACTAATGATTGGTTATTTGGATGTTTATTTCATCAACCTAAATATAGTTAAACCAAAAACTGAAAAAAAAAAACAAAAAAAAAAAGTGATTGAGGTTTCAACCTAGTAGTAAGATTATCGTGAATCTCTGAAAAGTTATGCGTATCGAATTCATCTGGGGTAGGAAGGGGAGCTTCCCGCACATTTATAAAAGTGCGTCGCATAGGGATAGAATTAGCTAAATCAAGTTGTTTTTTTTAGGTTATTTAATTTTTTTCAATTCGCTTGAATTATTTAATTATTAATTTTCATGTTTACTTTAGCTCGAATTTTTCTTCTTCATTTCTTAAATTTTTTAAAAATTTTATAATCTAGAAGATAAAATACAAAAGTTAATTAATTTTTAAAATTTAGAAATTATATTATCAATATATACAAGTTAGGAAATATAAGAAGAAGAATTACAAAATAATAATAATAATAATTTTCTTAAAAGAATAAAAATTAAAAAATAATAAAATGATAAAAATACTCATGAACCAAAAGCATGTGAAAAATGAATTTTTGTCACTATATAATGGCTAAAGTTAACAGAATGATCTTGGGTGAATTTTTTTCTTAGTAGGGTAACCAGTTATACAAATAAATTTAATTGATGACCTGTATTAGAATTACTTTATAGTTTAATAATACGTTTTGAGGTTGACTCAAAAAGTTAAACCAAAAGAAATATTGTGAAAAAATTACACAATGGTTTATTCTTAAACTGTCCTTATTGTATGTTAGTACGATGGTTTATTCTCTATAACTATAATATTATCTCAATGGTTTATTCTGTATAATTATAATATTATCTCTTAATTTGGATTTAGACATGAATATCGAGAACTTGATATAGAAGTCAACAAAATTTATAGTTTTTTTTTTGAGTTAACAAAATTTATAGTTAGTTCAAGAACATCTTTTTAATCAATGATATCTTTTTTTTTTTGAGTTAACAAAATTTATAGTTAGTTCAAGAACATCTTTTTAATCAATGATATCTTTGCTAATATATAGGCTGTCAAGAAAGTCGACGTAGTAATTATTAGTAGATTTAGATTATATTGCAATCCACTAATTTTAACTGTTTGAATAAAAAACAGTCACGTCAATTTGACATGATATACTCCATACTTTTGTCGATTAACTCCTATTTCACAAACATATAATATGCATAGAAACTAGTATTTTCGATCAAGCCATCAAGGTAATCTATTAAATGCCAACTGAAAAAGGAGGCATGCCAAACAATTGCTTTAATCTGTCATTAAATATGAATGGTTACGTTAAAATAGATAGAGGAACTACTCAAACAAAATCCCGACAGCTTATTAATAATACGGTTTGATTAAAAATTAAATAATGAAAAGACTGAGGCATCTCAGCAATTTAATTAGCAATTTGTATCTCTATTATGCAAATCACAAGTGGCATTCTTTGTCTTTGCTTTGTCATTGTACCCATCCACCAGACCCGACCGAGGTCAGGCATCAGGGTTCACAAATTACAACATTCTTCAGGACAAACATTATTATTATTGTATTTACTGACGAGATTATATTCTTCCCAGTAGTTTGTTCTTATTATTAATTAATCTCTTATTCTCTTAAACAGCGTTCTTTATCTTTAATTTCAAACTATACACAATCATGATTTTTTTGTTATTCTAAAGTAACAAAAGTATTAGTGCGTTTTTAATTTTGGAGAAGAAATTGTTTAGTAGCAAGACTATTGTGCAGGTGAGACGTACGAAAGGAGTTAGAAGGTATGTCAACTTTGAAAATTAATTTCGAAAAGTTCATTGAAAGTATTATGTGGGATCAAAGTTGCTTCGAGTATGATGTACTATATCCGAAATGCATACATCGATCGATCAGCTTTCAATTTCAGAAAATCTAGCCACTACGTTCTTATAAAAATTGACAGCAGTTTCGAAAATGACTAGTTAGAGAGCTTTTTGTTTCTTTTCTTTTTTTAAAAAAATTATGTTTAAGGTTAAAAAAAAAAAAAGAAGCCATAGTTCTTTTTTTTTTCTCTTGATATATTAGTGAAGGAGACAGTAATTTTTTATTTTATTTTTTTAAAAAAACACCCAATGGATGTTACCGTTAAAAACGATCTATTTCCGAGTTTCTAAATGGCCTGACTTATGACTATACTAGAATTTTGCAATTCACATTCTCTTAAAAAAAAAAAAAAGAAATAGTTAAAGTTTTTGGTGGTCTTTGAATTTCTAAGTGTATCGTATTAAAAGTAAAAAAAATTAAACTGAAAGGGAGCAGAATGGTAGTGGCAGTTGACAAAGAAGGGTTAAAGTCTTTGAAAAAAGAAAGATTAAGAGTGTAATTAGGTGAGGAGGACCAAGGAATCGTTCTTGAAAGGGATGTTCAATGTTGAAATACCCTATAAACTTGTTGTATAGGAAGGCGCACAAATGTACTTCTTGGGTTAGTAATCAGTTTTAGCTGATGGTCGCAATTGAGGTCAAGAGGGAAAAAAAAAAATGTATAGTAATTGACATTGCCTTTGAATCCTGGATTTTATACAATTTATTTGTTCCCAGATAACATGGAAGAACTATATTCACCTGGTTTGACATTATCAATATCTCAAAAGAGGTCCTCTTTAAATTTAAAAAGACTTCAGTCTTCAATTACTCACACAATAATAATAATAGCCAAATGAAAAACTAATTGTAATCTTCTCTTCTTTTGCTCAAAAAAAAAAAAAAAATGTTGTTAGAAAGGATTTGTATGATATTGTACGTTCACATGTAAAACGGATGGTCAAATTGTTTTACTGTACTTTGAATCCGGTTTGCTAAAAATAGATAAAATTCATAAAAGAACCGCATTGGGCAAAGGCTGTACGAGTGTAAGCCTGTAAGGCTGTAACACACCACAGCCTACAGGTTAATCCGACGACTTTTGATCTTTTTCCTCACTTCCCCAAAGAGATTAATTACTTAAGAATAAAAGTTACCATGCTCTGTTTCTTAAATGGCCCAAATTTGGTTAGGAAAATGTTATCAGGAATCACCTGAAATTGTAATCATATAGACGAAAAAATGAGGTTCATTTTGAAACAGTGTGACAGAGTTTTAAAATAATTTTAATGCAAATTAATTAATTAATTCAGTGTGACTGAACTCTGAAGTAGCCACTGTTTACTTTGACTTGTATTGAATCTTGGCAGGACCCTTTTTTACTGTTTGTATGGCTTCCTATTCCTATCCTTTATTTGTCTCTCATGTCTCTCAGCTGACTGTCGTACACAAGTCAGCCACGCACATTATATATACGTACAAGAATTATTATATATAGATTTTGAACAATGCTGACCACCTACCCTATAAAGAAGCCTAGAGCCCAAATATTCTACTGTACAAATTACCTGAATCAAACATGGTCCGTGTTTAATTATATCTGCTTGTTACAGAAAAAACAAATGCTTAGTTTAATTCATATTTTTTTAAAAAAATGAAAAACGAACTGACTTTGTTTTTACTCTTTTTTTAAAATCTAAAGGTGTTACATGTGAGGAGCGGTAAATAAATAGGCGAGACTCTGTGCTGCCGACGTCTCTTTCTCAAACGTTGAACAAAGTTATTTTAACAAAAAAAAAGACACTTTTACTCCTTTAAGAAAAATAGGAACATTTTTACAAGGAGTGAACGTTCAATATATCCATATATGCATTAATTAACACTCAATTTGAAAAGATTCAATACAAATGTAGAATAAAATAATACACGTGAATTAGTAAAGTAGACAGTATGGTAACGTTGTACTCTTTTGATCCGGTAAAAATAATTTACTCTGTAATAATTTGTGAATTCTACTAACATAAGATAATGTAGATATACTTTGTAACAAATTTGTACATCTAACTTCTTCGTAATACAAACTACAAGTATTTTTTTCAAAATAAAATAAGTAACAGTAGAAGGTATGGATAATTTGTTTTAGTAGATCGAAATGATGAGCACAAAATAGTTCTAAAATAGTGAAATAAAGGCAAGCTACTATGTAGGATTGCTGAGTGATTAGAGCTCCAATAGTTAAATAGTCTAAAACAGAAGAAGGGAAATCCTGAGTTACAGATTCTTTTCCCAGAGCTCCAACTTCCAAGGATACTTGTGTGATTCACACGTGCTAAATCCCATTTGAAAATGACATTGTTTGGTCAATAATCAAAGGGAACCGTCAATGACAAAGGTCTGTCTTGATCTTATATCATGTCTAGCTTACATTGTTATTTTTTATGTATAGAGTTTCTTTTTTAATACAAAAAAATATATTAAAAATAAAATTTTTAAATAGATAATTAGTTTGAGAAAATGGGAGATTTTTATTTTTCCCATTTGTTAAGAAATTTCACAGACGTCTAAATAGATTTCATTGATTCGGCGTCCCGCAGGCCGCAACCTCTCTATATTTCCCCTCGGTAAATCAGGCCACCAGAGCTAGTATTATGTTATTTCATTTCAATAATACTAGTATGTAGTGTATGAAAACCAAAAGTTATATCCAAAACCCGTGAATCCATTTCAATAATCACATTTAGGCTTTCATTCCCCTTAGATTAAAATAAATGTACATTATTTTCAATAGGACAAACTAAAAAAATAAAATAAAAATGAAACAGACCCTTCTTTTACTGTGTATGAATATTTATTCCATAAACCTTTTTGAATTTAAATTTGAAAAGAAACAGAGCTCCGATATACCTCCGTTGTTGTCTTGCAGGCTCGGAATGAAGAAGTTATAGGGCAGATATCCATTTGATCTATTGAGCATGTTAATTTCTCCAACAATTATGATATTCTATAAATAAATGATAACTCAACTCATTTTTATTTTTTATGATCATTCAAACAGTCATATCTGATTACTGTAATGGTTTTCTTACAATTCTTAAAGATGAAGATTGTACATTTCAAGCAAAAATCTCATTATCGATCAAATTGAAAATCTGGTTTTCTATGCTTACATCTCCAATGCTGTGTTTATCACATGCATGTTTTGCACCAAAGTTAAAAAAGAATCTGAAGTCATAATTGCAGCATGTTTTCGAAAATTGGAAAAGGCGTCAATGTTTTGTTATTTCTACTAGTTCCTTCTTTGGTGAAAAAATAATGGAAACCAAAATCATGAAATATGAACACACACACACACACACAATCACTCACTGAAATAGAAGAGCACACTCTGTCCCCCTGAGGCTTCATCTTCTTCTCTCTCTCTTTCTGTGCTCTCAAATCCATCTTTTTTGAATTGAGCTATATAAGCAAGCCCATAAACAAACAAACTTCCAGGTCTTCCATCCCACATGAAAAATGTCTATATCAGTTCCTTTTTAGTTCTTACTCCCTCTCTACTTCTTCCTTCCTCCTCCTAGTACCAAAAAAGCTGCTTTCTTTCTTTCTTTCCAACTTCCCTTCATCTCTCATCATTCTGAAACAAAAAGAAACCTTCACTTCATTGCTAATAATCCATCCAACTCAAAAATTACTTTTGAAGGGGGAAAAAATGATTCTTCAGATTGCTGTAGTGGTTCTAGCAATGTTCCCATTCAGTTTCTGTCTGAATCAGGAAGGGGAGATTCTTCAGAAAGTTAAGCTCAACTTCGACGACCCGGACGGTTTCTTTTCCGATTGGACTGACCGGGCTGATACGCCTTGCAAGTGGAAGGGCGTTACTTGTGACCTTCAATCCCGTTCCGTTACTTCTCTTGACCTCTCAAGTGCAAATCTCGCCGGCCCTTTTCCGGCCTCCTTACTCTGCCGCATGCGGAACTTGACTTATGTTTCATTCTACAACAATTTCGTGAACTCCACCTTGCCGGAGGCGGACCTCATTGCCTGCAATTCCTTGGTTCATCTCGACTTAGCCCAAAACCTTCTAACTGGGACGCTTCCCACTTCCGTTGCAGAGCTTCCAAACCTCAAGTACCTCGATTTGACTGGAAATAACTTTTCCGGCAAGATTCCGGCAATCTATGGGACTTTCCGGCAACTTGAGGTTCTGGGCTTAGTCGAGAATTTGCTCGAGGGAACAATCCCGGCATTTTTGGGCAACATCTCGAGCTTAAAGCAGCTGAACTTGTCGTACAACCCGTTTACACCGGGTCGGATCCCGCCGGAGCTGGGTAACCTGACGAATCTGGAGACTCTTTGGCTCACCCAATGTAACTTGAATGGAGAAATCCCTGAGTCACTGGGTCGATTGACAAGATTGGCCGATTTGGACTTGGCTATGAACTATCTGGAAGGACCCATTCCGGGCATACTCACGGAGTTAACTAGCATAGTCCAGATAGAGCTGTATAACAACTCGTTGACCGGGGAGTTGCCGGCCACCGGCTGGTCGAAAATGACGGCGTTAAGAAGAATTGATGCTTCTATGAATCAGCTGACTGGAACGATCCCATCTGAGCTGTGTGACCTGCCGCTTGAGTCTCTCAACTTGTACGAGAATTCTCTGGAAGGCGAATTGCCGGAAAGCATAGCTAACTCTCCGAATTTGTATGAGTTGAGGCTTTTCGAGAACAATTTGAGTGGAAAACTGCCAAAGGAATTAGGTAAAAACTCACCTCTAATATGGATTGATGTGTCAACTAACAAGTTTTCTGGTGAAATCCCTCCAAATTTGTGCGGAAAAGGGGTTTTGAAGGAGGCTTTGATGATTAACAACTCATTTTCCGGCGAAATCCCTGCGAGCCTTGGTGAATGCCGGAGTTTGAATCGGGTCAGGCTGGCCGACAACAAATTAACTGGCCCTGTGCCGGATGCGCTGTGGGGGCTCCCTCATGTGTCATTGCTGGACCTCAAAGGCAATTCCTTGTCTGGTGGAATTGCCAAGACTATCGCCGGTGCTTCAAATTTGACATCTTTGATTTTGTCAAGTAACAAATTCACTGGCAGTATCCCGGACGAACTGGGACTTCTGGATAATCTCTTGGAATTTTCTGGGAATGATAATGTGTTTCTTGGTCCTTTGCCTGGGAGCATTGTAAATCTCGGGCAATTAGGGAAGCTTGATCTTCATGATAATGGTTTGTCCGGTGAGCTGCCGAAAGGGATTCATTCTTGGAGGAAGTTGAATGAGTTGAATTTAGCCAACAATGATCTGTCCGGGAATATTCCTAAAGAAATTGGGGATTTATCTGTCCTGAATTATCTCGACTTATCAGGAAATCGATTCTCTGGGAAGATACCTAGTGAGCTCCAGAATTTAAAGCTCAATCAGCTCAATCTCTCAAATAATAGGCTTTCTGGGGATATTCCTCCACTTTATGCTAAAGTCATGTACAAGAACAGTTTCTTGGGCAATCCTGGATTGTGCGGTGACATAGAGGGTCTCTGTGATGGAAGAAATGAAGCCAACAAGGGTTATGCTTGGGTGTTGAGGCTGATTTTCGTTGCGGCAGTGCTGGTATTCATTGTTGGTGTGGCCTGGTTCTACCGAAAGTACACCAGTTTCAGAAAGGTGAAAATGGCGATTGACAAGTCGAAATGGACTTTGATGTCGTTTCACAAATTGGGTTTTAGCGAATATGAGATATTGAATGCTCTGGATGAGGATAACGTGATTGGAAGCGGTGCCTCTGGAAAGGTTTACAAGGTTGTGCTCAGCAATGGAGAAGCTGTTGCCGTGAAAAAGCTCTGGGGATGTTCAAAACTTGCGGATGATGAGAGTACTACTACTCAGAGTAGTGACATTGAGAAAGGTAGTAATTTCCAGGACGGATTTGCTGCAGAGGTGGAGACACTGGGTAAAATTAGGCACAAAAACATTGTGAAACTTTGGTGCTGTTGTACTGCGAGGGATTGTAAGCTCCTGGTTTATGAGTACATGCCTAATGGCAGCTTAGGTGATTTGCTCCACAGCAACAAAAGTGGCTTGCTGGATTGGGCAATAAGGTATAAGATAGCCATGGATGCTGCTGAAGGCCTTGCTTATTTGCATCACGATTGTGTTCCTCCTATTGTTCATAGAGATGTAAAATCCAATAACATATTGTTGGATGCCGATTTTGGAGCTCGAGTTGCTGATTTTGGTGTTGCCAAGGCGGTTGATCCTAATGGGAAAGGCGGAAAGTCCATGTCTGTCATTGCAGGGTCTTGTGGTTATATTGCACCAGGTTAGTTCATAGAACTTTCATCAAGAATTCCTTTATTTTAACTTGCAAATGTTTCATTTTGTGATTGTGTTACATGTGGTTCACTTACAGTTAAAAATTTTTTATTTTTATTTTTTTGGGTTTGAATGCTAATTTGAAGTCCATTTGGTTGTTGCAGAGTATGCATATACACTCAGAGTGAATGAGAAGAGTGATATATACAGCTTTGGTGTAGTTATTCTTGAGTTGGTGACAGGAAGGCTTCCAGTTGATCCTGAATTTGGCGAGAAGGATTTAGTTAAGTGGGTTTGCACTACATTGGATCAAAAGGGAATTGATCATGTAATTGATACAAAACTTGACTATTCTTGCTTCAAAGAAGAGATAGGGAAAGTCCTAAATGTAGGTCTGCTGTGTACAAGTCCCCTACCGATTAATCGGCCCTCGATGCGACGAGTGGTAAAGATGTTGCAAGATGCTGGCGGAATCCATCTCAAAAATTCTAGCATGAAGGACGGAAAATTAACGCCTTATTACTACGAAGATGCATCGTCGGATCAAGGAAGTGTAGCTTAAATTTGAGACTTTCAGCCTGCCTTCTCCTCTTGTTCATTAGCTAACAACAATTAAGTGTTTTTTTTTTGCAAGTTCCCCTCCAATGTTAATTTTTTTTTTCAGGGGGTGAGGGATGTGAAAGGAGTTTAATGTTGGTTTGGTCATTGTAAATTAACACCCCACCAAAGAGTTGGGTCATTCCAAGTTCGAAAAAAGAAAATGGTGATTGATTTGCATTAAGTTTGGTACCTAAATACACTGTGGTTTTTGTTCTGATGGTGACTTCTCTCACTTCATCATTTCCTAGGTGAATTCTAGTTGATGTTAATATTAGTAGGGCATTTCCAGGTAGAGTTGTTGCTCAATTGGTACTATTTTTCATTAAAAATGTGAGCAAACAAACCAAATATGGAAGGGTGGTACAACTCCCCCTGGATTCGTTTCTTTCAATTCTCTACAAATCTTGAGCTGCTACAACAGTATAAACTGGCTCAACTTCCCTGAAAATCCTTAGCCAGATTGACAGAGTTTTGTAGTTGTAGTACCATTAATAATGTCTTGGATAGTTTTTTGGTTGGTGCCATCATCATGGCCTCATTGAGTGTAGGGTCCTGCTCTCATGACATGCCTCCGGGGACCCAACTTGAATTGTCAATGCATACTTCTATTTCTAAAAAAAATTATAAAAGGAGTCATATACCTAAATCACAAGTTTGCTTTTACATTAGGAACAAACATATAAGAAACTCCTTTTATTATAATATAATGGCGCAACCTCCATTGGTATAACTTTTTACTTTAAAGTTGGAGAAGAAAACGTAATAGAAAGGAACACAGAAGCAAGAGAGCACAATATCAATGCTTTTCACGGGGATGTTGATGTTTGCTATGGCTTCACATTCATTGATCACTTACTTACATAGGAAATTAAAATATTGTGAAAAAAGAAGTCGAACATTTATCCGCGTCTTGGTAAATTATTCAACATTGTTAAATCAATAAAATCAATAGTGACAAAATGTAATGACAAGACTGGACATTTTGATGCAAGGAAGCTTATAAATACAGTGAGTTGGCTGCAAATGGATGCATCTTCATTGAATCAGAGAACAAATGCACCACCAACTAACGACCATAATTAAGCCTATCCAATGCAGAAAATAGAGTCAAAAGGCTTATATACTAGTACTGTGTAGATTGGTAAAATATTCAAGGCTAGACTGGCTAGTTGATCCAGGTGAGTAGGTTGAGCTGATCATCTTGAAATTGCAGTAACATGAATTTGCCATCTACAATAAGGCAGTATATATAAATGCAAATCTGAAAGGGCTTTTGTTTATGGGGAAGCTGCGTATATAATTTGTGCTAGAAATTTACTAGCACAAAGGGAAGTTTGGTGGTGGCGTTTAAGAAGTCATTTAACCCGGTGACACCGAATTCGGGCAGAGTGCCCAGAGGCTGCAACCAATTTTTCAATGTGTCATCATCGAAAATCCCTGGAAGAGACGTCAATGTATATATGTAGTTAGTGCTTCTCTTGAGAATTGGGTAACTTGCAACTTCCAAATTGACGAATCGCTCTCATTATCCCTTTTGGGCTTTAACTCTCCCTCATTTATTACCTACCCTCCTCAACCCGTGCGCATACGCAAATTCAAATAATGCTACCATTTTTAACAAGAAACGTTGTTGTTCTTACTTTATAAAATTAGTATGATGTTATGGCCCATGATGTTGAATATTCATCTTAGGAGGAGGTTCTTGAGAATGTGATGTAATTATTCGTCTAAAGGTTTTTGGGTTGGATTCAAAACTGGAAAATTGCTACAATTCTCGTTGAAGAGCATTTTCATTTTGCTGATACGGGTTTTGTCAAGTCAAAAAAATTAAAGTCTATATGATAAAAATTAGTGCTGAAACAAAAATCTAAGTATGAAATAAGTATTAAGCTTCGTTTTTTTTTTTTTTTGTTTTGCTGCTTAATTCATGTATGCATGTGATTGTGGTCAAATTGGCGCCAAAGACGAGAACTTCAGTTAAGAAGAATTAGTGCCACCAAATTAACTAACAAACTATATACGACACAAACTCATCGTTGAAAAAGACGTTGGGCTTAACTGGAAGTATAAACGAATTGAGCGCAAAAAATGTTAAGAGGTTTTTTTTTTCTTCTCCCTTCTATCTTGGTCATTGATTCGGCCCATTACTAATGTTGAATACATGGACATTTGAATTGATCAATTGGGCCTGGCATGATTGAAGATATAGTACACATATCCTTATGGTGAATTTGAGATAGACTCCTGAAAACGAAAATATTTGAGATGCGGATTCATACTTTCCTCTTGATTTGTATTTTTTTCAGCAACTTTTGACAATAATTGTGAAAAGGAAACCATTGACTCTTTCAATGAAAATCGTTGTCAACATTTATTTGTATGGGCAACTATTTCTTACTAGAGGGAATGGACGCGCTACACGCGTTAGTACATTTGACATGATATAAATTATATGACAAGAAAAATACAAATTTTTTAATATTAAAAGTTTTGAGAGTCCCTTAATTATTCATTACACTTTCTAAACCCAACAAATAAACAAAAATTTGACAAATTTATCGATGGTAAACAAAATTTTTGGTAAATTTAGTGTACATATAAATAATATTTTTAACTTTAAATAAAAGTTGAAAAAAAAAAAGAATACACCAACATAATCAATTAATTTCTTCATGACAACTAAAAGAAAATAACAACGAAACAAGAACAAAAAAGTATCAAAGATGAAAACTACAATATCATGTCTTTGTAAAGGTTTCTGGTGTCGATTCTTAGAAAATAAATGATAGCTAAATTTCAGAACAAAAAGAGGATGATGAACAAAACTAATAATTAGTTACCTTCAAGGATTTGGAGTAGAGCTAGAGATCACAATATATAGATAGCAAACAAGGTTGGAGTGAAAGAAAAAGAGAGAATGATTATAATCTGACTGTTTGTAATATATATGGACCAAATTTATTTATGATACCAAACTCTTAATATTCTTTTTCAATTATAAAATTATTTCTCAATGTTTCATTCATATGATTATTAAATTTTTTAAAAAAAAAACAAAGAGAGAAGAAGAAAAGACAATGAGGAGTTAAAAATGTTGAGAATAGTTAAAATTTATAACTGCTATATGACTTCTCAAATTCACCTAATAATTATTTTTGTAATCAAGAACTTCCAAATTGTAACTTCTAATTAAGTCTTTTTATCTTCTTGATCACATTTTATTATCTTTTTTTGTAACTAAACACCCGAACATCATACATGGAAAAAATAACATCAATGTTAATGCATAAGAAAAGATAGCTAGAAAATCAAAGTTAATTAACGCATAAAGAAGGACTATCAAACCACCAAAACACATTCTGCAATTATATATAATGTTGAAGAAAGGAGTTCTTTGTAAAAAGAAAAAAACAAACAAACTTTTTACATTCCCAAAACTTGTCATTTTCATTAAATTAAATCTATGCCACAAATTTTTTAAGAGTAAAATCAGCAAATATTTTTATCGTAATTTTCGTTGAGATTTACAAATTTTATGACAATTTTAATATTCTAAACGTTTACTTTCTTTAAATATCAGATTCTGCTATCATTCTAAACCCATTTTTCTTTTGTTTTTGCCTTAATTACAGAATCACATCCATAAACAACCTGGTTAGTGCAGAGATAAAATATTTCAAATCAAATCATTAGGAGCAGCCAACTCCGAACCAACATAACCGTCCCAAAGCGCTAAATTCCAACATTTACTTACCAATTCCCAATTACCGGATGACCGGAATCCTCCTGATTTTTCATTTTTCAAAGCCTACCCATTTACGTCAACTTTGATTCCGTCCCAACCTTTGTTTCACTTTTCAATCCTTTTAGGCTTTTGTTTATAAACAACTTTACTCATTAGGCCACCCAAACAGACCTTTTCTCACCCAATATTTACAACTTAAAAGCTCTGCCAGAACTCGCTTCAATCACCGAATTGAACCCATTTCAGTTCACCAGTAGTAATAATCATGGGTCATGGGGAGATCACTCTGTTCTACAATATTGGTTTGGTTCTGATTGCGTTTTTTGTTTTCGTATTCGGTATCCTTCTCTTCTTTTCCTGCAAAAAGAAGCCAATCAAAGCAGAGGAAACTCTGCCAGTTTCGGTTCCACCTTCTTCCAAGCTATGCGCAACTTCATACTCCTTGATGGATATTGACGCTGCCACCGACGGATTCAACACCAGAAGGATCATCGGAAAAGGAAGATTAGGCACAGTTTACGCCGCGGTTATGCCACGAGGCGATTTAGTAGCCGTGAAAAGAATCCACCCTCGTCTAGTTTTAACCAATGCAGGATTCGGGTTCTCATCATCGATCAAGTCTTTATCCTTAGCCGATCATCCTCACGTTGTTCCAATCATTGGGTATTCAGAAGGCCCGGGAGAACGAATAATCGTCATGGAATATGAAGGGATGATTAGTTTGGAATTCTATCTCCACCATAATTTAGAGGATGGGGCGGTCCTGTTGGATTGGAACCAACGAATTAAGATAGCTGCCGGTGTCGCGAGGGGAATAGAGTACTTGCATAATGTACAAATCGTTCATGGTTGTATCAAGCCGTCGAATATCTTGATTGACGGGAAATTTCGAGCTCGAATCGGCGATTACGGTTTGCAATTTCTGGAGGCAGGGGAGAGGCAGGGGATTTTGGGATACGTTGACGATGAATATTGGGTGATGAGAAAAAATGGAGCATCTAAGGAAAATGATGTGTATGGTTTGGGTGTGGTATTGATAGAGTTGTTGAGTGGTAGGAAATGTGAGGAGGGAATGATAGTGAATTGGGGTTTGCCTTTGATTAAACAAATGAAGTTTGATGAGCTTTTAGACCAGAGGTTAGGAGTGCCTTCTGATGTTAAACCCCTTGGTAGATTAGCCAAAGTTGCTTTGGCTTGCGTTGGGAATTCTAGGCCTAATCGCCCTTCTATTTCTCAAATTGTCACCATTTTGAACAATGTCGAATCGGAATCACTGTAATTCTTTTTTTATATTCTTACCAAAAATTTTTGAGTTACATTATAGAGCTTAATAAGTGTGATCTTTCAATTGTATTGTGAAATTTGAGTGGACAAGGAGGTTGATGAAAACTAGAAATATGGGAGCAAAGAATTGTGAAATTTTGTCATTGTTAGGAGACAGTTTGAAATTCTTACGGAGGAATTATTAGATTCCGCCTATTAAGAAGAGGTCGGCCGGGGTTTTGTCCTGTGAGGAAAGACGGTGACAATGATCTATAAACATTATTACGGGCGGATGAAATGGCTGATCTCGCGCGTTAGTTTAAGTGATGACTGATGACTGATGAGACTCGCGGGGCCCTTTGAGGAGAAAAATACCATTTTGTTGCGTGGACGTTGTTTCTTGCTTGGTTTGATGTAGCTAGATTTGCCAACCATATCGCATAATCAATTATATGCAGATATGCCTAATGATTTGTTTGTTTTCACTGATTATAGAAGGGTTCTTTTTAGAAATGTTTTCGCATAACAAAATGAGGCATACTGGAAAGGAAATACTCGTGGGGAGAGATTTTGCATGTGGACGCCTCTTACTCGGTGTTTGACTTAGTTTTTGAAGCATCATCTAGTTTTAACCAATGCACCGGCTTTCAAATCATAAGAGGTTTACGAGGTCCTAAATTTGATATGAGGAAGAACACACACTATTCGTTTGAGAAGTAGTGAAATACATTTATTGGCAAATGTATCTAGGCAGTGCGTGAACTACACATGGGAGAAGAAAAATTAAAATAATTGAGTTTGAAAAAAAGGAGTCCACACGCGTATTTATTATGTAAATCATCAGTTTAATTACGTGATCAAATGTTATCCCTTGTTTTCCTTTTTTAATTACGTGAATTAATTCGTCCAAATTTCATCCCCCTTTTTTTAGCACATGTTTAATTTTACCCCTTTTTAAAACCGCTGATGTCATCAAGACCCTCTCCACCAATTAAAATATTGGGAATATAATTGGAACAGGTTCTTTTATAAGAATAAAGAAGATTGATTTTATTTTGGTAAAATTGAATATAGTTCGTCATCTAAACTTTGGAATATAATTTTATTGATGAATATACATGCGTAAGGTAATGCGTAATGTATTATTGATGAACAGGGTGTTCATTGTTGTTTTTTGACCGATGGTGTATTATATTATTACGATTTTACGATGAATATCTTATGTTAACTAATGAATAACGAGTTGTTATTGATGAATAACAGAAATTTTGCTAATTGGACGATGTTTCAACTATGAGGAAGAGACTTTTGTTGCTTATAATTCTTATACAAAGCGCATTGGTTTTTTCAATAAACAAGTTCAAAGATTGGAAAATGTCCAAATCTGGTGTTGTATATTGGAAACAATTTGTATGTAGCAAACAAGGAGTAAAAAATTCAAGAGGTAGGTGCGATACAACAATGAATAATTATACCAAACTGATGAATACGACAATTTCAATAATGAATAATTATACCAAACTGATGAATAACCCTCTATATCAATATCTACACTTATTGTGGTTTGATTTTTTGCAGATTCAAATATCCTGCTTCTTTTGGCTTCTAAATGTTGTTCTTCGCTCATGCTTCTTTCAGATTGTGTCTGATATTCATCTGTCATGCTTCAATATATTTGCAAATTTTATGAATAACTTGTCAGATGTGATGAATCCGGCAATTTCAACAATGAATAATTATACCAAACTGATGAATAATACCAATATCTAGTAATTTTTTTTTTTAAAAAAATACTACATAGTGATGGTAAACGATGAATCTGGCAATTTCAACAAAAAATAATTATAACAAACTGATGAATAATGCAAAGATCTAATAATTTACCAAAAAAACAATACTACATAATTATGGTAAACGATGAATCTGACAATTTTAACAATGAGTAATTATACCAAAACTGATGAATAATACAAAGATCTACTACTTTACCAAAAAAAAAACAATACTACATAGTTATGGTAAACAATGAATCTTACAATTTTAACAATGAATAATTATACCAATCTGATGAATAATACACAAATCCACCAATTTACCAGAAAAACAACATCCAATAGAAGAACAAAAACTCTAAAATTGATGAATCTGATAATTTCAATAGTTATGAAAACGATGAATATGATAATTTCAACAATGACTAATTATACCAAACTGATGAATAATTCTCAGATATTCTAATTTACCAAAAAAAAAAAGTAAATCGAAGAACATATCTCTAAAATTGATGAACAAACATCGTTAATTGAGTGAACATACCTTAGATCTACATAACTCAAATAAAAAAATCACACCAATGATTGAAGAGAGTAGTTGTATTACCTCGCTTCCCCTTCATCCTCCGATTTTCTCATACTCGGTTCGGAATCCTCAACCATAGGCATCTACATGAATATTTTAAGAAAAAACAACATTCATCAAACCAAAATCAAACAACAATGGATAAATACAGAAAAATTGATGAATTTGACCAGAATACACCTTAATCCTCATCTTCAGTATTGTAACTTGAAATCAGAATTATCGTTTTTTATGAACGATTCGATTTAGACTTCAGAAGCCCCGCCGACGGTAGCTTCTCTGAATGTATCGCCGCAAGATTGATTTTTTGGGGTTTCGGTTTTTTTTTTTTTTTTTTTGATTTGGGGAGTAATGAAATAGATCGAATGGAATGTTGGATCATCAATAATGGCTAAAAATTAGGAGATAATGGTGGTTATCAAGATTTGAAAATAAAAAAAAAATCGCGCATAAAGGAGTATTAAATGGGCGTGTGTTTTTTGCTCGGGTGGCAGTGACGTAATTTTTAGAAGTCTCCATTTTTAAGGCGCGTGTATATCAAACTGGGTACATCTTTCTAGATGTACCTAGGATCTTTGTATTATAATTGTACATTTATTAGCTCATTTTCCCTTTAGAAAATAGAAAGCAGAATAGCATAACGAAAAAATCAAATGAACATTATAAAATCGGTGAAAAGGACAGAAGAAAGCCTTCCCAAAGGTTGGGTTCAAGTTGGCTCTTAATGCCCATTTCTGGGGCAGGCCATGCCCATTTTCGGGATGGACAAGAAACATAAGACCCAAAGCCACAACCGTATTGGACGAATAACAAATGGATTTTCCTACAAAATTTGATGGATTTAAATTTCTTTTGTTTGTGATTTGTGTGTAATAAGAAAATGGATGGAATTGTCTAAAAAAAAAAAGGAATTTCAAAAGAGGCGTAAAAGCCAGATGATAATAAAATGGATGGAATTTTCAATCATATGGAATCCTGATAATAAGATGATGACATGATTATTCCCTAATTATAAATGTCTCTATAATTACTTCAACATATGAAATGTCAATATTGCAGGGTTTTTAAAATGTCAATGGGAACAAATATATAATTGAAGCAATTTTCTCATCTTTTCTGTGTACATTGATGAATGAGGCTCAAACTCGATAAGGGTCGATCACATACATGATATTTATGTTGTCATTATGCTCCGTCTTTCTTCCCAATCTAACGAATTCAAGAATTTTAATGCACCTACTAACAAAAGTTGACATTTTAACAAAACTCTATTTTCTTCTCAAAGGCACCTGCTAACCCAATATGTGATTGTTTTCCCTAGTACATCGCATAAAAACAATCCACATTGTAGATTATAAATTTTACAAAAAATAGTACTCCCTATGTCCCAAAATTATTGTCCAGTGTGAGATTTCATTTTTAGTACAATTTGAACTAAAAATGAAAACCTAAACTGGATAATAATTATGGGACGGAGGGAGTAATTTTTAATCTACTGTTTGAACTAGTTCAAGGGAAAGACATACTAAAGAGTAATGATACAAGTAGAACTGGACTCCCATTTATTAGTAAAACAAGTACTTTCTCTGTTCTAAAATTATTGTCCAATTTGAAATTTCAATTTTAGTACAATTTGAACTAGAAAGGAAAACCCAAACTGGACAATAATTATGAGACGAGGGAGTAATAAATAGTTCAACACGTTTTAATTGAATATGTAAGTACTGAAAATTTAAAGTAGAAAAAACAAGCCTCAATTTCTTTTGTTGAGACCTTCCATTGAAGTCGTCAATGCATGTAATTATTCTTTACGTCATATTTAAATAAAAATATTTTGTTGAAGTAAAATGTTATAATAATAAAAAATGAACCATTAAAATAGATATAAATATGAATTTTTAACGTTTCACATTTTCATCTGGACTGGTTGAGATGAAAGAAACATTTATTAATTGTATATGTTTCTTGTTCATATAGTTTATTCTTTTAAAATAAAATTTATTTTACGGTATCTAAATGAGAGAGAAAATATTTTTGTAGTTGTTGCATCAACAAAATAATGCAACAAAACACTTTGAAGAGGAAAAAATGGCGAAACATAAAAAATGAGTTGTCACGCGCTACTTTACTAAATAGGGAAAATGGATTTTTTTTTGAAACTAATGTCAGCGACACGGAATGAGCGATATTATCCAAAAAATAAACAATAAGGAAGCCTCCTTCCTTCATACGTTAAAGTAAACCCTAAAAAAGCTTCCTGCTTAAGCTTCGGGGTTGCTTGGCTTCTCGAAGAAGCTCACAGTATTTCCCAACAATTTTCCCTGAATAGACCCATTCCAATAGGCAATAATATCCCTCCTTATGTCGGCCCTCAATTAAAAAGGGAAAAAAAATGGTTTCCCTCATTATTTTTAACGGCTTCATCTCCTTCTATTCAGCCATTGGAATATTCTACAACCTTCTGAATCTCCATTCTGTAAATAGGTAACTTGTACTTGACGCATTGCTGAATAAGTAAATATTTTACTCATTATTTTTTGCAAAATTACTCGATGCTATGTAATTAAACTTGCTGTTTTAGTTCGTTTTTCTGGTGTTATTCTGTTTCATACGTGTAGTAAAATTTGGACGCCAACCACTTATGAAAGTTGTCCTAAACTGATTTTATTATTACAGACTTACAGTGGGAGTGAAAAATAAAATCAGAGGCTGTGAGAAGGAATGCGCGCGCATACATTTCTGGTGCAGGTGCGTGTGCACCTTAGCAAAACCCAACTTGTCCTCCAAGCAATCCCATCTCCAAAAAAAAGTACTCCTGTATTATAACAATATATATATATATATAAAAAGAGCATTCACTTGTCTTTTTAACAGAATATAAGCAACAAAATTCTAACCTCCTCCTTTTGCTTCTCTCTCTCCTCCTTCCTTCCCAAAGGAGAGACCTTCAATATATAGTTCAATCATTAGAACCTATAAAAGAAAAAAAAAAAAAAAAGGCAGATAAAAACTGGGAATTTCAACTCCTCCTTAACATCTGGAACAACAGATCTAGAAGAAACAAAAGAGGATTGGGTTAAGTTCACTTGAAACGTGCTAAAGGGGATATAATTACTCATTTTACTCTGGTTTTGCTTCTTCTTTTAATTTTTTTTTTCTTTCTTAATCCCTCGTTTCTTTTTCCTTTTCCTATCTCGTAGTTATTCTGAACTTGTGGAAATCTAACTATGTCCCTGGATAGAGTTGGGAAAAATCAGCCATAGAAATTCCCGGTTATCGATTGTTGGGTTGGGTCTGGAATGGGCATAAATCTGTGGTGCAATACTGAATCTGGTACTCAAGAAGAAATTGTTGGGGTTCGTCATCCGTACCAAATTATTCCAGCCCATGATTTCTCCCAAGAAAATACTAGTAGTATTGTTATCAATTCCAGCTCGGATGATATGGCACCTATTAATGTAGCCTGCCCTTCTTGTGGCTACCCAATACAAGCTCAACCTCAAGGACAGGTACCCTAATTAGTTTACTGTGTTCATTTTGTTGTATTGTACCAGTTGATTCTAGCTAATATTAATTTTTGGTGCTACATATCTTTTCATTTCACTTCTCTTGATTTTTAAATTTTTTTAATTTGGGGGAAATATACTAGGCAAGGAGTTTGCAAGATTTGCCAGGATTGCCCTCAGGAGTGAAGTTTGATCCGACGGATCAAGAAATTCTGGAGCATTTGGAGGCAAAAGCACATTTGGATAGCCAGAAACTTCATCCTTTGATTGATGAATTTATTCCCACCATTGAAGGGGAAAATGGGATTTGCTACACTCATCCAGAGAAGCTACCAGGTACTGATTTATAGAATTTTCGATTAGGCCTAAGGCCAGTCATTTATTTTTAAAAACAGAGTTTGTCTTTGTTCATAGAAGGATGAAACCGGCGCATACCAGAATACACACTTGTGCTTGAATTTGTCTGAGTTAAGGTGGAACACTAACTTGGTTTTTTCGCGTCTGTTGGTAATCTCGTTGGATACAAAAAAAAAATGGTTAGCTAGAATTTAGTCGGTGATGATTGCGTGGGTCACACTCACAACCCTCAAATCTAAAGTCTCTAATAGGGGCTTTTTCTGACCCGGAGCTAGTTTACTCACATTCAGGTCTCTTAAATCTTCGATTTCGTGTTAGAAATGTGCATCCTTCTATAAGCTCTTCTTTGTAGTACTTATTATAATGTGGTGATCCTTTTGTGAAATGAAGTGAAGTTTCTCTTTTTATGTAAGTAATTCTTGAAAATATGATGTTAGGTCTTTCCAGAAAAGGTAATTTTTGCAACATAAAATGGAATCACCATCTCTCTCGTTATAGAGATCTCGGTTTCGATTTGGATAAAATCACGCTGGCCTATGAAATCACACAACATATGGGTGCTAAACTGGCCAGTCAAAGAAATGCTTGAGATATTCCCTAAGAAGCACATTGTCTAGGTAGATAGAGAAAGTTGTATGAGAAACCAATACATATAGTAGTCAAAACCGTTGTTTCTTGTTGAATATTGAATTGGGTATTCAACTACATGCTCATAAAATAGATGTTTTACTTTGATACGACAATGTTATAGTCTATGTAAAAAATCCGTTTACAGTTACAATCTTATCATGCACTCCAAGATTGTTGTCAATTGACATTAATGATAGATCAATGATGTCAATCATATTTGCCATACACTAGGTTAGACCTATTTTTCAATTTCATTCCTCATTCACAATCTCTCACGTGGTTAATGTTGTTGCTAATAGTCCAAAATTCAAAATTGGTTTTCCGACATATAGTAGCAACTATGAATGTGATGAAAGGCTAAGAATGGAATGAAAGCTTGGATTTATGTGGAGCGACCTTGAAGTTTTTGTTATTAGTATATGCTAACTCTGTCCCGGAAAATAGTTCTCAAACACGACTAATTTTTGGGATACAGATAGTACATTATGATTTTGGGCATGTCATGTGCCTTATCATGTTGAGAATTCATTCTTCTATTCTCTTGCTTAACCTTGCTCAATTGTACCATTTCCTAGCATTTTTAAGTTTTAAGTATGAAACATAGGGGTTGTTTATATAGTTTTTTACTAGAAGCTTATTGTGATTAATTCTCTTAAAATGCCTGATGATGCATGTAGGAGTAAACAAGGATGGCCAAATCCGTCACTTCTTCCACAGGCCTTCAAAGGCATACACAACAGGAAACAGAAAAAGAAGAAAGGTTCATACAGATTCAGAAGCTGAAAGCGGTGGTGGTTGTGGCGAAACGAGATGGCACAAAACCGGCAAGACCAGGCCGATATACATAGGTTCAATCCTAAAAGGGTTCAAGAAAATACTAGTCCTCTACACAAATTATGGCAGGCTAAAGAAGCCCGAAAAGACTAGTTGGGTAATGCATCAATATCACTTAGGCAACAACGAGGAGGAGAAAGACGGCGAATTGGTGGTTTCAAAGGTTTTCTACCAAACTCAGCCAAGGCAATCCGGTAGCTCCTCATCAAGCATCAAACAACCCGAGGAAAGATCTTTGAGCCACAGAAATAATGATCTTCAATTGGTTAAGGCCGCGTTTCCCGAGTTCTATAACGTTACTCCTCCTCCTCTTCCTCCACCTAATTACAGAGTTTCATATAATTTGGGTGGGCAAAATCGAGACAGCCATTTCGCACCTCAGGTAAATCCAAATCAGGTTGTCCATGGTGATGTCTCATCCTTTCTCCAGCTGCCTTCCAGTGCAAGCAAAGCCAGGCGTTTGCCATGACAAAAAACGACACTTTGCTTGTAGAGTAGAGTAATTAACAAGAGTTATAAAGCATAGGTAATTACTTATTAGGGAAGACAAGTAATTTATTCGTGGTTTAGGGTCTATTGTTTTCATTTTGATTTGAGAGTTTGAATACCTGTCTTGGTTTCTCTGGAGTATTAATTAGTCGCTGTGGTATATATGTGTTATTATGCATACTGTAGAGAATAAAATCTTCATCTTCGTAGATTGCAAAAGGTTGTTTTTTCTCTTTACTATTGTTTTGCAGGAGTAAAATTTTATACACAAAACCCCTAAAAAACATTTTTATTATTAATTATTATCTTGAGACGGATAGAGTAAGAAAGAATGAGCATATCATACTTCTTATTTTTCGCTTCTTAATTGTTGAGAGTTGAGACTAGCAAGAGCAGTTAGGTTGGAACGAACTTTTGATTTCTTCGACTACACTCCAAATTAAAACATGTGTGCGCTGATTTTAGCCATTTTCTTGTAGTCTAATCAACGTGGTAATGCTTAGACTATAACTATTCACACTATATGAGAGTGTTTTGCATTTTTTATTTATAAATTTTTGGAGACCTAAAAAAATCACGGTAAGATTTTTCATATTACGATGGAGAATAGACACTTAGAATTGATATTACAATTGTAATCATTCATATATTTTTTTTTTTGGTACAATGATGGAGGCAAATGCCAAAGATCGTTCGTTTCTAAAGTAAGATTTTTCACCACCCCAGAATGTATTACCATGGTTAGAACACGATGTAATATGGGTAACTTATCTTAGAAACGTAAGATCTTAGAAAATAATGCATTTCTAGGATATAATATCATCAAGATCCGTTTCGAAATAAACATCATAATCCGCCTGAAACGGGGGAAATTAAACCATGAATTATCCTATAGTTAATAGATAGATGAAGTAATATTTATTCATAGATCCATACTGTGCAGGAACAGAGCAAACATAATCTGGGCTCAAGCTTTAATAGTCGTAGAAATATAAGAACAAAGTAAAGCATACTTGGTAAAAATTCTATGCCTCCGTAAAATGGAAAAATCAGCAATCTTGTGAGTCTTCAAAGACTCTTCACACTTTTGTAAGCCATCAGTGACCAGCAAAGCATCGTCGTTCGCCTAAAGTATATCGAACTCCGGATCGACCTCCATTGGGTATCATCTTCAGCTTTTGGATTCCATCTTCATAAACAGAAACACAGTTCTTCAGGGCCGATTTTAAGGCTGTACATTGACTTGTTGTGGTGGACCTTGGAGGAAGTTGTGAGGAAGCGGTGTATGATTTCGTTAGCTTTTTCAATTGCTAAATCAGCTGAATTAGGAGAAGATCAACTTTGCCTTTGGCTGAGGCACTTCTGGGATCTGATTTCAGGACCCTCAAGCAAAATTCTCTTCCAACCCTTACTACTCTAACATTCCTTTCTAAAACATTTTTGCAGAATTGATTGACAACTTCGTATGGCTCGTAATACTTTTTTGATTTTACGGAAGAGTTGTCTTCTTCTTTTGCTGCTAGGTTTCCAATCAAGAGAGCCGTCAGCGTGAGAAGAAGAGGATGCAGTGCCACGTTGTTGGTCATGTTTGAGGTTGTTATTTTTTTTACGGTAGAGGATAATTAGGGTTTATCTATTACAAGAAAATGCGGTCTGCGGAGATTCTTTATAGGAGTACTATCCATATAGGAGTATTGACCGATGGTTCCTTCGCACTTACTCCCTCTGGTTACATTTTGATTTGTCCTATATTTAATATAGTACATATTTTTAATTGATAAAAAAATTTTAAAAGTATTTCATGATAATCAAGAGAACATATTTTTAATTGATAAAAAATTTTTAAAAGTATTTCATGACAATCAAGAGAATACAACGAACGTAAAAATATATTTTTAAGATTTTTTCGTCAATTAAAAATGCATATTAGGTGAATGTTATGACAAAATTAAAATATCTTATATTAAGGACCGGGGAGTATTAATTTCCTTTGGAAATAAAGATCCGCATTAGTTCTAAAACTTTTTAAGTATCTTTCCATTTAGGACGGTCGACAATCACTTCAATTGGACAACATTGGGTAGGGGCAAGCATAGCATTAGTGATCGTAAAAGGAGTCGTTGCATGGAGAAATCTAATGTGAATTTTGAGTCTCAGAATTATATTCCTTCTTTCCCGAAATCATTTTACGATTTAGATATTTTATTTTTTAACACTAGTTCAAACATAGTTGAACATAGTTACAAAGAGAATCCTACTTAAAAGAATTTGAGCTAGGCTCCGGTTTTAAAACCATTTTTCATTTGGGGCATAATTAATTGTCATGCGTAATCTCGTATTTTGTTGTATGTTCAGGACTAAAATACTCTATTTTAATTGATTGACTTGATTACTTGTCGAAGTTTACTATTTACATACCAATTGAAAAAACCACGTACTTGCAGAATTCCCCAACATAGTGCAAAATGTGTTGTGTTACCATAATTCAGAAATCCACTTCTTTAGAGTGAAAGAGCAGGCCTAAATTCAATCTCTCCAAGTCACAAACTTTGTGGATGAAGAACAAAAGGGCAGATTGGTATGATGCACTCAAGAGGATGTTTCTTGGTTGCTATGGAACTTTGGGCCTTCTACTGTATGGTGGGCTTCCTTGCTGAGGAATACCATCTAACTTCTTTGGGCCAAGTTGTTAGCAAATGAGATAACTGATAACCAATATACAGTGGAAATTTAATTGAGTTATTTTGTTAATCTATATATATTAATAGAGGATGAAAAATACCTATGTGGCACGAAATTGAGAAATCAAATTAAGTTGACGTAAAAAAATAAATATTTTCATTATGTACTAAGATTTTTAGATTTTACTTGGGATAAAAAAAAAATCTAAATATTTGGTTACACCAAATCTTTCAAAAAATCTAAAGGTGATTAAGATAATTATGATTTTTTTAAAAAAAAATTAAATAATTTTTTAAAGATTTATTAAATTTGAGAAGTTGATAAAATTATATTTAATTGTTCCAAAGGTAAAAATGCATCATAAATTTTTTTAAAACTATTTTAGTTCTGAAATTTCGATATGTCTATTAAGAAAAAAACTTATAAAATTAGCGACGGATCAAGCCCAAAAATAATGTGATTATTTTTTATTTTTAATTTTCTTTCATATTTTAATAATAACTCCAATTTTACTGACTATTTCATAATTTAATAATTATTGGTAAATATTTTATTAATTAAAACTTTTTCAAATTTTCAACTTTTTTAAAAAAAATTAGATAGTTAAACTCCATTGATTTTATTTTCAAATTTTAAATTTGCCCGCTGATAATAGTTAAAATCTATTAAACTTTGTTACTCCCTCCGTCCCCAAAAAAAAGTCCAAATTTAGTTTTGAGATTTGCACTAAAAATTGTATAAATTTAAAAACTCAATGTAATTTTTTTTTTAGACGAAGGTAATAGTATTTAACGAGTATAAACCACTCCTCTCTCTACCGAATACATTTTACACGCATCATGTATTTCCCGTGCAACGCACGGGATAAGAACTAGTAGTGTTTTGATTACAAAATTAAGAAAGTTCATGCTCATGTACGACATTAAAGTACGACGTCACAAATCGCGAGCTTAGCATAAAAAATGCATAATATGGCACCAAGATGAAGAGAAAACTAGAAATTAATAATTATTCATTTTTGCAATATTAATGCTGGTTCATGATTCATATTACACAGAGAGAAATTATCAGAAAAAAGCGGATGCAATTCCCACACAGAGATCAACAAAGGCGGTGGAATAAAAATGCAGGTTGAGGACGGAAGGATCATCAACTTTGTGACACTTCAGAGAGTGCCCACAACTCTTTAAGTCATCCCAGGCCATAAGGGCATCGTAGGTTGTCATATTAGGATCACGACTCAAATCTCTGGGTATGAGGTTTAGATCCCGAATGGCATCTTTACACTCATCAACACATTCCTCGAGGGCTGATTTCAACGGTAACGGTTGCGATGAATTCTGCCCCAGCTTTAAGAGATAGTATTCTCTGGTTTCGTTTATCTTTGCGATTGCCAAATTCACTGAGTAGATAAGAAAAGCCTCCTCGAACGTGGGCGGTTTATCCTTCCCTTTGGGAACATCTTTTGCTGCAAAAGAGTTCAAAATGAAGAGGGCTGCAATCACGAGAAGAATAAGAGACAGACGGTTTGTCATTTTTTTCTGGGAATTTTTTTTCTTTCAAAATCACGTGTTCTGATTAAGGTTTCAGAATTATAAGCAGTCCTGCTCTTATAGGAGAAGTGGACTGACAAGTTAACGGAGTAAATCACCTGAATAGTCTCCTGATTTGGTGTATCGATTTAAAGCTTTCTTATTTCGTGACCAAACGTTAATTGAAATACTCGTTTCGTAGTGAATGACCTAATGTGATTCATTGGAAACGATCATTTGAAATTTATGTACTGATCAACATCTTTTAGAATGTGATACACTCAATCAAAATCGAGGTACTTAATTAGGGAATTCTCAGGTGGATTTACTCAACACGGGCTTATTTCATCAAGCGAAAATGACTTGACAGATACTGAAATGGTTGGGTGGATCAGTTAGCTAAGCAATAACAAAAATGAAGATATATCCAGCTACCAGAATTCAATGAACTACAAGACGGGATCAAGGGAATTGAGTAACCTTTTTCAATCCAGTGTTTATGTGACTAGATCAAAACGTACCTATTTTTGAGATGGTAACTCGTGATAAAGATGATACGAATATCTCTCTTCGTTTATTGATCAATCTTCATTTAGTGAAATGTGGTATGTTCGTCTAAAATGTACAAGTAATGTGAGGTGTTGGTAAATGACCAAAATGAGTGATTGTCAACAACGACATATAATGTCAGGATACTCCAACTGAATATAGTTTGTGATTAATATACTAGTGTACATTGAACATACAAACTACTTGAGGGGATATGAATAACGAACATCTCTAATAAGGTTAGAATCGTTTCTTCACACCAAAGAATTCATCAAGGTTGGCATTAGTCTATAATCTAATGACGAGAAATTCCTCCATATGTACTGTGAATTTGTGTTGCCTCTGCCCGACTCATAGTTCATTTTATTACATTATTTTGAGTAATACTACCCTAATTTAATGATACATGAACTCTAACCAATTTTTATAGTATATGACACATGACCTATTTTGGCCTTGTTTAGTCATAACATAGGATTTTTAATGTTTTCTTGTACAATTTTACAAAATTAATACTCCCTCCGTCCCAAAATTATTGTCCAGTTTGGATTTTCATTTTTAGTTCAAATTACAAAACTTTTTAGGTGAAATTAGAAACATTTGTGGGTTCCAGCCAGGAACGTGAGTCGTAACCGGTACCGTAGATTAAAGAACATATCCCATTCTTGATCTAAAATCCCCGAACGAACCATTCTTAAACCAAACTTATCAAACTAAAATGACAAGGAAACAGAGGACGGCCGGAAGAAAACAGAGCAATCGATGAATCTGGAATTGATGATACGTAATTTCAGCACTAATTTATTGATAGATTCCTACCCTCTGCATCTGGAAATGATTTGTGTTTTTATTAGTGCAGCCAAAAAAAAAAAAAGAACAATCATTTTGGCACAGCCGATAACACAATTTTCATTTAATAGCCAAAGTAATATCCACACAGAGCTGAACATAGTCGGTTGAATTTCTGTGTCTTGCTAAAACCGAATGATTAGAAATTTTGTGCTGATTTAAAGTGTCAGTACACCGTTGCAGAGCATCATGGGCAATCTTAGCATCGTAGCCTGCAAAAGCAGGGCCTTTTCTTAACTCTGTGGGAATAAGACTCAGTTCTTCATTCCCCCAATCATAAGCAGAGACGCAATCCTTGAGGGCCAACACAAATTTTGAGGACTTCTTGTTTTGAAGCTTGAATAAAATTGAAGCATAGTAATCCCTGGTTCTGTTTATCTCCCCCCTTGCTAAATCAACGGAAATCAGAAGAAGACTTACGTTGTCTTTTGCATAAGCACTTCTGCGATCTGATTTCAGGGCTTTAGTGCAGAAATCTATGGCTTCTCTGCTTGTTCTTTGGTTGCACAATTCATTGACAGCTCTGTATCGTTCGTTCTGTGATTTTGATGCGGGTTTCAATCCTCCTGCAGAAACTTCTTTTTCTGCAAATATTGTTGCTGGTGAATTTAAAATGAAGAGGGCTGCAAAAGTGAGAAGAAGAAGAGGGTGTGGTGAGATGTTTGCCATTTTTTGGGAGGATTTCATGTATATTTGGAACAATTCATTTTGTTAATGAATTTATTTTGAACAGTTATGCGAATTAAAACCACATATTCAATACTGAAACGGTCAGCATTTTGTAGCAAATTAAAACGATTCAATAATCTTCGAGTAAGGATGTAAATGAAAGAACCGTTATAACTTATAACTACGAAAGTCTATCCATCTTAACTGAAAAAATTAAATTCGATAAGGAAAAAAATGCGAATAGATCATATCGCGAAAGTTCGGTCCAACATTCGCCCAATAATCAAGAGCGAGACCTGTGTAGTACTCTCCTCGTCCCATAATTATTGTCCAGTTTGGATTCTCAGTTTTGGTACAAATTGAACTAAAAGTGAAAATCCAAATTGAATAATAATTTTAGGACAGAAGTAATATAACATTGTGTAGGGAATTTACACCCATAAAATGGAATCTCACTAGTACGGTGAGCTCAAGTCCTCTTTTCAATTTAAGAGAAATTAAGTTTGATTCAAATTACAAAGTTCATTTCAACAATAAGTACTTTAAACTTGGTTTTACAATCCTTCTATATGGTCATATAAACATAAACATGTTTTTGAATTATCCTTCAAATCGAAGATAATTCGCATACATGTTGTCATTAAGAATATAAATATCTGGACTTTTAAGAAAATGGTAAAAAATTTTAAACTTAATAGAGAAAGGGAGTCCATCACTTTCATTTTCCTAAAAATTGGAAATATTATTAAGATGATTGGAAAACACCTAACTGCGATGAACATAAAAGAGGTAGTGTAAACCACACTGCATACAACGGAGCTACTATTTGTGGCATAAAAAAAAGTAAAAAACTAGTTTCTGAGCTACTGAACTCTGTGTCCTATGAATCCAAATAACGCCTAATAGGGGAAGTAGAGATTAGAGAGGCTATGTGGAAGGTATCTCTACTATATATGTAAGCATATTTCGGGACAAGGGTAGATCGTTATCGAGCAAGATAATGGCATTGATTGAAAAGAAAAAAAAAATAGTTAACTTTATTGAAAAAAAATACTCCGTATGACAATCACCTTTGTCCCAAGATATTTCTAAGATAGAAAATGTAATACTCCCTCTGTTCCACAATTATTGTTCAGTTTGAGTATTTATTTTTAGTATAATTTGAACTAAAAATGAAAACTCAAACTGGACAATAATTATGGGACGGAGAGAGTACTTACCATTTACAGTATTATAATGGCGATGTATGTTAGTGGCAATTGCAATGTTATTCTCATCTGTGCTTGTAATGGTGTACACCAATGTCATTAAAAAAAAAAAAAGAAAGAAAGAAAAAGGACACCAATGTCATTCCGCAGACAACTTGAACCGCCTAGTTAATAATAATACGCTTTTTTTTATGAGCAATATTAAATCGTTTTTATTTGAGGTTGAAATTAATGAGCTTCAAGATCCTTTTTCGCATCAATTTTGATTAGCGGAAAAAATTCAGAATCGGAAGGGAAAAATCACGCTCACGTAATGAATTTAGGAATCTGATATTCATTCATAAATGGCAAGGATGTATTTGCCACTTATTTCATTCTTGCTAGAAAAATGGTGAATTCATAAATATTTTTCACTTGATGCTTCGTACCTGGTTTGTCCCCACGCAAATGAATGGGCATTAATTAATTCGTCGATTCTTTTCAATAAATAAAAAAAAAAATTCTTGAGGAATTAATTATTCAATTACATGATAATACTACACGTAACATATACTTATCCAGTTTGAGATTTCATTTTTAGTATAAATTGAATTAGAAATAAAAATCCAAACTGGACAATAATTATGGGACGGAGGGAGTATGTACAAACATCTCAAGTTAGGCTCACCAAACAACTCAACAACTCAAGATATGTTATCTTCTAATAGTCATCATCTAATTTGTTCGCCTCTTGTTAACTGTTGGAATACAATAACCGTCTTAACCTGTATGGTAAGATTTGACCCAAGAAAAAACCTTCACTTTGCTAATTTGCAAATTGCAATACGTACAATATTTTTTTTGTCAATATACTACTACTACATAGTAAGGCATGTGAAACATGAGGTTAATTATTATTAGCAACATTTACTTACTTAATGGAGCACTTTTAACCAAACTAAAACGAGAAGGACTCACACCCATCATGATACAAAGTAGTTTTTTGATAATCAATATAGCAATAATCAGAGAAAACTACTAGTACAGCAATCAATTTTTTTTATAAAATTATAATAGCAAGAAATATGTGTTCATTATTTCATGGTACACAAAAACAAAAAATTAAAAAAAAAAAGGAAAGAAGAACGTTTTAATTCTCTCAGCCGACAGTCATTGAAATATCAACACAGAGCTGAACATATCTGGCAGAACTCCTGTGCCGTATTAAAACAGGGTAATTGGAAATCTTGTTCTTACTCAAAGAATCATCACAAGTCTGTAAAGCATCATGGGCCATCAGCGCATCGTAGCTTGCCGTCGGAGGATCATCCTTTAACTCCGCCGGAATTATCTTCAGTTCCCCAATCCCCCATTCATAGGCATGGACACAGTCCTTAAGGGCCGATATTAAGGCCTCTGAATTGGACGGCTTCTTGTGATGAATCAGCTTGGCCCAACTGTAGATATAGTATTCCCTGGTTTTGTTGGTCTTCCCGATTGCTAAATCAACCGAAATCAGAAGAAGGCCCACATTGTCTTTCGCTGATGCGCTTCTAGGATCCGATTTCAGGACTCTGTTGCAGAACTCTCTGTCTCTTTTGTTTGCTTTTTGGTTGCAGAATTCGTTCATGGCGTTGAATGGTTCGGGTTTTTTCGTAGTGGGTTTGGATTCTGCTTCAACCGGAACATGTTTTTCTGCAATTACTGTGGTTGGTGGGTTCAGAATCAAAAGGGCCGCCATCGACAGAAGGAGAAGAAGAAGAGACAGAGTAGTCGAGTTGTTTGTCATCTTTTCTCTTTTTCTTTTCTTATGATTATGAGTTTTTGTTGAGTTTTGACAACTGCAGTCCACACCGATTTATAGGAGTCTTTGCGCTAACTGACGAGTAAAGTTTTACCCAATTAGTTGTTTTACTCGTTCAACTTGGAATCTCAATCGGTTTTGGTATCTATATAAAAATAATCTGGTTTCTTTTTTTCTTTTTTTTTTTTTTTCATACGGTGTGTTTAAATTTATTTTTTATTTTCTCAAAACTAAATTTATCATTCCAATTAAGGATAAATTTCGGTAGTTGATACATAATACATCATCAGTCTCAATCATGGTTGTGTTTACTTGTACCTATCATCATCAATAAGAGAATGAACAGCCAGGGAAAATCTGATGTGAATGCTACAACTTTATTTGTTAATTAAAACAAGCACAAAAAGCAGAAGTCCCTCTCCTTTTATTTAACTTCATGGTGGTCATTGAAAAATCGTAACCTGCTCCTCACTTCTTCTTTTTTTTTTCTAAAAAAAAAATACGTGCATTAGTTATTGTTATTCAGTGGTTGAGATGTCCTTAATGAAATGACAATGGATATTGTGAGAATAATTGGAATTCCTATTTTTTTTCCTTTTCAAAATTGAGACTAAATGAAGTGAGATTAAAAAATCAGTTGTGGGAAATAAAAAACAAAAGACACTAAATCCGTGGACTGTATCATATGATATTCGACATAGAAAGAGGGTAGGAGGACTAAAATTCTGCTGGTCAAATGAAGTACTCAAAATTTGTTGAGAGAATCAGTTAGATGCATCAATAACAATGAATTTAACCCTTTTGATCCGGTCTACAATTTCATTTTCTACGCAGTGTCATATACTTTCTCTGTCTCAAAATTATTGTATAGTTTGAGATTTCACTTTTATTACAAATTGAACTATAAATAAAAACCCAAACTAAACAATAATTATGGGACGGAGGGAATAATTATCAGTAGATCTATGAATTGGAATTAATGTGCTGAGATTGTACTCAGATTGAATTGGAATTAATTACTAGGATACCCCATACAATATGTTAAGAAAAAAGTTGAGGCTATAGAAGCTAGATCTAAACAATAAACAATGAAGATCAGTACTATGTGGCTAGAGGATAGTTTGCATAAAATTGAAATGGTATAGGATGATGGGCAAGTATCAAAAACATGTATATATTGCTCTTTTCCGTTATTGGACTGTGGTGTGTCTGAATAAACACTACAACTGATGTGCTTTTTTTTTTTTCTTACAAAAAATATTGAAAAGAAAAATCAAAATGAGTGATGGTTAACGATTAATTTATTGATGAGGTAATGTAATGTCAACAAAGAACAACCTCTAAATTGAATATATATAAATAATAAACATCTATAAAACAAACTAGTAAATCGTCAGACTTGTGTTCAGAGTGATATAATTAAAAAAGAGAGAAAAGATTAAAGATAAGATTAGACAATGGAATTGCTTTCTAACGATAAATGAAAGTTCTTTACCGAAGAAGTAAAAATGAGTAATGGGGTATCCTCCTAAGCTTTAAGCCTTTAAACACTACAGCTAAGCACACTAAAGATGACAAATGTCCAGATTTAACACTAATTAATTTATCATAGTACGAATGTGGCGATGATTTTTTTCACTTTTCTCTTCAAAGTGTAGTTTGTTTTCTTAAAAGATGCAGGAAGATCTTTGCAAAACTTTAAACTATCAAGTTGCGCAAAATGTTGAGGCTCTCAATCACCAAGCTTCATTCGTTATATTTTAACAATTCATTTTGTTAAACTAAAATGAGACAAAAAGATAAAGTGACAGTTTATTAATAAAATTGTACCCCCAAAAAAAAAAAAAAAAACCCTATAAGAAGGTCAAGTGCCAAAAGATTTTGGTAAAATTTACCTATATTTTCTTTCTGATTATCGAAAATTTTGTGTTAAAAATAACGCGAGACGACTGTCTATGGTAATGATTACTTTCTTTGTTACTCGTAAAATATTTAATTAAATAATTAAAATTGCTCTATATTGGTAGTTAAAATTCGAAATCTGACATATGATTGACAATGGGCGAATATTTTCCTGCCAAGTACAACTACTTTGGGGCATGGGGCAACCACTTCCCAAATGTATGGGCAGGAAAATATAGCCCGATTGGTGTGTTATAGTGGCTATTAGTGATTGTATTTTGAGTATGGATTCTGCTATCTAGCAAACTAGTACTACCACCACCCTATTAGGAATGTAGCATTTGTGATGCCGCAAAACTCAATTGTCGTCAATCCAAATCAAGCCACATGATATGTGGGCTTTGGAAAAAAAAAACAAGCACTGTAACTGACAGGTAGTTTACTAGCCTTTTGATCTCAACATAGGATTAGATGCGCCTGTTGAACTTTTATGAAAAAACCTCGTCCCCAATTCCTGATTGGACATTGTTTACCACTTTGATAGTTTGATCTGACTAATAATTTGATGAAAGTTTGGCACAAGTTTACAGGTCCATTATACTTGTTCTGTTTCAAACTCAACATGAGAAAAAATAATTGCGATAATCTTATTAGTAGAAACACATTTTATTTTCAAACACTTTGTCTTCGCTTAATCAAACTGCCTAAACAGAACATACACACATTAGTCCTCTGATAAGATTTTCTTCACTTCGATTAATCTTTATCTTTATCATCTTCTTAGTCGACAATTAATGGTCATTGATACATCCAAACAAAGATCAACATATAAAGTGGAAATGTTATGCCAATCAGCAATTTTGTGAGAATTCAAAGAGTCTCCACAATTCTTCAAGGCATCATAGGCCATAAGAGCATCGTAGCTGACGAATTCAGGGCCACCCTTCAACTCTACGGGTATGCCCTGCAGTTGTCCAATGCCAAGTTCATAAGCAGAAACGCAGTCCGTCAGGGCCGATTTCAATGCCGGCGATATCGATTTTTGGCCATGATTGTATAACCTGGAGAGATAGTACTCTCTGGTTTTAGTAGTTTTTCCAGTTGCTAAATCAACGGAAATAAGAAAAATTCTAGCATTGCCTTTCGCTGAGGAGCTTCTGGGCCGTTCCAGCCCTTTTTGCTTTATGGTTGCAAAAGTGATTTACAGCTTTGTATGGTTCTTGTTTTCCCCTTCCTACGGGAGCTGCAAATGTGGTTACTGGTGGGTTCAGAATGGAAAGGGCTACAAGGTTAGGAAAAGAAGAGACGGAACCGAGTTACTCCCTCCATCCCAAAATTATTGTCTTGTTTTGTTAGGATACAAGATTTTATTTTTAGTCAAACTCAATATTTTTTTAGCGCAAGCTTTTAAATATACCCCTGCAAATATAAATGGTTTCACCGGCCAATTCAAAAACCCATCTGAGAGAATCTTCCCACAAATTTATCACCTCCATTAACAATCGATGACGATGATGAAAATGATTACACTCTGTTTCCTTCCAATCCAAGCTATTTTATCAACAATTCATCATTTTTGCTAAAGATTTTCAACTCCCTTTAAAGTAACAATGACTTAATCACTTCTGACTCAAAACTCAAACTCAAAAGCAAGAACAAAACTTTCCTTTTCTTCTTCACTTAGGCACCTATAATCGAACCAATTCAGGGGAAGAACTTTAAATTTTGAGGAATCTTCTCACTCTATATTTCAATCTAGTATTTAAGAAGACAATTCTTCAATTTTATTGAAAATTTTTTGGATTAAAAGAGGGTTTCAACTGTGAACCGCCACTCGAACAAAAACTTCGGATGAATTGATTTGATTTAGATGAAAGTTCTTACTCTGAGTTTTCAATCTGATGCTCTTCCACCGTGATAATAATTCAGTGAATTTCATTAGAATCCATTACCGATGCTTTAGAGCCGTCGAAATTTGTCAAAATTTCTTCTCTAAATTCCTTTTCGACAACTTCCCGGCCACCTCATCTTCACGGCTGCTTGAATTCGTCGGAGAACCGCCGCTGGTTGCAGTCGTCAGAGAACATGTGTTGCAGTTGGTGTTGTTTGGTTCTACGGTGTATGTTGGAATAATGGAGAAAATGGGTTCAGTGAGACTTTGTTCTCCTTAGGGATGAAAAATATATATGTAACTTAACTAAAAAAAGTCAAATCGGATAATAATTCTAGAATAAATTTTTTTTAGTAAAATGGACAATAATTTTGGGACGGAGGGAGTATTTGCCATGTTTTGATTGTTGTTTACTACTACTAAACCGTAGAGATGCTGATGATGGCTGGTATTCTATATTTAAATAGTATGCTACGAATGAATAGCCTCTTGGTGCTTTGCAAATCTCCCCCCTTTTAGATGAAGCTTCAATCTAGACATCGATATTCAAATTTAACATACATATTCCATAAGTACAGTGATTAAAAACAATAAAAAAATAATGACGGATGTGGATTAAAAATACTGAAAAAATAATAATGACAGATGTTGAAAGTATAGTGATAAAAATAATTAAAAAAAATAGTAACAAATGTAGAATATTTTATTTATCACTTTGATATTACATTTTTATTCTTAATTAAGAAATAAATATGTTTAATAAAAGAGATATTTTTATATTTTTACAAGTCACTGTCCTATTTCACAACCGATTGTCACCGTTCGTATGCACATGCACCGTGCCAAATTATAAATTGTTCACCGACCAGAAAATTGCGCCTAAACCGACCATAAAATTGCGTTATCTCCAGAGTAGCCTGATTAGAACTTATTGTGAATCATTTTAAAGCAGCATTGTGAATTGTGGTTTGGTTGCACCAAGACCAGTCCAAAGTTGTCTTAGTAGTTACTACTGCTGTGAGTTCTAAAAGGCATGCGATGATATTGTAATTGTTTGTTGCCGTTGTGATTCCCTTCTGGTGGAATGGGTAAGCAAAAAATATGAAAACTTGGAAGACAAGACGCAGGACTATCAATTCAACGAAGAAAACGTTCAATTTTCAGTGCAATGAACAACCATGACTATCTGTGACACATACACAAATACAAGGCTTTATTTTTTTCAAGTCACATAAACAAAACACACCGATTTCATCATCTCAACACACAAACAGAGACAAAACATCCACAGGAAAACAGGAACAGGATTTTCATATGATAGAAGAATCAGGTGAAGAAGAAGATGGGTATAATGTTTACTGTTTAGCCAGAAATTTCAATGGCCTTAACCTCAGGCTTCTTAACCTCTTCTTTTGGAACAGTCACAGTGAGGACACCATTCTCCATGGTGGCTTTGACCTGATCCACCTTGGCATTCTCCGGCAGCCTGAACCGGCGAAGGAACTTGCCGCTGCTCCTCTCCACACGGTGCCACTTGTCGTTCTTATCTTCCTTCTCCCGGCTCCTCTCTCCGCTGATCTGAAGAACCCGGCCTTCTTCGACTTCCACCTTAACTTCCTCCTTCTTCAGGCCTGGAAGATCCGCCTTGAATACATGGGCTTCGGGTGTCTCTTTCCAATCAATTCTGGCACTTGCAAATGCTGATGTGTCCTGTACTGCTGGGCTTGACAAGTTGGCCAATGGATCCCAGATGTCCATTGAGAATGGATCGAATGCACTGCTTCTTCGGCCACCGAAAAAGCTTGGAATCAACGACATTTTTCAGGAAGCCGGAAACTTTGGAAATTTGAGATGAAATTGATTGGGGAGCTTTTAGAATAAAGAGAAGATGATTACTGAGCACTTATGAAACTTACTTCACTGATTGATGAATGAAAGTTTAACGATGGCGATATATATAGAGAGAGAAATCGGTGGGCAGAGGAGATAGGTCTAGCGTTTTCCAGCATTCTCTTCACCAACAAAAGATTTTCAATCATCATGATCAGGACTCAGGAGTACCCGCCTTCGGCCTTTCTCTATAATCTTCCACAATGTTCTTGATGGACCCGGGATTAACCAGAAACTGCCGCGTGTTCTCTTTATTCTGTTTTGGTACATAACAGCCTAATGGGCTTCTATCCTCCTTATTGGGCTATGGGCTTTGAAGTGTTTAGCATTCCAGTGGACCACAACTAGTTGTGACCGGTTAGCCGGTTAATTCCAATTTTGTCAATTTTGCATAAAACCGATTAAGTCATCGGTTTAACGGTTTCGGTTTATCAATTTTCGGTTTAATTACCGATTTATACCGATTTAACCGATAATATTTGTCATATATTTTTGAACAAAATATAATTGATGTTTAGCTTCGCTTTTAAATTTTGTTCTACTAATTTATATAGTTCATATCATATTTTAAGACCATCAAATAATGAAACTCTTTTTTAAACTCGCAATCTACAATAAAAACAATCAAAACCTTTTATTCAACCAAAAAACAAGTTATTACAACAAAATCTTTTAGTAAAATAAATTGACAAAATGAAAAAGATTAATGTCATAGAGATATGAAACATAAAATTTTTTTTTCTAGATTTATAAATTTTAATTGTTATAATTGGTTATTCGGTTTAATCGAGAAAGGTATAAACAAAACTGAAAACCGAACCAATTAATTGGCAAAAAACTGTTTAACCGAGACCTATTAACCGATTAACCGATTGTTCGGTTAATCAGCTTGGTTTTATGTCGGTTTTTGGTTTGGTTAATCGGTGTCGGTTTTTTTGAACTCCCCTAACCACAACTTTGTGAAGGTATTCCACGTAACTAATGATATTTAGAATGAAAATCTATGTTTTGAAAACCGGACTTCGATGTAAAGAATTGGAACGGATCGAGATTCTCTATTTTTGGAAAAAATAATAAAAATCGGGGTCAGTCGGTTTTCACCGGTTCCCCGGTCAAACCGCGAATTTGACCAGGTTTGACCCATTTTTTACTCAGACCGTTTTTTTGTAAAATCGGACCAGTAACGTGTCTGATTCCCAGTCAGACCGGTCCAATCCGGTTTTAACAACATAAGTAAAAATGCGACAAAAAAAACTCAAATCACACGACCGCACCTAGCGACGGAACTAGCATAGTGCCCGGTAATGTGTCTACTACCGGAGCTCTAATAGGTTTTGAATCTTCTCTTTTAGCTCTCCCAATTCTCATAAGAAAAGACTAGGAAGGATCTACATATAAGGAGGAGAGAGGGAGAGGCTTAGAAGATTGGTAGGCAAAATTTTTAATTGGAGTTGCCAATAGAAGTTACAACGGTGGGCGGTTGCGGATGATATATGAAGAAGTTGTGGAAGCGTGGAAGATTTGATAAATTATTGATTATTACCAATTGGTGCATATAGTTTAAGAGTTTTCAAATAGACCCATTCTCATATTTTTCAGTCCCTAGTCCTTATTGTTCATATGCTTAATTTGACCCTATTTCGTCCAAGTTTTTAAGTACAATTCAAAAAGTTATTTTAAATACAAATTGATATTTACCATTAATAAAAATATATTAAACTTATGAAAAAGAAAAAAATTCATATTTAAAATCCGATTCACCAAATCTAAAAGCCTAGTTCTGCCACTGACCGCACTCTTCAGTCCCCCCAGACAGTATTGCTAAACTCGGCTTGGATCGCCCGGTCAAACCGGTTTAATCGGGAATCGGACCCTAAGCCGAAACGAGTAAGTCATATAATCGGTTGTTTGTGACTCGGTCAAAACCGGTCAAGATTCTGATTAAACCAGGAATCGGTCAAACTCGGGTCGAACCGGATTTTGACTATTAGTCTACTTTTTAGAACTTTTTACTCCCTCTGTCCCAAAATTATTGTCCAGTTTGAAATTTTATTTTTAGTGCAATTTGAACTAGAATTGAAAATCCAAACTAGACAATAATTATGGAATGGAGGGACTATTTTTTTGCACTACTTTTGAGAATAAACTTTTAACTTTTGACCCTTCATTAGATTCTTTGTGTTATTAATGGCCCATAACTTTTATATCTAATGTGATTTAGACCTTAATTTCAAATGTTTAAATCCAAATTTTAATTTAGTCATTCATCTCACATCTCAAATATCAAATTGAGTAACAACTATTCTTTTGAACTAAGGTAAAAATATTATAAACTCAATAAATTGAGCAATATTCATCACTTTATACTAAAGTTGAAAAAGTTATTACCAAATGTGTTGATTAAACATGCAATGTATTTTATTTATGATAAAAGTCAATTATGTAACAAATTTATTAATTTTTTTATTATAATAAAAGTTGATTTAAACTAATATTCTAGCTAATGTGATAATTTTGCTTCACAAAAACTCAAAGCGCTAGTTTAATTGTAACAATTGACAAATATATATAGAATCTATAAAATTTTATTTAAAAAATATAATTATTAATTTTTAATATTTATTACGTCATTGTAACGTCATCGGCTCCGAGCCTGACAACAATGCCCCCAGCTCCGCCACTGGTTGGTAATAAATCATAAAGAAGTGTAATACTAAAAGTTTTATAGATTACATAGATTTAATTCAGTAAACACGTAAGTTCCTACAAGGAAATCGAAGAAAACAAAAAGACGAGAAAAAGAAAGAGATCATAATATAATTGAAGTGATTGGTTATAAAATAATTTTTCATATACGCGCCATCATTAATGAGGAACAATAACATGAGTTAATGAAGATGATGAATTAGTTGAAGATCAATTAATTGTCACAAAATTACTTAAGGAGACCGCTTCTTTTAGCAGGCTAATGTTTTTGACCTTTGTACTAGCTAGTGTGGCTATGGAGTATATGAATAGCTTCTCATTTGCCAAATGGCGATGCCAAGCTGGTGCTAAAAAGGTGGTCACAGTAATTGCGAGGCTTACCAGAATCACCATGCCATAGTATTGAAATGCAGCTAGACGCTAGTAGAAGTAAACATAGGAGTAATGGTTTTTTTGGGTGTTCGTTCTTTGACTCCTCAATCAATTCAAAACACTCCAAATCTCCTCTTTAATGTCCAACTGATTTCCTCTGCCTCACCATTTTCCCATCCCACTATTTAATGTACAAAACACTCGTGTTCTGTAAACACTAAAAAGAAAAAAACAAAAACCATCGAACATGATGATGACTGATAAGAGAAATAGTACAACTGTATATGCTCTCCTTTTCGTGCTCTTTATTTCCCTCAATTCACCCACATCATTTGCAGTTGCAAAGGAAGATGCCCCTGTTCTCATGGAGGCAGAACCTCCTGCTGCTGCTGCTGACCATGAACCGTACCATGCTGTGAATGGGTTCTGTGCCCAAAGGCCCAACAGAAAAGACAGGGAATTCTGTCTCAGGGCCCTTAAAACCGATCCCAGAAGCGCCGCCGCAAGAGATCTACTCAGCCTCCTGCAAATTTCGGTGGATTTAGCAGTCAAGAAAACAAACGAAGCCCATCAATTTTTGATAACTCTGTCCAAGAAGAAGAATAATTCAGCGACGGAAAACCAATCACTAAAGGCGGTTCTTAAAGACTGCTCATTTGCCTACAGTTGGTGCCTCAAGGAGTTGGAGATGATACCCAGAGAACTGCTGGATGATGCTGCATTGGCTAGCTATGATGCACTTATGGCTAGTGATGCTTTGCAGAGTTGTAATGAGTCGTTGAAGAAAAGCAACATTGCCAATCATTCCATTTCGCGAATGCATAGAGATGTTGCCCACTATGTTCTCCTCTGCGTCGACATTGCCAGGGGAATTTGATTCCTCTATTTGTATTCTTTTTGAAAATTGATTTGAGGAAATATCAAATGCGATTCCCCATTGCTCTTAATTATTAGTATTGTTATTTCCTGATTATGTATTCATTCAGCTCCTCTGCTCAGGAGATTATTTCCTGCTTAAAATACTCGTCAGTAGCTAGTAAAGTGCACTAAAATTAGTATGCCACGATTGGAAAAAGACGATAAACTGAGTATAACTGTTTGTAAATGATACTAGTGCGTACATTTCCGGTATGTCAACAAACAATCAAATTATACCTAATGGGTCCTAGACTCCTAGCCTTACTATGAGTAGGTCTTCACACACGTTACACCACTAATGCAAGCAAAGACATAACCAACCTAATGCTCGAGGAAATCTCACACAATGCTAAGAGAATTTAGAAGCACACAAAAGGAAGCAAACCATCAGTGGTCAACAACAAAGTTCACATTTTCTGCTCCTTCACTCTTTTATCACTTTTTAAGAATACATCTTTCGTAAAGAGCCAACAGATCCCCCTTTTTGTGGGGGGCCTTCAGCGCGACCACCTCATGTCCAAAACCATGTTTGGTCAGCTCTTGTTTCAATTTATTTGCTGTAAACTTGGTATAGTCTTGGGAGTTTGTCTGCTGGCTCAGTGTGTCATCATCACCTCGATAAACCGAACCACCATCTTCAGGGGAATGAATCTTCAAAGGGCTGCTGGTGCTCTTCGATCTCTTGTTTCCCCGACTTACTCTGTCATTCGTGCCAACATCATGAGTGGACTCCATCCCAGTTTCATAGTCTTCAACTCTGGCTCGTTTTCCGTGGGAGGCAGTCCTCAACTTGCCATCCAAGGCTGTTTCGTTTAATCGAAGTGCAGTCACCTCTTGCTGGAGCATGTCCAGCTTTCCTTGGGTAGCTTGCAGCTGAAGTGAGAGTGAGTCAGCCAATTTGTTAGCTTCTGAACGAGCTGCGCGTTCAGTCTCCAGCAATTTCTCAAGAACTTGAACTGTGTTAGCCCTCTGTTCATTATTCGATTTCAATAAGGATTCTATTTCCTTTTCTCTCTCTTCCACTCGAGCCTCCAGCAATGCAACTTTAGAGACTGCATCCATCTCTGAAGCAATATGTTGCTCCAACTCAATTTTCAGGTCGGCTTTCTGCCTCTCTAAGCTTTCCATGAGCCTCTCTGCTCTCTCTATTTGGGCCAATCTCTCTATTGAGGTTCTTTGAATTTCATTCTTATCTTTTTGGGCAGCGACCGCTTCAGCTCTGGCCTTATCAGCCAGCTCCGTCGCCCTTTTAGCTTCTCTTTCAGCAGATTTACACCTTTCTTCAACTTCTGCAAACCTACTGAATTCAGATTGATACTTCTCCTCCAAATGAACCTTTCGTTGCTCCAGATCCCTGGCCTCCCTTTCAAATGATCGTGCAGTAGCATTGGCACTCTCAACCCTCTCTGTCAATTCCTTGATTTCATGTCTCAAGCTAGATACTTCCAACTCATAATTCCTCATTTTTGATTCAGCAGCCTGCAGAAAGTATAAGCAGATTATGAAAGTTCACTAGTACACATTCTGCAGCATGATAAAGGCATCTACTCACCTTCAAATCTAAAGTCAGAGTTGTCACACGCTGCTCAGCATGCTCAATCTTTGACGTTTTCTCCTTGATTTCCTCATCCTGTAGAAAAATTTAGAAACAAAATCAGGCCCGACTTCAAACTTCCCAACAAAAAAAGCTTGTGGATTTGCAAGTATAGAATTAGTAAGAGATATAGATTTGAACCTTCTCAGCCAAAGTAGTGGAGTACTCCGCCCTAAGAGCATCTTCTCTCTGCTGTGTTTGCTTGCTTGTTCGTTCCTGCACTGTGGCGGCCTTCTCAAGGGCATTTTTGGCTTCTTTGACAGCAATGTCATATTTCCGTTTCCACTCCTCAGCCTCTTCTCTAGCTGACTGAGCTTGTTCATGTGCAGCAGCCAATCTGGCTTCAGCTGCATGGCTCTTGGATTTGAGGATTTGAATCTCCGAATTAGCTTGATCTTCTGCAGACTTCTGCTTATATGACTGCTGATCGTACTTCCTTTTCCATTCATTCGACTCCTGCCTAACTGAATCTAACAATCTGGATGTGCTAGAACATCTCTCTTCCAGTGAAGTGATTTTGAGCTGCAAATTACCTATCTGTCTCTTATAATCATCTTCAAGCTTCTTCATATCAATCATAGCATCCTCGTAACGCTTCAAATTGTCGGATTTATGTTTCTCAGCAGCTTCATACTGTTTCTGCAGTAAACTCATTCTATCTTCAATTGAACGGCATTTAAGAGCAAGTGCACTCCTCTCTGATCTAACTTGATCTATTTGTTTCTTGATGAGATCAAGAATTGGACCCCCCATGCTGATGAAATAAAGTGTCAGAAGTATTCAAAAAGATGTATCACATCAACTAATAAAACTTGAATACGTAACTAACCTTTCTTGCAAGAAATTGGACAGCATTTTCCACTTTTCAGGACCATGACAATGAGATTCATATTCAGATACAAACCCATCAAGAACCTTCATAAAAGATGCAACATACAGGTTTCAGCTAAATTTTTGAATAATTATATAATAGCTAACTCATCATCGTCCACCTAAACAATTAACCAGAACATACAGACAAGCTTCATTTCTCTGAGAACAAGAAACTGCATAAATTAAGAGCTAACCTTCAGGACATTATCTAGTTTAGCATCAGGAGCCTGGCAGGCATTTTTTAGATCCCTTTCCATTTTTTTAATGGACTTTGTGCAATGATCCAAAGCTTCTCTGAAAGCATTTTTTTTAATATCCTGCATCAGGCCCAAGTAAAGTAAATTTTGGCAAAAGTGAGCTGCATTATCTGAATGCAGGCAGTTAATTCCAGAAAGGCAATATTTCAGAAAGAGCAAAAAACAAACCCTCACACATACAAGTGATGCAATGGATCATAAAGTACCTCAAACGCCCTTTTCACGAAGGTTTGAAATTGCTTTTCATGCTTCTGCCTGATAGAGCCAGTCCCTACAGCAGTGCTATTAAATGCAGCCACTGCTTTTTGAACAGCATCTTCGTGTGCTTCTCTAAGGGACCCCTACAACCACAATTAAGATCAGAAACCAAACTGTAAAAAGCAACTCAAGACTCCTTTAATATAATTAAAAAAAAAACAAAAAGAAAAACACACACACACACACACATACTTCATCAGCAGGCTTTGAACGGTCAAATGAAGACATGTATACTTCAGTACCCAACTCAAACGCTCTTAGACATTCAGCTTCTTCAACACTCTGCAGACAATAAGAAAACTCAGAAAAGCATATTATTGAGAAAAACTACAAGGAATAGCTATAATATAAGAAATATTTTGAAAATTACAGAGCAAAGTTAGCACTGAATGAAACACAGTCACAAAGTGTATAAATCAAATGAAGCGGAAAAGGCAACCGATGAAGTGCAAATTTGCTGCTGGAGAAAAAAAAATCCAGCCAAAGTTGTTTAGTCAAATATTGAGCCACAGCCAAAAAAATTCTTACTTTTAACTTTCAAAGAACCATACATTACTGGCTAAGTGAAAAAAGTCCTAAGACCTTCAGCTAACTATTGTTGATATGAATTGTCATCGAACTTGGTCTAGATTATATTCTCAAATCAGATTAAGTCTACAAAACCAGCGCACTTCAAATTGACAACATACACATCTAGGAAGATTGAAGAATAAAACTTTTGAAAGGCAAACAACCCAACTATTATAGTAAGGACAGCGAAAAGGTGCACACGCTACACACTCAAGGACTAAATAGTTCAAACGAAATTGAAACAAATTCAATGTCATTTGAAACACCTAATTCATTCTAGAAGACAATTTTGGAATCAGCACAAAACTATAGAGAATAATCAGGAATAACTTAACCCACTTTAACCAGATTTCTTCAGAACAGGATTTTTCCTCTCATTATTGCCACACTCTTTTACTAGTTTAAAGCAGCAATAAAAAGTCCTTGTGCCAGTATGGAATATAATAAGCCAATTTTAGTATTCTGAGAGTGGTAATATATATAAACTTTCGAAAAAAGGCTCAACACATTAATTCGTACGATTAGGTCCACCGATAAAGTAAATGAAAATTAACATAATGAAGCCATATCATCAAGCATAACCTGCCACGAAGATGTTATTGTTGGCACTGCACCCTTGTTAAGAGCATCAAGGAAGGACTGTGTGATCCGAGCCAGAATTGGCCCTGTCATCACTGTTGCTCCCATTTGCTTTGGACGTGTCCTTTCGAACACAAACCTAGTTAAAGCATCAAGACCCGCCCTGAACTCTGGTCGTAATTTGTCTAGCTGCACGTCCAAAGAAATTCGCAAGTAAGTGACAAGCATAAAGCATCTAAATATTCAATAATACAACTTTAAAAATAGTGGAATAGATCTACTCACAGGAATTTGATCCATTCGTTGAAGATCATTTTCATCACTCAGAGGCCGGACAAGAGTAAAGCACTCTCGGTCAGGAAAAAGAGCACGAATGGAATCCCGAATCTGCAATGGATTTCTCTGATTCATCAGCATATGAGAATAAAATAATAGCAGCAGTACAATGCAACATTGCAGCTATCTATAAAAACCAGTCCCCCAACCAAAACAATCGTAATAGTTAAGAACATCCAATTGCTCAAAAAGAATCTTGAATAAGGATAACAGACCTCGTTCTTGGCAGTTACATCCCTAACACCACCTTGAACAGGTCTCAAAGCGATCTCTAAATAGTCACGAGGAGTTATTTTCCGATTGTCCTCAACCAAGTCCAGATAGAAGTCCTGCAAACAAAAATAAAAGTAAGCACATCTGTCAAGATTGGAAAGCTCCGGTAATTGGTGTAGAAAGTTTATACAAGAATGAATCTTGCATCAAGCACCATTAAATCCAAAAGAGAAGTCCAATCCCAGTTACCCTGAGAAGCCACACAAAAATTGGAGAGAACTGCCCAAGCTCAGAAACTGTACTCCCTCCTGCTGCTCGAACTCGAATATGCTTTGTCATTTCAGTAACCAAAGAGAGGCGATCAAGTGCAGCTTCATCAATACCACCCATCTGACCAAGAAACAGAAAGAAAGACAGCATGAGGGAACCTAAAATTTAGTATTTGTGCATAGAATAAGTACATAACACAAATCAAGAAATTGAAATGGTGAGGATCATATTGAGTAATCAACATATACTATTGAATGGTCAATATTAAGCACCACAAAATAAAGGCTCTAAATGGCAACGCAACCAACCTGGTTATAAATGAACATGCTTGACAGGAGTACAGCCAACGAGAATATTTGCGTACTATATGTTCCCTGGAAATGATGAGAACAAGAAAGGCAAAGTTAAATATATTGAACTAATTTGTTTTTCCCCCAGGGTTGTCTGCATTGTATAAACACATATGAAAGTTACAGTGTGCCATCCAACTCATACGAAAAGGTGTGTTCACAAGGAAAACAAAATAAAAGAGAAAAAAGAAATCAAGAGAAAGGTAACAAACAATTTACAAACTCACATTTGATATATCAAATTCATAAAATGGTTATCCGAGAATTAGACTTCCACTAGAAAGAAGCATGAAAAATAAGCAGAAAGATTTAAAACTCTCAAGAGGTTGTGTATGCAAAAGAACAACAGAGAAGACTAACCGTTTGATCATATGCATCAATCCCTTCAGTATCTAAGAGTAAGAGATTGTACTCAGTTCCATCAAGCGCAGTTCTTTTCAAAGGAGCACTCCAAAGCCAAATGCCTTTGGTACATGGCCGATGAGTTGCTGCAACTTGAAAACCACTACTTCTTCCAAGGAGCTGTAACACATAAACATAGCAATTCTTATAGCTGATTAATATTATGGCTATACAAAATTAAATACAATATCGCCCAGACAAACAAATATAAACAGATTCACGCCTTGTTATTCTTTAGAGTAATGCATAAAGGTCACAATTATTGACATCTTTTAACAAACTCTGTCCTACATAGATCACATTGCTAACAGAAACAATGAATCTGACAGCATAAAGTGCTGAAAAGTTAAAGCCAACTTGAGATCCCACGCAGACAGAAAGAAACATTGCACTAGGGATGAAGATTATTAATCCATAGAATTGGGACAGGAAGCCTGGGACAAGAAATCCACACACACAAAAAAAAAAAAAAAAAAACCCTAAAGTTTACCATATGAGGCAGTTGATGGAACAAAAACTTGATCTAAAAGTCTCCATGCTCTATTTGGTCTCTTTTGTGGAAGCTGTATACTGGTTAATTTAATCAAGGTTCAAGATCACTTTATATTGATTATAAGTAACTCGTTATGACCACTAAAACTTCATTCTCAGGAAAACCTCCACAGAATACTTCCTCATTGTTTCACAAAAGCCAAACGTAGAATTTGATTTACTTAATCAGATGGCTCGAGCCAAATGCTGCTACTCGGTCCAAAGAAAAACTTTCAGTCCCATTAACCCCCAAGACAACATAAACCTAAAAATCTCAAGTTCGCACCAAATTCATTCTAGCATAGTTCAGAATGATTGTGCAGTAAACACTGGATGATGGCTCAAGAAAGCCATGAACCGTGGCAGAATAATCTATAACCAGCACAGTTATGCTATTTCTCAGAGCAATCTTTTCTCAATAACCATTAATATACCACCCTCGAGATTCTTTTTTTTTAAAAAAAATGAATCTTTTTCAGCATTATTCTAAAACTAAGTTTAAAAAAAAAAAGAAAACATAAGGCCAGTCCTAGTCTCAAATATAAACATTTCAAAAGCCATAAGTTCATGAAGGATGCCCTGCACTTAAATAGAGCGATGCTAGGCGTATCAAACTCTGTTTAAAAATCTTAGCAAGCACTTCCCTTCCCTACCCAAACCCAATCGGAACACGCAGGAAAATAAGTCAGCCTTGAACTAACCAACGACACTATATCCAGAACCCAACTCAAACTTCGTTTACTTGAAAACTATTGCAATGGCATAAACTAAAACCCTAGTTTCAAAAATTCGCTTAATGAAAAGTGGCAAAAGCACAAAAAAGCTCTATTTAGCCCCCAACTGACCTGATTCAATATAAAACTCTTTCCTTGACGGGCACGACCGCAGACGGAGACTACACCGACTGGTTCTTTCACAAGCTGGAGAACGGCGAGAGCCTCAGGATCAATCTGGAACTTACCCTTGTCGTCACAGTATACGAAGCGAATCGGACGAGCAGGTCCGCCGGCCATATTAGAAGACCGAACAAGAGGAGGCGGTGGCTCCGGCGACGGCGAGGCTTGCTGGGGAGATTCGCTATTTGAGCCTTTGCCCCAAAATCTCATGGTTTATTTTTTTTTTGGTCTCGGAATTTCTTGAGAGAAGAAGAGTAAAGTGCGTTGTGTCAGTGTGTGACTATGTGTTGTGTGGGGATCCAGTTCTTCTTTATTGGAAAGGCAGCGATTTTAAAAGAGCGGAGGGAAAAAACATTATCGAAGGTTTTTCATCGCTGCTACTAAAGATGAAGTTTTTACACGGAGCTTCGCTTAAAAAACACGCTGAAAATTTCCCCAACATAAAAAAGGGGGTAAAAGAAAAGTAAAAACTCGAAATTGGTTACAGTAACTGCTAGTTTTTTTTTTTTTTTTTTTGGTAGTTATGGAAAAAAAATTACTGTAAATTCAAAATTCAAATTCTAAAATGGAAAGAAGGAAATACTCAGCAAAGATTTGGAATATTTTGTGATTGAAAGTTTGGAAGTAAAAGGAAATTGAAGAGTTTTGCTTTTAGAGATTCAGAGAATGCAAAATATAAACACAGCATGGAAAGTACAAACGTCTGAATTTCCCCGAATATTGGGACTTCCAATAATATGGTTTCGTGGCCTTATTAGACTCACCCATACTGGCCCGATATATGGACTAAAGATTAGCGTTTTTGGGGCTAATCAAATAGTCTAGCCCAAATTTTCTTTGAGACGTAAAATGAACAGATTAAAACCATTCTTCCTTTGGGCTTAATATTAGCCCAGCCCTTTCCACCCGAATGTAGACTGGAAGTACCAAAAATATACTATTGAATTTTCTAATTTTTCAGGAAGGTCCAACTCCAATTGGACTCACTCCAAGCGGTACAGCAAATAAATGATGCCTCCAAAACTCCCATTTGCAAGTAATGTATTACCCAAAATTAGGAAACTCATAAACAATAGTCAATGAGTTGTCGAAACAACTCACATTACACTGTCATAAGTTATTGAGCAAACATCTAGTTCGTAAGAGTATGGATGTTTTTAGATCTCACATGTTGGGTGGCATGTAGGTACAAATATACAATTGTAAGAGAGTTATTTCTACTAAGAAAGGCGATACCGAACGCATAAGAGCTTATTTTCCTTGATTAAAATGGGATATGACGTTGAAATTCTAATTTTGAAGATATATATCCAAAGTGACCGAGAAAAGTAAAAAGGGGCTGTATGTGGAATTAGGGACCATTTTAGCGTACACTCTCTATCCATCTTTTTCAAATCTTATAGATTATGTAGTTTTTCTCCCACTCCAGAGGGTTGATGATTGGTGTGTACATACTTCACATTACTACAAAATATTTAGATCAAACGACCAATTACTTCAATGTTATCTATGTACTAACAGCTCAGTTGACTCAGTGCATGGAATTAAATGGGGAAAAAAAAAGGAAAAGAAAGAAAACAAAATGGCGTAGACGTAATCGTGTAGAAATCCCACAGCCAATCTCGATATTGGATGTGCGGGGACGAATGTCTCCTCTCCAAACGACAAATGTTCATGTAATGAGCTAATAAGAACATATTACTGTTTTGAGTGTATATTAATGGCCAGAATTGAAGTTTTAGCCTTAAGCGAAACATGTCTAGTTACGTTTATAGTTGCTAGGATATCACAAAATACGCCTTCGATAAAAAATGAATCATACTAGTACTACTTGTTTTCAACTAAATTAAACAGTATTTTTACTTCTCAAACTAAAAGTATAAGTCCAAACTTAATAATCATTTTGGAACGGAAAGAATATGTAATTATGTTAGAAAGATTTAAAATAGTGATGATACTATTAATATTAGTATTATCTATGATTTGAGAATTGCACAACTGACCATTACAATGAAAAATCGAACTACCCTTCGATATCTCTACATCATGATATGAAAGATGGGGTCAGCATATAGCCAGAAAATTTAGCAAAACATATTTAAAAACAACAAATGTTGAAATATCGAGCGCATATTGGAGGTCAATAATACTGCACCGTTTGTCCATATCCATTAATCTCTTGCACCCAACACAATTTGGTTAAAACTTAAAACTATGCTGGCCAAGAACTTTCATGTTCACCTTGCTAACAAATTAAGGTTGCATTAAAAATAATGTATTGGTTGAGATGAATTTGACATCATATACAGAATTGGACGGAGTGAGAGTATCGGGTTTTTTTTTTTTTTCAACGACTTGGATGATGTAAAAGGCATTAAGTGTAAGGGCGAATAATCTCAGTTTTCCAGCTATAAACCTAATCCTAACCAGTAGTTGTAGTAATACTATTTCCAAACAGGACGTATACGTAATTGCCAGATAGGCAGCTTCCCCACGAGGTGACAAGGCAATATTCATGCATGAAAACGACATGCTGCCCAACTCCCATCTCCATATCTTCAACGTAATTATACATATATTCAACCAAAGCTAATTAACATTCACATATAATGAGTCCATGACCATAATAATTGTGACAAAATTTTGCTCCATGATAAAAGAGGTCAAGTAGCAAACATGGAACGGAAGCAACAAAACGAAGTACTCAAACACCACAAGAAGAGGCTCACCCAAGATCAAGTAAAACTCTTACAAAGCAGCTTTGATTTCAACAACAAGCTCGATCCAGATCGGAAACTCCAACTTGCCCAAGAACTCGGCATACCCCCTCGAAAGATTTCAATCTGGTATCAGAACAAGCGCGCCAGGTGGAAAACCGAGAGCCTAGAAGCCGACTCCAAGGCTTTGAAGCTAAGGTTGGAAACCCTGTTGGATGATAATCAAAGGCTACAAAGTGAAGTAGGGAGACTTAGACTGGAGTTGCATAGGGCTCGAGAAATGCTATCATCTGCGAATAAATATTCTGCCTTTTCTTCTCAATTATCAAGCTCTTGCGATGAAGTTGGAAGCTCAAGTTTGATTCATGATCATCGACATCATAGCTCCAAACATCATTTGGACAAGGTTGATCTGTTTGCTTGTTTAATCGGTGGTTCTACTGGTCATCAAGGTCAGTTTGGGTCATCAGCAAGTGATCACGAATTTTTCCCTCCATCTTTGTCTTGATTGATCAAAAGGTTATGTGACTGATGCATCCACTTCATGTATATACCAATTCTTTTTCTCCATCAAGATTTGTGCAGTCTTTTGTAATTGTTAATCAAACAAACGTTGTGTTATATACTCCCTTTTATCCAAAGTGATTGTCCTTTGTCCAGTTTGGATTTTCAGTTTTAGTTCAATTTGTATTAAATTAAAAATCTAAGTGGACAATCATTTGGATATGGAAGGGGTATATATTTTCCGGCATGATGGCTCATGCCACCTATAATAGACTACAGACTACTAGTAGTTTGGAAATGGTTTTAGTTTTGTTTGTCGCACCGGAATGGGTTGTATTTGGCTAGTGGATGTAGAAATGTCCCACTCACGTGCAAGTTGGATGGTTGAATCAATGAAGGATGTAATGATATAATTATGCATTTGGTTCAACCATGCCAAAGAAAGCTTTAGATTTTGTTTTTGAGTACTAAGAAAAGGAGTCAATGAATTGCAAAGAGTAATTTGACAAGGCCCCCTGCGTTGTACCTGCCATTGATGTTTCATACGCAGAGTGAATGTTTAGCTGAAAGACTTGCACGCCAATTTGGATGGGAATGAAGCTGGAACTTTGGTCAAAAACAGATTTATGTCACTGACTTCAAAGATGCGTATGATGTTCTCAAGGAACTATGACTTAGAAGCGGCAGATCTGTTTGAAGTCACAACAGCCAGCCAACATCGAAATCAGCCAATCAAGGTGTGCAGACAGCATGTATCGGTTTCCAAAAATGATGATGAGGTATAGAAATGTTCGCTTTGAAGGTTCACCTTTTTCAAGATCATTTTAGTTACCTTTGTAGATTAATGGATTATTTTGTTTTGAGATTTCGTAAGTGTTGTAGCAGTCTTATTTTGTTTTGATATTGTTTAGGTTAACTTATGATGTACAAAATCAAACTTAAAAACTCATCCCTTATGATGAACAAAATCATGAGGTCTTCTTTTTGCATTGATTTTTCTGCTTATCATGGGATCCTTCTCACTGTTAAGGATTTGCAACCACAAAGTGAATGGCTGTACATCAGGTTCTAGATCCCTCTTTCTTTATTATTTTGCCTTACTATAAACATAAAAGTTAGGAATTAATTGGCCTTCCTAAACATAGAAGTTTGGAATTAAACAGCCTCACAATTGCATGGCTCTATTCAGAACAATTCAGTTCTTGTGAATTGAGTCACCTTAAAATGATGTATTTGTTCAAAAAATGTCAACTACTCCAACTTCACAGCTCAACTAATTCGCAAAGAATTACTGGTCACCCTCACCTCCGGGTCACTCCAGGTGTGTGCCTCTTTGATTTCCTGATTTTAATTTTTAGTCAACTTTGAATGATCATACCAAAACCTTGAACTTGTTCCTTGAGTGTATGATGTTAAAAGTTTCTGCCACAGTTTCAAGGATTTTGACTTTTTCCACCCCAAAAAAAAAAAAGAAAAAAAAAGGAAATGAAATTTCGGGATCAAAAAAATCAGCAAGATTTTCATTCATTCTGAAGAATGATACTTTCTTTCAGTAAGGAACTGCAAAAGTAAATACAAAATATACTTTCTCCTATCAAGACTGACTTTGAACGTGCCAAACTAAATAGAAACCAAGTGGCATGGATGGTGTGAAATAGCCAAATTATAAAATTATAAACTGCAACGCAATTCCTCCAAGGCCGTCCTTTTCATTTGTCAAATTCCCAAACAACACCTCCATCCTCTGCGGGGGAAAGTAAACAAGTTTGAAGTAAAAAACTGATCTCACATGAGATGAAATTAAGCAGACACAGGAAATCAATAAATGATGGTTGGAAAGCCTCTAGTGGAGAGAGCCCTACATGATAATTCCTTCACTACTATGAAGGTTATGGTTGGTTGCAGCACTCAACCGATACCAGTTAGCAAGTGACCAAAGGGCCAACAGCGTTTGGCTTCAAACATTACTATATGAGAATAAGAGTACAGACAAAAACTGAGCACACAGTTAAAAACTAACAGAGAAACAGTTCTAATTTGCAAAACATAGATCAAGCCAAGCCCAGTTTCAAAATGCAGCACTGATTTATGTTAAATCACAGTCATTTCAGCAAACAACAGCGATTAAGAGGTTTTCCTGCAGTGTATGACCCGGGCTTTGACAATTGACAATTCCAAATAACAATCGCTGCGCAATCCATTCACATCAACTGCCTGATGATTACGAAAGTAAGAATGAAAAAAAGAAGCAGAGTCAAAATCACACCTTTGATTTTCTTGTTTATCCAGATTTCTGCCAACATCCCAGCACCAACTCCAGCAACAATCCATGCACCATAGAATGCAACCGCCGATGGCAGAGATCTTCTGGGGAGAAAATAAGAATCTGGAATTTGTCTAATCTTTCTAGGCAATCTTTTCTTCACAACTTCTTCGCCGCTTTGCTCACTTGATCTGCCAATACTTTTCCACTCTATATCTTTAACTGGCTCTTCAGTCTTCCATGTGCCCATGTCGAATGGTTCTGGTTTGTGATCCATGATTGAACAAATCGATCAGTGAAAATCAACACAAGAAGATATCTTACCATTCTTTTTCTCTTCCAAATAATCATCTTTTATAGAGCAATAAACACACGTGTGATTTCTCAGCTCCATTCTATTCCATATAATCCATCACACAACAATATAGTAGGTTTCTCATTTTACCCCTCTCAGCAAACCCATTTGACCACTCTCCATTTATTTGTTTCTTTAACACAACGTTCATTGACACACTCATCAATGTCACCACCAGTATTCAGCCACCCAGCACCGCCATCATCACCTAACCTGAATTTTCCATTTGACAAGCATGGTTGCAAATTTCGCCTAATGTACAAAATCCAGTTGCCCTTATGAGGCCTCACAAGTCACAACGATGGTAACCGGCAAAGAAGCAAATATCTAAAAACCCAAACACACTGAGATTCATACGAATACAAATATACAATGACACAAAGTTTCATACAAACAGAGCATGCAGGGCACCTAATACACAACAAGAGAATTCATTCAGGCATAAAAACATACACCTAACGCACAAACAAAACATGCATGCTCTGAGAAATAAATGCACACAGCAGGTTTGCTTCATTTTCCATAGCTTGCAGTTCAATCATCTCAGAGAATGATTGCGAACAAAATCATCACAAAATCATTCATCGACACTTCAAAGCTAGTACTAAAAATTTGCTGCTTTCCGATTAAACCAAGAAAGAATAAAATCCCTTCACCAAGCGAATTGAAGACGGATTGAACAAGTGAGACAATTGAAGATTCAAAGGTAAAAGAACATTGGAAACCACACCTTGCAGCCTGTAATATCTTCAAATTCAACCTCAAAATCTACACTCCCTTACTCCATTCGCTGAACCGAAGCGTAAACCTCCTCCTATTGGAACCACAAATTTGCCCCCTTTTTTTCACGTAGAAGGATGAATAAGCTTAGCCTTAACGAGGAAATAAGGAAAAGAAAGAAAACAGCGAAAAGTGGGCATAACGAAGAGAAATCAACACCTGATTCATGGTGGAAAATGGGCAGAGAAACACCTGTAATTGGCAGGGATCACCGTGTAAAATCTAACGCCGGTCAACTCATCAAAGAGAAGTCCTAATAGGCTAATACTGTGACCGCTGACCCAGAAGAAACGGAGATGTCTATTTTTCACAATTAATTACTAATACAATTTTTTTTTCTTTTGGGTACATAACTAATACAAAATTATGAAATAGACACCAAAACATTTTCTCCACCTAATTTCACCCTCATTTTTTCTTTCCAAACGGAACTGGGTTTAGAACAGAAGTCCCTAGCAGGCTAGCACTCAACTTGAACTCCAGCGGCCTGCGATCCGTTTGATCTCTCTCACTCTGCGTTTTACTTCGTCCGCTCCGCCGCTGCCGCTTCCGCCTCCGCTTCCGCCTCCGCTTCCGCTTCTGGTAAGCGGCTGAACGTTGCCCATCTGTTTTTGAGATGTTAATTTTGACTGATAATTTTATAAAATAGGGTTTTCACTCTACTCACTTCATGAGTTTTCTCGCCTTCAATTGCTTTTTGTCCATTCTTGAGTCAGTTTCTGGAAGCGTTTTTAAAATTTTCTTTGTGGCTTACTGTTTATGCTACTTCAGTAATTCGTTTGTTTATCTTCTATGCTGCGTGTGTGTTTGGCTAATGGATTTTAGAGTTAATATTCTTCAAATTTTAGCTCATGGGGTTCTTTCTCTGTTACTTCATTTTTACTCGCCTCAAAATTATCATTTTTTTTAATCCGTTTGATTCTATATCGTCTCGCTGTATATGATGGAAACTACGTGTTTCTAACCACAGTTAATCGTTTGTTTCAATTATCATTGTTACGTTTTCTTATTTATGTCGATGTTAGGGAACAATGTTTTGAGTTCTGTTAGTTTTCCTGGATTATCCTAGGGCTTCACTTCGAATTTTTTTCTTTTTGTTCCGCTGTTTTGAAATTCGTTTGTTTCTTGTTTGGTTTTCAAATTTATGCTGTGTTCAGAGGAAAAGAAATGGATGCAGCAGCAGCAACTGAAGATTCTCTGAATGCAACTGTAAGTTCCACAGTTGTAGATGACCAGAACCATGGGAATCCTGTCTCCGAAATGTCAAATCACGGGTAAAACCTTGCTACAATAAGCAATGACTCACATTTACTATATTGGCTTGTTGCCTCTTTGCTGCTGTGGATCATTGTACTGCTTAATGTTTCTATGTAATTATATTGTCGTTATTCATATTAGGTAATTCCATGTTTCTTTAGATCTAATTGCATCGAGGGGCAGCATGAGATATCAGAAGAAGAAATAAGACGCATACTGGAAATGATTGCAGCAACTGGGAAGTTTTGGTATGAGCTTCTGCTGATATTTTTTTCTTCATACCCTTGTGTGGATGCGTAGGTGCATCATTTTATTTGATGAATCGTGGTCCTGCCATGTTTTCGTTTCAGGCATGAGTGGGCCAAATTGAAGGGAATGCTGTCCTTCTACCTAAACAAGGTATGGGTTGAAACCACGCGCTACAACGCGTTATCTTGGATCTTGTTTGGGCTTCAATTTTTTATCTTCTTCCACTACTATAAAAAATCTCAAGTCTTGTAATCTTTTGTCATGAAGATCCTTTCCCAGTACCCAGAGGCAAAATTGACAAGTGAACAGCAAATCTCTTCGCTGGGAGAAACTTTCCTTGAGTTGGTGAAAAGGTTGGATGATGGTATTTTCCACTCATGTGCCTATCTATTTTCTTTGTTTTTTAAAGTAGATACATCCTCGTGTTCCTTTCACCCAGGTCTTTGGTTGGGAAGGATATTGGAAATATTCGTCATCAATTGTGGTGGGTAGAATAACAATACGCTTTGTATGGATTGTGAAATTGAAAGAGTTCAGAAATTTGATGCTGTTATATGTGTTTCTTGGTTGTTTTTTGTGCAAACAGAGTGAGGACTTTTATGGGTAAAGTTAAGTGATTTGTGTAAACATCTCATATCCCCTTACTTTGCAGCTCTTTGCAGCTTTATTGAAGGCCCTCCGTTTACTTTGCAGAGGCTCTGTGAGGTTAATTTTCTTTCCCATTTTTATGTTTATGAATCGTATATGTGTTTTTGAAAATCAAAAGCTTAAATACACAAATCTTATAACTTGTACTGGATTTCGATTTCTACAGCATGAACTTTAAATTAGGTCATTCATCATTTTCTTGTTGCTCCCTTCTTCCTCAGATGGTTTTTTAGAGTTCTTTAACCCTTGTTGGCTCGTCTACTCTGGCCAATTATGGCCGATGTGATCATGGGGAGAAAGCTGGATCATGAGGTCCACTAGACAATATTTTAATGTCATCAATTGAATGATAAACTTTTATTTTCCCTGGCCTATATGTTCTACCTTGTATTAGTAATTGAGGGGGGAAAAACACCAAAGAAGCGGTCACATTTTATTTTGCTGTCATGGAAAAGATCAAGTGTGACCATGGGAATCTACGGATATATGATCTAAGACCAATACTATTCTTTTAGTTGCTATGCTGAATCGCATTGTTTAGGTCCTGTGTCGTCGCGTGAACTCTATCTGATTCTGTGCAGATTTTGTTGGCTGCTACTAGTATTTATCCAAAGCTTTCAAAGCTTGCATTGGCTTTGGAAAAGGTATTTTATGGAAGCTACTTTTTTCTTTCTTCTCTTCTCTTAATTTGGGAGGAGTTCTTCTGATCCAGCATGTAGAAGTTTGATTTTCGTTTGTGCATACTCATTCACTATTAGTTGACAGAACGAAAGCAATGGAACCTTACTCAGCCATTTAATTTTTGTGTCGTGGTTTTATATAGAATTTGTCAGTGACATCTATGTTGACCATTACAAAGGATCCATCTCCATCAGCTTTTGAGCCTCATAGATTGGCGACAGTGGAAGCGGAGGTAGAGAATTCCAGCACAAAACCTGATATGTTACAGAATGGCAATGGACAACCTTTGGCTGGGGACTCGGATGAAGTAATGACTGAAGTAGAGGAGACCAGAGTTGATGAAGCTATGACAATGGACATGGAATCCATTGAAGAAACGGTTGAGCCATCAGATTCAAACACAATGGACAATAACGGTGATTCTTCCAAGTCCAATAGCATCTAGTGTCTTTTGTATTAGGTATGATGAGCAATTTTTGTGGTTTTACACATTCTGAAACTTCTCTCTCTAAGTTTGTCCAAGGAAAGCTGTGTCTAATCTGGATAACAGCGTCGGTCAGTGAGAACTGAGATTGAGATTTATGAACTCAAATAGTATATTTTCTTACTTGTTTTTTGGTACTGGTACACAAATCAAATAACAAATTTGGGCATCGTTCTAATAGTGCCTCATTTGACACCCAGCATATGCACAAATAGCTCAAATGGCATTCTCAGTTATGATTAAAAGAAAATAAAAACAAATAAATGGCTAGTTATTTACGATTGTTAATGATTTCAATTTTGACCAGAAATCGTGAGATTGAAAGACCAAGTTCACGGTTTCCTTTAATTTTGTTCAACTTTTTGGTTGAAATTTAATTTCTGAAAAAGGAAAAAGGAAGTGAAAACCCAATGGTTTTATACAAGTCTGATTATAGAAATGTGTATACATTTGCATTGAGGATCAAACTAGGGTGATAAATATGCCGAAGTGATATATTTCCATAATCTCAGAGTTCTGACAGCTCCAATTTCTTTCTCTTTACATCAACTACTATCACTCTACCCACCCAAATGGTAACAATATATTAACAACGTCAACACAAAAAGGGGAAAACAAAGTAAGATAATTAATCAATAGGGTGTTTGTCAGCCTGACGAGACGTGTAATGGGCCGAAAGCAGAAGCAAAGAAAGAAAAGCACTAGCCACAAAAATTGCATCAAACCAGCGGTGGTAAAAGTCAAACTGGATGTCACCCCCCAATATCTCTGTTATAATTGTCCTGCAAAAAACCCAGCAACTCTCAGGTTAAACCCACGTGTATGTATGTTGACATGAAATTAAAACCCCAAAACCCAAATTTATGCAGCAATTACTCTTTAGGCATGGCATACACCTTAATAAGATTGAATTTCTGAAACAAATTAAACCACACATCGTATGAACAATTTTATTGCTAATGGCATATAGCCCCTAGCTTACAAGAACAATGTGGCTGATCCGTTGGGCAATCTCAAACTGGAGTATTTGTTTGGAAGGAAGAAAATACAGATACAAGAAAATATCTTTTTTTCGGACAAAGAAATAACGAGAAAATCAGCTACACAGAAAGTTTCGGTCTGATTGACTACACCAGAGCAAGAGAAAAACTCTGTAAGAGAGGTTGCAAAGAATACTTACCGGTATTCAGTAGGGAGGCTTTTCCTAATCAGAAGTATGGAGGAGACAAAATACATTCCCATGATTTCAGAGAGGAAGAGCACCACATTACTTGAAGATCCACTCCCAACTCTAGAAACTGCGAAGAAGAACTGTACAGAAAACACTAGTGTGAGATCAAGTTAAATCCAAAGAGAAGTTGTGGGACTCGTGGATAAATTATTGAAAAATAACCAAACAGTGATAAGTTTGATGACCAAAGCTGAAGGAGGAGAATTAATGAAACTTTATAGTTATGTATTTCACCATTTTGATACATCGAAAAGAAATGTTCAAAACTTAAAAGGGAAAGGAAACTCAGGACCATAAGTAAGAAATACCTTCATCAAGTTCGTTAAGAATCCTCGTACTGAAATGACGATTAACATCCCTATGAACAAGAGGGATATATACTGCACCACAAAAAGGATGAACAGTAAGAGCTTATAATACATCCAAAACAAAATTCCCGGCAAAGGCAGATAAAATCTTAACATAGTCTCAGATAAAATGAAGATTGCTGTATTAGATTGGATAAATCAAACTTACCTGTGACAATAATGTGGCATTGATGCCTATATCAAAATATTGCAAAAATATGCTGATAGTCAAGGTCACAGGATCAAGGGAACCAGCCTGTCAAAAAATAGAGAACCAGGACCAAAATGTATTACACAGAAGCCGTTTTATAAATAATGTTTAAAAATAAATGAGCCAATCAAAGTAGAAAGAAGGGGCAAAACATTACATTCTTGAAGACAACACTTTGAAGGGACTGCCAAAAAAAAAAATAATAAATAAAAAAAATTGATCAGCCAAATATACTTATTGTTAAATAGCAAGAAACCTGAAAGAAAGAAAAATCAAATTAAGCCAAACTAGTTGGATCCCCCTGCTGAAACATTAGTCAGCTCACAATTCCAGCAAATCATAATGGCTTTCTTTACCTTTATCATTTTATACACACAATATACAGACAAAGCATAACCCAAAAGGTTCTGCATGTGACCCTTCCATGTCCGAGAATAAGCTGCAGCTTCCTGGAAATAGTTTAAGAGAGGAGAAAAGTTTTGATTCAACAATCAGAGCTGAAAAACTGAACAAAGTTGGAATAAGAAAGCAACAAAGCAGAAAATATCATTAACATGAAGGTAGGCCACGCTTTTTAAAGCGTCTTGTATAGCCTATAATAAATCTATCAAATGCTGCTCGGGAGATTAGAAACGCAATGGCCCTTTCACCATAAAAAATGTGTAACAGCCAAGAATAAAACATTCAACCACACCTTAGCTTGACGTAGCTCATAGATTTCCAAAAAGAGCTGCTTTGAAAGTTCCTCTAAGGCTTGAACCTCTGCTTCCATGCCCTTGATATCTTTTTATAGAGACACAATTAAATTAACAACAGACCGACTTAGTTATATAAAATATGAGAGATAACATAAAAGAAAGTCGAACATAACCTCATGGAGACTTCAGTTACCACAAATTAAGAGGATGGATGAGAACAAAAACGGAGTTCAGTATAGGGATGGTCATATAGACTTTGCCAAAAGAAATTTAAGTCCATAGAGTTGCTTTTAAGTTTACAAGATATCTCATAACTCATATACAATGGGTCTTAGGATAATAAATTCAACCCAATAAATTAGAATATGAATTGTTTATCAAGAAAACAAAATTCTATATTCATTAAATGACATGGTAAAGCGGGTAGTACTATAGTAATCATGTTTGCAGTTCAGTGATCCTTACACTGGCTATAAACACATACCTTGCTCCTTTTGGTCTTCATGAACTGATCGAACAACCGTTCCCACAATCCTCTTTAGAAAAGACCTAGCTTTTAATTTCTGCAATAAACAAATCTTATTGAACATAAAAAGGAACAAAAACTCAAAAACAAAGGGCTTAACTAGGTTCAAACTCATCAACAGAATATCACCAATGGATTGATCTAGCTTTTAACCAAAAAAGCCTCTTTCAAGAGCAAAAGATTAAACTTGCTTAGGAGGTTCCCATCATGAACACTCACATGGTCACATGGTAATGGAAGATAGTTTGTTTTCGCTTACAAATAAATACAATGATGAAACATCAAAAGGTACAAATAGGAAAATGAACCTCTTCGGAACCTTGGATTCGTTCCATCTCAATCTGACTAAGGATGATCCTCTTCTTCTTGGAAATGCAAGTCTCTATTGAGTGCATAAGCTGTCTTTCCAACGCCTTGATCTCCGTTTCCTCAATTTCTCTTCACATGGAAAAAAAAATGCAAAGTGAAACATACTTTCAACATTGAGAAAAAGCTTACATGCATTGTTGAACAAAAATGGCAAGAAAGGTGTTCTTTCATCAAAAGGGAATATGACATATGAGATATTCTTGATTCTGAAAAAAAGAGGCCAATGCCAGAAACAAAAATTCACCTAATGAAGAGAGACAAATAACTGTACGGCAAGTTTACAGCTCCAAACCCAGAAAGGACAGCCATAACTGTGACACCAATTACCCCAATTCTACTAACCAGCTGAGGCATGGTAAAGAAACCTGACGGAGAGAAACATATCATAAAATTGCCAGTAAGTAGCTAGGGCAAAAGTTTGCAGCAGAAATATAAACCAAAAATTTGATAAAGTACATAGACCCACAACAAAATCAGTATGCAAGCAGTCCTCACCAGCATTCTGAGTTGAAAAAACTAGAATAAATAAATTGAACTCACTCACTTGATGATAACGACAGTGAGAAGAGTAGATTACACAGACCTTTATCAGGAGAAGGCATTGGAAAGTGGATGCCCATGCGCCAAAATCCATACAGGAAAACACTTAAGAATAAGAAAGCACCAAGTGCAGCCCGTTCCTTTCTCAAACCTGAATAACAGAATTATCAAATTGAGGAGTAAATGCAAAGTAGGCGGGTGGGAGTGATTTAAGAAAAAAGGGGTTGAAGGCAGAAACTAGAGTATTCCAATGAGAAAGAGCAACCCCCCCCCCAAAAAAAAAAGCGTGCATCACAGACATGTATTGGCAGCCACATCACCATATAGAAGGGACAAAAACACAGGTACACAACAGATGTCATTCAGAGATCTGCACAGTAAAACTATTGAAATGCTTTAGTATATAAATTTTTAGTTATCAAAAAAACTAATTTCCTCGTCGATGAATAATGGCACCTTAGATAAAAGAGTTTAGAGAAGATTCTCCCAAATAGCTTTTCTTTTAATTGAATTTAGGGGGAAAAAATAGGAGGAAAGATTTTTTAATTCACAACTCATGACAAGAGTTCTCTAATTCAAACAAAAAACGATGGAAGCTTGAGTTTGATCCATGACAAGTTACTGATTTCTGAAAGTAAACCAGAAAAGGCCAATCAACTAAAACATATTCAGAAATTAAGGATTGGAGACTAACCATTGTTGCGGAGCATCAAATAGCAATGATAATAAGGTAACAAGAATACAAGCAAGAGAATCAAGCAAAATAAGTCGAACTTCCAATTAATCCACCTAGCCCTGCATAGGAGAAAAGGAACCAATTGATATATTTCAGACAACAGGAAAAGCAGTAGTAAGTTAATATAAGTAGAATAGAGAAAGAATTAGTGTTAAGAGAAAGCTTATTACTCGCGGGAGAGAAGAGGGATAATTTCGAAGAGGACAAGCTGGAAGAGATTACAAGAGAAAGCAAAGACAAGGCTGAAAATGATCTGAACCAAAGCCCTCTTCTCTTCGTACTCCTTGTATAGCCTCCTATTCAAGAACCACAGTCCTGCCCATCCCAATAGCCCAAGCGATAAAGCAACCACACAGCCTTCGAATAATCCACTTCCCCACCCCATTCCTACTGCAAGCTTCCAACTCTACTCAGTTACTACTTAATTTTACTAATAGTTGATGATGAAGATGATCTCCTGAATATGCTTTCCTCCTCTCTTCTGTGTTCCACCATCCACGTTCTTTGTAAGTTTCAATACCTAACACTTCAATTCATGCTTCCCACCTGTATGTTTCTCATAGCAGAATGAATGAGAAACAGAATTGTTATCTTGTTTTGAGCTGTATTTATACTTCAGAGAGAAATATGCTTCCAAAGATACAGTAGCGCACAATGGTTCACAACGAACTAATTATCTAGCTATATTGACGTACCTCTATATTCTATCTCTAGAAATGATCAATATTTCCTAGTTTGTTTTGAAATTGATAACCAGTGAATGATATGCCAATGGAAAACATGTTAATATAGAATCTATAAAGAGTACCAAGCGCTAACTCAATTTGAATCTTTAAATAAAAATACGAATCAATAACTATTATCACTGTAGTATTACAATTACAACAGCAATGAACTGTACTAAAATAAAACAATAAACATTCATAAAACTTGATATGCAGAGCAAGCCACTCTATCAAAATCTGCCCCAAAAATCATCTATTATAGCAAAAAGACAGACGACATTAAGTGTTTTCCCCAAAGTTACTTCGATCAGTAAATACAATCAATTTGTAACATCAGAAAACATATCATTAAGAATTCATCAAGAGATAAAGTCATAAGAAAAAAGAAACATCATACCTGGAAATAAACGAATAGGTAAACTGGCCAAGTGATTTTTTGCAGTTACAACTGATGGCTTTTTTTGGATCTTTAGATCTTGGCCCGACGAACACCCCGGTGGATAACTACTAAGACTAGCTGCTCTCGCGTCAATATCTTTAACCAAAGCTCTCCAGAATCAGTCCAACATTCTTCGTTCGGTTATATGAATTTCTGAGAGAAAACTGGGAATTTCCGTACCGTAAGGTAAAGAACTGACAGTGGCACGAAGAAATCTGGGACAAAGTAGAAGAAAGGAAAGGAGAGGGGGAAAAGGATCAATCGGAGTTGAATAACATTAAATTTTGAGTTAACAGACTCCAAATGTGATGTCTCAATATAAAACCTCCAAAGAATTTGCCCTTATAACTGAGCCTTTAGTTGCAGCGGCGGTGGTGAGTGAAGAATAGTGACTGATTTCCGATTTTCCGTTTGCAGCAGAAGGGCATAGAGACTGATGACAAACTTGTTTGACACTGACTCATTAAGGGTGTTCTGGTAAATACAGAATATAATACATTCATCCTAAATTATTATTTTATTATAATTTTTTAAAAAGTTTTATGGCAATATTTTTTTTTTGGTTGGTATTCCCTTTATTCCAAAATTATTTTCTAATTTACATCTTTTACTTTTAGTTCAATTTGTACTAAAACTGAAAATATAAATTAGACAACAATTTCAGAATGGAGATATTATATATACTAATTGTAAGGCCCAAATTTTGAGGCCTCTATAACAATAGAATTAGTAATTTGAGTTCTGAGATAGTTGATAGTAAGTACTATTAATCTAGAGCTATATGATGAACGATTAAAAATTTAGAGATTATGGAGTTTTAAATTTATAAGGAATTTAAATATGTCAGATTTGATTGAAAACATCTAATATTGGGAAGGGCATAAATATATAACCATAAAATATGGAGGGTAACTATGAAATGTGGAACTTTAGTAATTATCCAGTTTGATAAAATGAAAGAAAAAAAAAACAAAACAAAACAAACAAAAATCACATACACGTAATCCCTGGGGTTTGGATTTTTGGACGAATTTTTGTGTTTATACATCGTTTACGCCGAGGAATTCAATACATCCAAGTGCGAACAATTAGGGCAACAATCCACATGAATCAATTGAACCAAAATTATTTAATTTCGTCTGGTTTTTGTTTTGTTGTGTTTGAAGGTCAGTAAGAAACAATTAGGGGTTGTATGGACAATGATTTATTTTAGTTTTTGGTTTAGGTTTTTATTTGAGTTTGAAATGTAATTTGGGAGTAAATTTAAAAAGTTGTGTTTAAATAAAATAATAATATTTTTACACTATTACCAGGTCACCTCCGCCGCTACCGCCGGCTGGCCGGATTCCGACCAAATTTCAGTGGCAGAGTTGGTCCGGTGGTTGTGGATAAAAATTGTGTAAAAATAATATTTGAAATAAAATTTAAAAGGTAAATTAAAAAGTTGTTTAGATAATATTGAGTTTTGTGTTTGAGAGGTGTTTTAAGATGTAAAATGAGACAAAATGCAAATGATATATTGGTCAAATAAGACCTTAACCTCCGCTGGACTGAACCCTATCTCTACAAACATCAAAGGGGTAAAAAGTTTTGTAACAATGAGTTTGAGGAATATCCGTTTGCCAACCAGTACTCCTCCAGTTTATGACTTTCCCGCTGCACAGAGATCCTCTAATCGCCCTCATCTATATGAGAATAAAACCACAACGTTGGGTTTTAATTACGATGAAAGAAATATGGTATCCCTTGAAATTCAATCCTAACATCCGAATCATCTCCAGATATGATATACCACTTAATTCGCACCTACTTGCCGTCATTTGTGGAGGTATACTATTTTTTATCACAGATTTTTGATTGGTAAACTGGCTGCGGAGTGCCATTTTCATGAATACCGGGGAGAAGAGCTTTTACTACAGAAGTGGCCAAGTTGTTGTCTGACTTTCTGTCTCGTCATCTTTACAGTACTGATGACGGTTCGTCGCTAGGAATACTGATCGTTCGCTAGGATAATAGACCTGTGTTGTATGAAATGAATGCTAAGGACAACTACAATGCTAAAAAATGAGGGTCCCTCTACTTGCCAAGTTAGCATTTACATTTATCTCACAATGACGTTATCAGGAAATGAGTGGACCAGCTGCACCCAACTTTTTAACTTTTTCAAATATGTTCCATTTAATAATAAAATCAGTAAGTTTTAATTGATGCAGATCTACTAAAACTGGCTTTTGTTCTGCCAAAAGTAAAGTAAATGCAGAGACAACATAAGTTTATTTATCTCATATTCACAATAGGAGAGAGGCCAATGAGGGTTGGCCCAATGGTAGGGGCTCTGACACTTATCCGCGGTGATGCGGGTTCGAACCTCCACGGCAGCGATTTATCACTTGCCATGACTTTCTGTAAGCGCTTTCAATGGTGGACAAGTGGACTGGGCATGCACGCATGGAGTCTCCCCATGCGCTTGTAAGTTGGTTCATGTCAAAAAAAAAAAAAATAAAAAAACAAAAAAAACAATGGGAGAGAGAATAAGGGGGTAATTGGCACATTTTTCTACTATTAAAAGTAGTAAATAATGTGAGCCAGTTTTTCTGCACCTTGACCCCACGTTTGTCCACACTTCAGTTTTATTTTTGCACTACATTTGATAATAGTCTACACCCACCCCACTTTTGCAGGAGTTGTTTAGGTAAATATAAATAAAATAGAGAACAATGAATCAACTCTCTCCAGTGGGAGACCGTGGAAGTAAGTGGCACGTATTTTTAGGCCATTTACTTTCACTGCACTTGCTCTAAGGGGCAACTAGTTACAGGACCGTGCCTCGGCACTGGATGTGCTTCACATGATTGTATTTCAATTATTAGGAGATGCAATGCAATCATATGTGCGATGCTACAAAGTTGGCCGAAAGTGCATTCTGTCATGGTATACCTGACTATCTGTGACTCCTCAAAGTGGTAATCATTTTAGGGGTTGTTTGTCCAACATTTATTTTATCTTTTTGTCTCATTTTACCTCTTAAAACACCTCTAAACACAAATTCCAATACTATCCAAACAACTTTTTAATTTACCTTTTAAAAAAATATTCTAAAAATTATTTTTACACAATTTTCATCTACCACCACCGGACCACCTCCACCACCACCCGCCACTCTTTGCCGCCGGCCGGATTCCGGCCAACTCGCCGGAATTTGTACGGAATCCGGCCGGCCGGTCGCCGGCCGACAAGGGTGGTGCTAGATGTGGTCCGATGGTGAGAAAAAATATATTATTTTAATAAAAAATTTATCCAAACAATTTGTTAATTTCCTCTCAAAATACATTTTAAATCACATCTCAATTTTAAATCAAAATACAAAATGAGATGTTGGCCAAACAAGCTTTCAGTGTTTTCCGTGTCGGAAGTGCGGGGTTAAACTGGTGGTCTTTAATCCAAAGACTTGAGCAAAGCAAGCAAGCAAGCGGGCGAAGCAGATTTTCGTGCGCAAAGGGCTGCCTGGCAAAGGGTCTGCAACCGCCATCAAACGACATGCGCTCAAGGCTTGGTGGTAGCGGCTGACTTCTTATGCTTGGGAGCTTTGAGAAAAATGATTTAATTAACCAAGCTTCCGGAAATTAATTTTATGTGGATAGTTGAAATTTTTTTCCTTTTTTCGATGGACGGAAGTATATATTTTGAATTTTTGAAATCCGAGATTTCAATTATTATTAGGCTCTGTTTGGTTAGATTGAATTGGACCCAAGAATTGGAATTGGAGGCCCTCAATTCCAATTATTGTGTTTTGCTGAAAAAATAGAGGTTCCAGAATTAGAATTATAATTCAAGATGAGGTTCAATTCTTTATTTTCAATTCTTTTGTGTGAGCAAATAATTGCAATTCGAACTCTAGGAGCTTTAGAAAAAACGCGGGTCATATACGGGTCGTTTTTCGGGTTATAACAAAACGGGTCCTTTTAAGTTTGAGGTTTTTTTTTTTTTTTTGTAGCGCTGCACATGCGTTTTTTTTGCCTTTTTCATTTTCGTTTTTTCCCCCTTTTTCTTTTAGCGTTGCGTTGGGCTTTTTTTTTCTTTTTTTTTTTTTCCTTTTTTTGCATTTTGTTAATTTAACATATGTTTTTATTTATGGTGCAAATGAGGTGTAAATCATATTAATAATTATTAATGAGATCTATATATTAAAATTAGTATTGTTTTAACAAAAACTATCAAATGTATAACGACACCTGTAATTTATTTTAAAAATAGATGGTATTAACTATTGGTTAACATTTTTTTATCAAATGTATTTTGAACTATACTTGAAATTTTTTTCACTAAAAATTATGTAAGCTTTCAAGAAGTCGAAATATATATTATTCCATATGTAATTATATACTAAAAATAAAAAATAATTAATTAGCACCATGTATTAATGTTAATTTATACATAAATGAATGGTCTTTACTTTTAACTATGTAAAAATTTTACACTAAAATCCAAAAAAAAAACTAAAGATTAAAAATTTATAAATAATAAAAAGGAGAGGAACAAGGATGTTCTACATGTTACTTGTGAGAATTCCGATCATCACATTCATACTTACGTAATAATAAAAAAAGCTTTTCCACAAATATGTATGTATCTATAAATTATAAAATTGATATATATTACTCAAACAACAAAAGTTCTAATATAAATGTATATGATAAATTTATTTTTGTTATCTTATATATGTAAGTAATAAATTGTTTTGATATATAAAATTAAGTATTTATTTTATTCAATGAAATAAAATACTTAATTGTAGGTAGATAATAAAAAACTAATTCTAATTCTAGATTTTATAAATTTATAAGGATCCAAACACAAGAATTAGTATTAGAACCTTAATTCTAGTCAATTCTTACGATCTTCTAAACGAAAGAATTAAGATTGAATTGCAATATTAATATCTCATTTTCAATTCAATAGTATTATAATTCTAATTCAATTACAATTCAATCTAACCAAACGGAGCCTTAGTAAATTGGATTTCGGAAATTCAATAGTCCCAACCTGCCTCAGGTTTTTAGAAATGAAAATAACATTCAATTTTTTGTTCCTCGATCATAGTTCAAATCATACCAAGTTTGAATTTTCCGTCAATGCTCCATCAAATTTCGAATCTTTCATTATTTTCCTCCCCACCCAACCATAGTCCGGAGTTAAAATAATACTCCCTTCATTCACAAATAGGTGTTGTTGGAGAGATTTCACATAATTTAAGAAGGTAATAATTATTTTGTTAAAATATTATAATACCATCATTTATTCTTAATTTAATTGTAGTCCCAATAAAATTCAGTTCTAATACAATTCTATATTAAACATTATTACAATTTTCAATGTAATGTTAATATTGAAAAAAATTGATAAAATATGCCTCAATATGTGAGAACGACATCTATTTGGAATATTTGGTTTTTTTTTCAACGACATCTGTTTGTGAATGGAGTGAGTATATATAAAAAAGAGAGTGAACTATCTTTCAAGAATAAAATGAGTATCAGCTTATACTAAGTTATAGTATAAGTTCAATAACCAAATTGAGCTAACTTGGGGACCCTTCCACCAGAAAACAATCTGATTTGCAATATTAATCAATTTATACAGTTCTGGGAAACAATATTTGGAAAGTAATTCCCCAAGAAAGGAAAGTTAACCACTTGCCCCTATGAATAAGTTCTGTAAGACTGTAACAACCTTTTTTGCAAGCTTGCTGGAGGATAAAAAAAAAATAATAACAAGCCTAATTTAAAGCTTATAACATGGAAGATATTGGGGGACTTGGTCAACGGCAAGGTCAATGAAACGATGAGATGATCATCAACTATAACTCAAAGCCACAAAGCTCGAGCTTCTCTTAACATGGGCACCAATTCACCTGTGATATGAGTAGCCATCACTCTTTCCAGCCCTCCGAACAACTTCCCGCCCACGAAAACCGCCGGCAGTTGCAACTCCTCCGCACCGCCGCCGCCGCCGATTTTCGACAGTTCGCCGAGGACGGCGGCTTCGTCATCCTCATCAACAAAGTGAATAACGGGATTAACGCCGTGGCCCAACAACAATTGTTTCACCACAAAACACATGCAGCAACCGCTTCTCCCAAAGGCTATCACCGCATTATCCGCCACCAGCTTGGGTACACTGGCGGGTTTTTCATGACCCGGCGGCAGTAGCCGGGTGGCGGAGGAGGATCCGCCAGTTGCGGCGGCGATACCGGTGGTTCTATAGGACAAAGCTTCTTGCATGATGATGTGTACGGTTTTATCTCTTTTCAGAAAGATAATGATAAAAATGGGGGTGGAAAAAATAACGCGGCGATTTAGTACTGATTATAGAACAATGGTGGGGGGACTATAAAGGAGAATACGTCAACGGTTAATACGTAATGATTGACGTCATGGGTACTGTGGGAGACTTATTGGGAGCTTCGAAATTACGTCATTGATTTGGTATGGCAGATTCCAAGTGGCTGCGTAGGTTTGGTTGCGGCCACAACTCAGTTTTGGTCATTTTCGTAGAGTTTTTGTGTGTGTAAAGTGATACGGTGGATTCGATGAATGAACGAGGAAAGTATGCACAATTAGGAATTTCTAGTTTTTTTTTTTTTCCACCGAACAGCAACTGCAGCTACGTGACGCTTTTGTCTCTGACACCGACCTCTTTTTTTTCAATAATTTTTTATGGTCTGCTATTCCCAGTTACATACATTGTTACTAAGTAGGTAGCAGTTCCCTGATTAATAAAGTAGTGTGATGTTGTAACGACAGTAATTGTTAAGATACAGTCATAAGAATTCGTGGTATTTTCAAAATTGCCTTTCTTATGAAAACAAGAATGATGAGAAATCAACGTTTCGTGTGTGTGTGTGTGGAATCCAGCAAATTTTGACCATACGATAAGGCCACCCGGTAAAATCAATTGTAGAAAAGAGGAAATAGAGGTCGATAATTCACTCATGGTCTGCCTGAACAAAAATCAATTACTACTTCTACAATCATTGATCATTCTATGTATCAAATACGAAAATTTTGTAATATCCCAGCTAAAAGTTATTATTAGTATTAATACTTAATCAACTGAAAAACAAATAAACATAAAAACAAAGAAGACGTTCACATCCCTGCAAATTTTGATTTTCTTTTCGTTTGGAAAACGTGCACTTGCGGCGTTCTTACTTCTCAGTTCTCACTTTAAAACCGACCACGGAGCGAAAACGTAGAGAACGACAGAAATGAAAAAGAAAAAAAGAAAAGAAAAGAGAAATCACTAATACAAAGATAAGCTTAATTATTAAGCTCAATGACAAGGACTTTGTTACCACCTAGGACTTCGTATACGATTCATACTATTGTCCTGTACTCTCTCTATTTTTTTAATATAAACATTCATCTTTTACCCAATATCCCATAATTATTGTCCAGTTTGAGTTTTCGTTTTTAGTTCAAAATGTACTAAAAGTGAAATCTCAAACTGGACAATAATTTATGGGACAGAAGGAATATAATATTAATAAATAGGATAATTATTTTGAAAAAAGAAAAATAATTTATGTGGAGAAAGATAATAAAGAAGTCAGAAGATTAATAATTAATGTTGGGTGTTGTGACATAATGGAAAGGTACGGTGCAACAATAGAATGAACAATTATTACATAAAGTTCGCGTTTAAAGCCCATTGTAGATAATTTAAACACACGAGAAGGGAAAAAAGTTAAAAAAGCTAACTGGCTGGTGGTTCTGATTGTGATCCTCTTTGTTTGCTTCTCAAAATTGAAGGAATAAGATGCAAGTGACAAATTAGTAATCATTTTAATGTTGGATTAACCAGTGAAGGTTTACATTTAAGATGAAGGTATAATAATTGTTAATACCAGTATAATCTCCTGATTACGTAGTTTCGGACATCAGCAATAGTCGTTTCGTTTTTTTTTTGAAAAGATTAGCTGGGGCACACAACACGTGGAACTGGATGAATTTGTACAAACAATATCTATCTTGTTGCCGTCAAACATCACACGTGTTTCAGATGACACATTAACACTTCTACTGGGTTCAGTGGGTTGGGCAGGTCCCATTCAAAATGAAAATGTTTGTTTGGGTCTTATGATTTCACCTTCGTTTTATGGCAAACCAATTTTGGTGAAAATAAAAGAAATCTCTAGTTCTAATGACAGTAAATTGAGTAAACCTGCCACTGACATGGGTCTTAGTTGCTAAGACTCTCAGTGGATTTGTGGAACAGTGTACTTATGTTCTTATTATAAGACATTACTTTTTAATTTCTCTTCAGTTTTATTTATTATGTTTTCTCAATTGAAAATGAAACTTTAGTACAAGTAATAATTAGAAAACATGATAAATAAAAATTTAGGACAAACAAAATGCCTAGTATCAGAGAGAGTAACTTAGAATTGAATGACAACTTATTTAGTGGTTAGGTTAATGTACTTCCTGATAATAGACCAAGCTTCAATTCCTACCATAGGTTGTAAGGGAAGGTTTTACCCACATTTAAGTGGGGTCTACGGAGTTTTTTTTTAAAGTAAACTTTGAATCAAAGTAGGGCTCTGTTTGGTTGCATTGAATTGGGACCAAGAATTAGAATTGGAGCTCTTTAATTTCAATTCTTGTGTTTGGTTGAAAAATAGAGGTCCAAGAATTGGAATTATAATTCAAAATGGAGCTCAATTCTTTATTTTCAATTCTTTTGTAGGAGCAAATAATTGAAATCCAAATTCAAGAGACTTAAAAAAAACACATGGGTCATAACCGGGTTATAACCTAAACGGGCCGCCCTATCATTTTTTCTTTTTTGACCTTTTTTTTCTTTTGCCTTTTGACCTTTTTTAATATTTTTTGTTATTTTAAATTTTTTTTTCAGCACTACTTTTTTCTTTTTCTTTTTTTACTTTCAGCGGTTCCTAGCGTTTTTCTTGTCTTTGTTTTTCATTTTTTTTTGCCTTTTTGTCTCGTTATTATTATTTCATAGATATCAATTTAATAATTATCAACAAAATCAATCTAAAATTAACATTGTATCTTCTTTTTACAAAAAAAATCAAAAGTATAATTGTACCCAAAAAAAATTAATAACTAAATATTTTAGTTTTGAGTTAAAATTTATGTTATATTATGACATAGTAAACAATATAACATTTTCAAAAAAAAAATTATAGAAATTGTTCCATATATACACCTATATTATAATACATATATATATATATATAAATTTTAAACTATTCATGGCATCTTTTCACCAAAAATTATGTAAGTTGAGTTTTAAGTATCTATTATCTCATAAATATATATAAAAAAAACTTAAGCATATATATACTAATGTTAATCTATATATAAATGAACCTCAATATTTATAAACTGAATTTACAATATTATATTGTAAAAATTTTTTAATTTTTGATATAAATCAAAACATCAAAAATTAAAAATTTTGAAAAATAATAAAAGAGAAGAAAACAAGGATGTTTTACATATTACTTGTTTGTGTATTAAGTGAGAATTTTAAGTATCATATTGATAATTCTTATATGTAATACTCCCTCTGTCCCCAAAAAAAAAAATAGTCCACATTGAGTTTTGACTTTTGTAATATTTTTAGTACAAATTTAAAAACTCAATATGGACTAATTTTTTGGGACGGAGGTAGTAATATTTCTTTTGTTTCCAACAAAAACTGTGTGTACACAACAAATTACAAAATTGATTTAGCAAATTAATTAGAAATAATAATTTGTTTTAACAAAAAAAATAAAAAATGTATTAGTTAAACAACCACAAAGTAGTCAAATATACATGTAAATAGTGAATTCATTTATTTTTTTGTGATATACATATCCATATAAATCAATTGTTTTTTAGTTTTTTGACAAGAAGTATAAATTGTACTAGTATTAATTATACAATAACAAACAAATTTCAATCCTAAAGTATCCAAATTTTTATGTATTCAAACGCAAGAATTGGAATTAGAACCTTAATTCTAGTAAATTTTCAAGATCTCCCAAACAAAGGAATTGAGATTGAATTACAATATTAATATATCATTTTCAATTCAATATTATTGTAATTCCAATTCAATCGCAATTCGATCAAACCAAATGGAGCCTAACAATAAAGAAATTGGGACATCAGAGGAAGTTATCTTCAAACTACAAAAATTTTTACTCAGTCTCCGAAGTGTTAAAATGTTTTTTCTTTTATTTTTATTTTTTTTGGGAAGGGGGTTTGCTACACTTAACAAAATTGAGAAGCATCAAATTTTCATTTTCGTCGATTTACATATCTCGACGCCAAAGTCGACGAGATATTAAAGATTTTTAAATTTTTGCTCTTCTGAAGTCGTGGTTGCGTTTGAAAATTAGAGCGTCAAATTCAAGGTTGGTTGGTAGTTTCGTCGATTTAGATAACTCGACGGAAAAGTCTACGAGATGTTAAATTTTTTTCCTTCTTTTTATTCTTGTTTTCCAAAATTTTTTTTTTTGGCCATACTACACACAAATGCGGTGGTGCTCCTATGTGTATAATTGCGCACCTAAATTATAACTGGAAGATTAGAGAACGAGTACTAAAAAAAGAGAAATAAACCTATACTATGAGAGGTTCGAACCTGAAACCTCTAACCAGGAAGTACTTTAAAACGACTTCATGCAGTCAATTGGACAAGGACCAGTAATATTGTTTTCCTGAAACCATTAGAGCAAAACAACTGGTGCTGGTTATGATTCATATACATCAAAAAAAAAAGAAAAAAGAAAAAAAAAAGCTAAATTCTGGTGCTGGTTATGATTGTGATCCTATTTGTCTGCTTCTAAAAGTTTGAAGGTATAATTTGTGGCGGAATTAAAACTAATTTACACTAAAATTTTGGATTTTTTTTTTGAATGAAAATGTCGGCGGGTGACCTCCGCTGCTTAGAAACTTTGAATCAAGAATAGAGTGGCAAGAAGAAATTAGGCCACTAGAGGAAGTTATCTCGGGTGCAACACTCAAAGTGTATTAGGTTTGTATTCTATTTCTTCCTGAAAATCAAGATCATCTGCAACAAAACCATAAATTGTAACCAGTTTGAAAGAGTCTGAGATTATTCCAGATTAGGTATAGTGATTTGCCAGGAACTTTCCCTCGTTTCACCAATTAGCTGAGATGCATCTAAGTTTCAGTCCAATTTACTTTATGATGAAATTAAACTACTGAAAATGGGATGGATTAACCAAAATATACATGTGCTAGGCGAATTAGCAGCTCAACCTACTATGTTAATCTGATCACAAAAATGGTCAGCTTCGAATTACAACTCCCCTGAAATCAATCTCCCCATATATAGACATGTACTCAGGGTTATCATCTCTCAAAGGAAGGGTAAAAGAAGAAAAAGAAAAATGACCTTATTCTACTGCAATATTTCTTAAACCGAAACCTTCAAAAGATTCTGATCTATTCACTTGCCTTGTAGCATCACTGCCTTCTTCTGCTATTTCAGTTGATGGATACAATTCATCCTCTTCGGCTGTAATCCCAAGTTCAGCAGTTACAGAGGCATCAAGTGTGCTGAATGACAATGAAGTAAGGGAGTGATCTACTGATGCGTCTGCCCAATAAACGTTCTTTCTAGCGATGTTTTTCTTCGCTTTTCTTTGCCATCTTCTGAGACCCTTTACCACTACCTCAGGGAACACATTTTCCAAAGCAGATGTGCCCATCTGTTTAACCATAATAATCAAGAAAAAATGCTCAGAATTTAAACCACAAGATTCATGTTTCATGAGTACTTCACTGAATAGTAACATGTTTCAGGTCAAGTGCATTTACCTGTGTTACCAAAGCGTAGAGGGGTAATGTTACATATCCACAAAGGATTTGGACGAGTATTCCTATTGTGAGTTTTATCACAATGTCCTCGGTTTTCCGATGAAAGCAAGATCGAAGTCCAAACTTATACTGTTGTAAGATGCATCACATGTTAGCTATACAGACAAGAAATATTGGACAGACTGAAGAAGTGAAAAACATGATTCCGAGAATTCTCACCCAAGTCCATGAAAAGAACGCCAGTTGAAATGAATTCTGAAATGATCAAGACACCAAATCAATCGGAAGTATCAAACTATTTGGACAAAGAAATTAGTACTTAAATCGAACAAGTTAGGTTTCACAGCTCCCCAGTCATAGTTCAATAAGCAAACTTGCAATTGCTACAGAAGTCGTTACGCGAAGATATAAGTTTACCTGAAATAAGATAAAGTGCATTAGGTGAAGCAGCAGCTTTGGCTGACTGAACCAAAAGAAATGGTCACTGGGCTGCACAACCAGGGAACCTCGAACTACATGAGATTTATCATTTCTATCCAGACACATTTTTGTAATGATTGATTGTAGCTTTGTCCCAACTGCCAGCAGCATCTGCAAGTCATAAAATCACTAGTTAGGGACAGTGACGCTGATGATAATTGTGTTGCGCGGGGATTATATAAGAGAAGTATATTCATACCAGTACTGGAATGAAGGGCAGCCATATATAGTTGTGAAATACTGTTACACCAAGATGCAACATTGGTCAGATAGGCACATCATAAGATCTCACTTGTGCAATCTGGGAAAAGGTTCGAAAAGTTTACCGTACGCATTGAAGAAGATGAAAAGTACTGAGAAAATCCAGATCCCGAGGCTGCAAAAGAAAGACATTTCATCAGTTTGGTGAATAAAATTCTTTTGATTCGTTGTAAAATGTTAGCAGTAATGCAATGAACCAAAGCCATGGTTTTTATTAGTTTTTACCTCATTCCAATAACCACTCCAAAATCTTTCTCTAAAGTTCTCCTTATGTACTTTTGGAAGTCAAAGTTGCTTTCTTGTTTACCATGAGCCTGAACAAAACAATAGTAAGCAGAGTATTAATAAATCTTACAGCAAAAGAATACAAAGATTTGAGAAGGGCATTGAGTTTAATGGACTGGCTAACAGTCAAAGAGGGTAATGGATACCATAATAAATCCATGCCGTAGAGTTAAGTAGTCGACTTTTGATACGGACTCGAAAAACTGCCTAAAGAAAACAACCTATAAGAAAAAGAGATAAGAGTAGGATATGCATTAGAACATCAAATTTCACGAGGAAATGAAGCAAAAAAATTAAAGAAATCCTTTCAAAGGAAGCACCGACTGGCAAACGAAAAATCCTGTGTTCACTCCAACTCCTCAGATGCCGCTTCCCAAATGATGTTTGGTGAATAAACTGGAACCTCCGCGGATCTATATTTGAAAAATCAATTGAGTCAATGGTATTACAGACATTGTCCCAAATTGGTTCATGAACGAATTAAACATTAGCTGATTAAATATTTCAGATTCCTAGGGAAAGGAAGAAGGATTTCGAGTGAGCTTACCATTTGAAAACTGATATTCCATTGTTCTTGTTTCTGCCTCCCAAGCTTCCCATCTTCTCATCTGTATATTCGCAAATGACATAGGTCAACTATGTTACAATAATATAGGATTCGCCAACAAACCGATGTTGGAAGTAATATAAGCGTGTAAAAACAGATTGTATGAACCTTAGCCTCTCCAAGACTGAATGTGATAAGGGAAGAGAAAACATGAAAGAAGGCGAGCGTAAAAATCAACATCTGCAGTTGCTGTGCACCTTCCACTGAAATCAAAGACAGCTTTCCCTGTCAACAAACCAATAGATATTGTTGATGGATATTTCTTGATAACCATTTTTGAACATTTGATTGGAAGAATCAACTAAAATACTACATCAATGTACCTGTTGCTGACATTTGGGCTCTTCCCCTTCTTCATCATCGCTTAGACTTTCGCATGGAAGAAAGGTTTTTCCAACGCTCCTTGAGATACATATGGTTGAGATTGGCTTCTGAATTACAGTCAGCAACAATGAGATAAACCCAAGAAGCAACAAATCTGCATAAACAACAAAGCATCTGCATTACAGAAAATAAAGTAGCATCAACACAAATAGAGTAAGAGTGTGGGTTTAATTATATCTACCTGATTTAATCTTATTCAGAGCATGAAGCAGAGCTTTCTTCCTCTTCCTTTGTAAGAACTGAATCATTCATCATTCATCATCCATCAGTTAAAAAAACGATGAAATTAGAGTATGCAAACAAAAGGGGTCGAACATTTATCAGTTTCAAATGCAGGGCTGATGGATCAACTTACCTTAGATAAGAGATGAAGTGAATATTCAAGGAGTACAGAAATAGCAATCAAAATGAAACAAACAGATGCCAGTGCCCATGTTGGTGTATCCTCCAGACTCGTTGGTTCTCCTTCATTTTCAGTAGTTTTAGCCATCTTCAGTTTTTTCTTCTATTCCGACCAAAAAGTTACAACCTTTTTGTTGTCAAAGAAAACCAAGGAGGCTACAAAGTACGGAATAAATTTAGATGAACGGAGATTGCAGAACGAACGGCATTGATAACTATATAATTGCATGCAAAGGCAAGGATTATTGACCATTTGATTGGACGATTCGTGAATGAAAAAATGGTCAAAAAAAATGTTCCCTTTTTTGTTGGGTTTATTATAGTCTGTCTTTCAAGTTTTAGTCCTCAGGTTGGTCAAAAACAGGGGAGGAAGGCAAGTTAATGACCACTTCTTTGATGAGGTGGAGAGTGCTGCCATGGCGGATTTGGTGGTTTGAGGTGGGGCCCGCCGGCGTAACGGAGGCGGTGACGTAAACAATGGAAGGGGGTTCATTTTCGTTCCACAGTTTTGGGCGCCGGTTCATGTTTCACACCGCACCAACCCTCAACTGCCACCGTGCCGTTGCTCATTTGACGGTGACGGTTGATATTAATAGTAGTAAGATTTAAGAGACTAAGGTCGGAAGATTCTTTGACGTTGACGGCGTAGCTCATTCTGTCTTACCACGAGATTTCTGCTGTGGGACCCGGTTGTGTAAATTTTAATCTGTAATGACTTAAAGACCATATCAACTTTTGGATTCCCCCGGTTTCAAAAGAAAAAAATAAAATAAAAATGATAAAGGAAAACTTTTTGATTTCCTCATTACAAATTCTACAAGACACACCTCCCCCATATAGTGCACACAATTGGTCAGTATGAATTTCCTTTTAAGAAAAGTAAAATAAAAATGAGGGTCATGCTTGAATCAATATTGTATCATCTCATGAAAGGATCAAATTGACTCTTACAACACACATTTAAACATTTAACGAAATGAGAAACAGCAAAGTAATAAGGTAACATGCAGTAGATATTTGATACTGAAGAGAGTGAAAAGTCGGGAGAATGACATCGACTTCATGTGAGAGCAATTACATTTACTTGCATCTCTTGAAATTACACATTACATGTTTAGCAAGCGTAACAAAACAGGTTGATACTGCTACTTGCTCGAGAAATCGAATGAAGACGATCAATATACACTTCAACTTTTGGATTTGGAAGTAGACATTCATCATACATACTAAAGTTAATAAGTACGATTTAAGTCTGCATGCAAAACCTCTATTTAGGAATTCAAAACAAGTGAGTCTCGTAAGCATTCATTCGTTCTGAGTAGTCTCCTTGGATGGTTCAGTTAGAACTTCTTCACTTATGAAGCTAAAGTTCAGAAGCTGCTGACCATCTCTAATCTCTACACAAAAGATCATTTCAGAGTTTTCTTCGCTACCATAGCACATAGCACCATGCCAGAGAGTAAAATTTAAAGCCGCTCAATCTCACTGGCATATATCTGCAACATTCTCCCATCATAATTAAATCATCTGACAAGCAAATCTAGTGGCCTACTTACTTAAATTCAGGAGTTTCCTTTCTTCGTTGCATTGGCTCCAAAGAACATCATGACTAAACAAAATAACTAATGTGCCATGCCCACCCCCGATTCTTCCAGTTTGATATGCCCAAATATTCACTTTATAAGGCTATATCAAAAAGCATCTCCCTCACATTATAGAGATCATTTCTTTTGGTGCAACTGTTTCGGCCTACTTTAGTAGCCAGTGGAGCTATTGGCTGAAACTTCACACCAGTATGTGGTCCAAAAGTTGCTTCCTGACGGAAGAATGTTGGATTTTGGATGCGGCGGTCAGCTTCAATTGTACCATTTTTCCCCTCAGCCAGGGCAAAACCAAATAATCTACAGCTGTTTCCACAATTTGAAGTTCCTATGCTGCCACAACTACTATATGATTGATTTGACGCCAACATGCCTGGCAAATCTGCTTTTCTATTTTCGCTGAACAGATCAGAACCAAGCCCGCAAGGATCTCCAGCCCTGGAGCTGTTGTCTGATGAACCGTTTGGACTTATCTGTGTAAGGTGCCTCCCAGAATTATCAAACACTGGGTTGTTGGCCTCTACCTTCTCGAGGTAGCCGTTACGCACAAAATGACCTCTAGTGACCGGAGAGCTTGCTTGATGGAACATCATAACAGAAGATGGTGATAACACTTGCCCCATTGTTGGGGGAGGTCGCAGATGAGTATGGTGGTCTCGAGCAAAAGTCCATCTATTTCCATCGCCTAGCACCACAGTACCATTGAGTACAGAACCTCTGCTACAACTCAAATGACAGTTATCAGTAGGATGTCTCCGGCGTTCTGGGCTCAGGACGGTTTCTTGACCTTGCAAGACCTTGTGGAATTGAAAAGGCTCAGCATATCTCGCATCAGAAGAACTAGTAGAATCTCTTCGGAACTTGTAAGTTTCGTTATAATCATTAGACATCCTGGAATCATCGGTGGCAGTAAATGATTCAATTTCAGATGAATGAAAACTCTTGGCATCAACAGCATCATCATTCAAACCCATAATTTCTTGACCTTGCAAGACCTTCTGCAACCTTGGAGATGATTCTCCAAATTCTGGTCTTCCTCTGGCGTCTGTAAGGGCATGAGATGGCCAAATTACATTACTTTGAAAAGATTAAAAAATTAATGACACAGAAAGTATCAAAAATACCTCTGGTAACTGGAATTTGATCTAGTCTTGTCATTGGCAGACCAGTCCTTGTCCTCTTGATACCATGAGCTAAGAGGCTGCTTCCAGAAACCATACCAGATAACTCAACCTCCCAAGGCGAAACCCGATTATTCTGAGCCACCTCAAGATCATCCCACCTAACCTTTGGGAGCCAGTAAACATGATACAAAACAATATTAGACTTCTCTTATTTTCAACGAATTCAAAAAAGAAACATTTCAGACTGTAACAGTAACTTCGACAAGCAAATAAGACTTGTGACTAGATATATGCGTATTTAGAACCACAATGAATCAAGTATAAGAGAAAAAACCTCAGAAATTCTTCCATAAAATACTGAGGTTATAACCAGGAATGAAGCTGCATCTACATTTCCTCATAAATTAGTTTTGATAGACTAACTACTTCCTTTAAAGCATCATTTGGCTCCTAATAGGCCCTAGGAAACAATGGGTGTTTGAATCGATAAACAGCATACCAGTAATGACTTCCATTTTGAACCAGGCCACTTAACTGGATCAACTTCGTTCATCCCAATAACAAGTCCAGTGCACCTGAAAAAAGTAGCAATGATCAGCTCATAATCCATAAATTTGAGTGCAAATACCTCAAACAAACAAACCTTCTTTCAACAGCATCTTCTGTCTCAAAACGCATTTTAAATCTCATTCCCGCTAAAAATGACCTCGTTGTACTCTTCATGAACCTTGGATAAGGAATGATAAACTCTGATGACCCAGCCCTGCATATAGAAGATATGGAGACAATTACATTATGCAGCTCCGGCCTATGCATTTCAGAAGTTACTGGTATGTCACATTTGTGTTCAGTTCACATTTCCCCCAAAAAATAAAAAGAAACATTACGAACATTCTTCAAGCTTGACCTTACTAAGAAGCAAAAGCAAACATTTGAGTGTATTAATAATTTGAACTACAGAAAAATGACAGTTCAGTAGAAGTGTAGAAATACTGAAATAATAATCACTCAACACTCAATCTTTTGTAACGATTCTAGGCAAGGTTTATAATTTTTTTCTAGGGCCCTAAATATTATAGACATCAGGTTATCGATTCCAAACAGGGGACTCCATTCGAACAGTTTTTTAAATCAAAATGAGGTCTGGATAAAAGAGAATCACCAATGTATCAGTTTTGGTGAAATACCTTGGATTATAGCAAACATGAAAGACACTTCTGCTTGAGATAGCATTCACAACCGAGCTTATACTGCTAGCATTGTATTGTGGACTGCAAGCTGAAAATGTTGGATAGCTTTTTACTTGGACAGCTCTTCGGACACCAAGCCTAAGTTCTCCATCACCTCCCCTGGCACCAAAAAGAAATGTACATTTCTCTTTCATGTTACATATCTTGACAAGGCATAATACATTTCATCTGATATAAAAACAAGAATGGGTGGATCCGCACCTCAGAAAAAGCACAGCATCTCCAGAAACAAGCTTCTTTTTATTAACAAAGGCACTCCAACCTGTTGTAAGTAAATGCCTTCGAGGTTGTCCTGAACAAAATAGAATCTTGATTCACGTTAAGAGAAACAATGAAGTATCTCTTCTCTGAAATTCATAGTTGAAAGCATTCAACACCCAGAGCAACAATATAATATTCATTTGTTCCATACCGCGGTAAATGTGGCGAAATTTCCACTCTGTTCCATGCAGATCCTTGGCAACAAGCTCCTGGGAAGGCCTCTGTTGTTTATAATCCTACAACAGAAAATTGAACTGGTGGTAAAGATGGGATTTTTCTTTATGGCAAAACGGAAGACCATTTAATTCACATTGCAGCTAGGGAGCAAAATTTAATATCTTCAAATTACCAGAGGTGGAAAACAATCTTCAGCAGCTCGACGGGGAACAGAGAAACCACCGTGGGTGCTAGTGTCGGAAGCGGTGAGTGTTTTACAGAACATGTGGGGTGTCAAAGACTTTCCAAAACCTTCTTCAATGTCCTCTTCTTCTTCGGGTTCCGGTTCCACTTCCCCTTCCCTCCACTTATTCTCCATCTGCGAAATACTCCCCAAATTAAACAATACCAATGCAACTAGCAATTAATTAATTCTCAGTGTGTGAGTGCGTGAAATTGAGAAACAAAAAAGCCCCACCTGGTAATCCGGAAGCAGTGAGACTTGAGCATACACCTCGTCAGTAGTTGCCTCAGCCTAGAAGCAAAAGAAGAAAGGGGGAAAACAAAGTAATAAAAAAACCCAGACATAAAATAGGAAATATTAGGTAAAATGTTGGCAAACAAATGAATTGAATGACGAGTGGGGAAAAAAAAAAGTTTTTATTACATGGAGCTTGACATCGAGGACGCGACAGAAGACATGAGGAGGGAGATCAGAAGAGGATAAAGGGAGGTGAAGATGGTCATGAGGAGGGAGGCGTTCCAAGTGGCCTTGCGGCAAGTACACCACCCCACTCCCTTTCTTCGGCAGCGAAATCAACGGCCCTGCACACGCGTGCCATAGCTCCATCGAAACCGACTCCGACGACGTCGTCTTCCTCACCGGACCACCACCGCCGCCGCCGTCGTCCTCATTGTCCACCGTGTTCAAGTCAATCAACCCATGAATCATCTCGAACCCACCACCAAAAAAACCCACAGAGCACAGGTGTAAATTGGTAGAAAGAAAAAAAAAAACAAATATGGAGAGAGGAGAAGAAGAGCGGGGATTCAATGTGTGACTGTGTGTGCTACTTTGATAGTAGTGAGTACTGCTACTACTACGACTGAGAAATTTTTAGCCCGCGGACTTAGCGCTATAAACCATGTACAATGTTAAAAATTAGTAAGAACTGGGTGAGTGAGAATGAATGTGGTGAGAAAAAAGTGTGTGTGTGTGTGTGCAGCAGAGGAGAGAAGCAGGGGGAAGCAGAGGAAAAAGAAAAGAGTGCTGCTGGTGACTGCTGTGGCAGCTGCGGTTGCTGTTGAGTAGAGGGGAACAGAGACAGCTACGTACTTTGATGAGTGCGTGAATGAGTGTGTGAGAGAGTTTAGAGATGTTTTGTTACTATATGGTGATGTTTTGTCGTGTATTGAGTGTGAAAATATTACTAATACTATCGATTAGTATATTTTCTTCTTATGCTTTGTTTGTTTTCTTTTTTTGTTGATATTTTCAGAATTTAACATTAATAATTGTTCTATTTCAATAAATTTTTTTACATTTTTAATACACTTTTTTATATTTTTAATACAAAAAATATTTAAAAACACACATTAAAAAAGAAACAAACAAACCCTTAGTGTCGTAATTTTAAATCGCAAAAATCACAACAATGATTTGTTGTCAAAAAAGAAAATTAAATTCCAATTTCGTTTTAGAAAATACTCCTTTGTTTTCCATTTCTTGATGGTCAATTAAGAGAAGCGTTTATCTTCTTTGAACATGTCTCGTATGTCAAGATCAAAGTACAATTCCAAAAAGTGTCGGATGAAAATTGATTAGTTTGTAATTTGTGCCAGCTTATGATTATTATTATTGGTGAAAGGGAGTTTCAAAGGGTATGTTTGGTTCGTTTTTTTAGTGTGTGTTTTTAAGTATTTTTTGTATTGGGAATGTAAAAAGGTGTGTTAGAAATGTAAAAATATATACCGGGATAGGACAGTTATTAATAAAATAAATTGAAAAAACCATCAAAAAAAGCAAACAAACAAAGCCAAAATCTTTCAGCTGTTACTAAGAATATCCTTAATAACAATTGCAAAAATTATTAAAAAGAAGTAATGATAATAAATTAATATTTTAATTGATTGGAATAAATTTCTTTATTTATTTAAATTTTGTAGTCTTTTGAAATATTATCTTTTTATTGCAAATCGTTTGAAATATTTTAAGGGAGCAAAAGGGCAAACAAAAAAAAAGGAGTAATGGAAAATGAGAAGAAAGGTGTGGTATAATTGGGGGAAGGAAGGTGGATGGGAAAATGTGTAGTGAGTGCGACGCCCTGTATTATCGGGCGGATGTCTTTTCTGTCCCCTCTCCCTCCCTCTAATTTCTACTTTCCCCCCTTTCTTTCCCTCATCCTCATTTATTGCTTTAAAAAAAAAAAAAAAAACCCTTATTTGAGTTTCAGAAGATTACTTTTTAAATATGCATCAGCAATTACTGCCAAAAGCATTATTATTAGTACTAGTCTACCACTACTAACTAGCTGCTAGTTTCCTTCAGAAAAGCGAAAGAATTGTTAGGCTATAATTTTACGAGTAACTAGCTAGTTTACAGTTTGATCGTTGATGCTTATCTGAAGATTTTTTGATTTTTTATTTTTTTAAAATTTTTACAACCTTGTAGGAGTACTTGCGTTTAGGGAGACAAATACTAAAGAAGAAAAGAATTTTATGTAACATAGTTCAATAATTAGCTTATATATCTAGGTAGCCTATTGTTGCTTGTGTCTGTGTGTTACTGTTTATGGTGGCATTGTACCTATAAAATTAGACTAATTACGGGTTGATGCGTAATGATAACAAGATTAGTTAATCTATTAATAACCTGTAAGAAATTTTTAAAACGCACATGTGTTAACCTAACCAACTCGTATTAATTATCTCATCAGTCAGTTAATAAATTTTCTCATTATAAGTTAGGATCGATATTTTTTTAACAATAATTGTTTATCTTTTATGCATACTCAAACGTCAAGCCTGACTATTCAAAAGCAAAACAAATTTCTTATCATTTGACCTTCACAATTTTAGATTAACTTGGGAGTCTTAGACCATTTTTATCAATATAAGATTGTAAATAAGAGAATATTTGATTCACGTTTTTTTGACCAACGAAATTGCAGTTGCGCCAATTATCCATTCTCTTTGATTACTCAAGATATGGTTTCACCTACTGCACAGAGATAGAAGATCTGCAGTCGAATCTTTTGCCAAATTCTACCGTCATCCCTTGTTTTGGATTGAAGTGAAATGACGACATCATCAGTCTTGAACAAGAATGGAAACCAGTTTCAAAGTGTTCCTACTTTGAATTCCGTTGAGCTAAGCACTTGGTCTTTTAAGAGTTTTCTGGCTCATTGCCTCATTTGGTTTCTTTTTATTTTTACTGAATTACTTCATTGTTCAGACCAAAAATATCAACACTGCAAATCCTCGGAAAGGGAAATTTATTACCACCTTTTTACTCGAACTTCTTTCTTTATAACGGGAGATTTTTTTTTTTTACCTTGAAACTTTGAAAGCTGATTCAGAATTCGATCTGTTGGATTCAACTGGATTGAGTGAATTGTTATTATCGCAATATTGAGTTTCAAATAAATTTAATTATCCTAATTAGGTAGTACTATAATAATATAAAAAGGGAAAGGGAAAAAAAAAATTCCTTTTAGCGGGGGGACTCATGAATCAAAACCACAAGTGCAGGCTCACGTGCATTGCCAAAAAAGGGAAATGAGAGAAGCCCTACAAATTGGGGTTTGTACTAAAATCGCATGATAATGTTCTCTGCTAATCATATAATTATGACAAATCTTATCTTAATCACCCCTAACCTATGAATCTATGATGTTTGTCCTTGACCTTTGTGCATTTGTTGTCTCTTTTGTCCTTATTACCAAGTATAATCATCTAGCTAAAACTAAAAAATAAACCTAAAATAAGAAAAATAGCTGATTCATTATTCTTCATCATTGTTCCAAAGTACGGATAGATTGTCGTCAATACGAGTTACTAATACTGATCATCAACTTCGGGATTTTTATTTCTCCACTTTAGGCAAAGAAAGATCAATACTTACTTATTTGTTACTAACTTAGGCATTACATTTTTATCATTTCACTCAATCCTCTTGGAGTATTATTACTTTGATGATACAAAATATTGCCACAAAATGTCACTGTAAAAAAAAATGTGGTGACCGTAGAGGAACCGTAGGGCAAAAAAAAGGAGGAGTAAAAATTGGGTGGTCCTGTGAAAGAGGAGGAAGTGGGTGGATTATGAAAGCAGAGGGGAAAAAAGTGAGAGGCTTTAATGGGAACTTTTTGCAGAGACCCTCGACTTTTTCGCGGGCCTTTGCAGAGAGACTCCTATCGTCTTTCTTCTGGGTTCTGGCCCGCTGTCGATGGGGGTTAATATCTGACCTCCTGACAAGTGACACCCTACACACATAGTACTACTAGTAATATTTTTGTGGCTTTGGGTGGGGCCTCCACTCCTTACATACTTGGCGCATTTCATCGTACTTTTGGTCACACGTCAAAAAATTACCATGCCCTCTTTCTCATACGTTGTTGTCTTGAACACCCCAACTCAATCCATAACAAACAAAACACTCTGATTCTGTGAGAGAGAGAGAGACAGAGATAGAGGACTCGTGATTTTCTATACGATCTCCAAAAGGAGATATACACCAAATATTGTGGTCTTTGCTACCCTGCTGTTCTCCCCTTACTAACCACAAGATTTTGAATCTCTCTAATAAATCTCTTTATATGCGCTTTGTTTGTTAAGTTTTTTTATGGTATTTTCAAAATATTTAAATAATAATTGTCTCATATCAATATATCTTTTTATATTTTTAATACATTTTTTTACATTTTCAATATAAAAAATACCTAAAACACACACTAAAAAAATAAATCAAACATACCCAAAATTTCTCACCACATTTTTTGAGAATATGTTTCCAATGTTTGGTTGTTTTACACAATGTCGCCAAATACTAACCAGAAACATGATGTAGCTGTTGTTACAAAAAATCTAAGGCTCTGTTTGTTTGATTTTTTTTATGGTTTTTTTAGTTTATTTTATTAATAACTGTTTCATGTCCCATTATATATTTTTATATTTCTAACACACTTTTTTACATTCCCAATACAAAAAAAAACACACATTAAAAAAATGAAACAAACAAACCCTAATTATTTTTAAATACTGTCTTCTCGTATTTATTGTGATTTTATTAATGATCGATATTTATCTTGAAATGAAAGAAGGATCGTACACTCGTAATCTCTGTTTATTAACTCATTCATATTAATATATTAGGAAATAAGACTCTAACAAAGACACACTTATCAAAAAGAAAAAAGAAAAAAATACTCCCTCCGTCTCATAATTATTGTCCACTTTGCTCAAAAAATTTTGTTCCAAAATTATTGTCCAATTTGACTTTTTATGGATCAAGTTACACATTTGCCCTTAGTAAAAAATATTATCCCAAAAATCTTAGTGGTTAAACAATTACTTATGTAGGGGTATATCCGGTTGTTTAAGGTAATATATAGTTAAGTTTGGCCAAAAATAAAATCTTTCATTTTAGTAAAATTGGACAATAATTATGGGACGAAAGGAGTACTAACAAAGAGACTTTTTACCTATGTGATAATGTGAATGACCCTAATTAACTAGCGAACTTGGTTTGCTAGTAAGTTGTACTATCCTGGAAGGTAGAGACCCAAAACGTAGACCTTTTTTAATCTTTCTATAGCAATGTATAAAGTATGAAACAATCACGCCATATGAGGAAGTGCTAAAACGGGCAAAAAAGTTTTTGATACAAGTGAGTCCTTAAACCCATCATTTTAACCAATGTGTGTTTAAATGTCGAAACTTTTCGGGATTCAGAGCATCATATCAACTGAGTTCATTTACCCCTTTCAACAGTGTCAGCCCTCTGTTCCTAGCTAGTACCCCTACTTCTGAGTCTATCTAGCTCTGTGGCTGAACCTAGAAAATCAATGTGAGCTTGACCCATTGGAGGCGTTTGACTAAATCCCGAATTTTACTTTTGTGTCTGATCATCTTCGTTTTGGTGGCGTGGGCCTTAAGAAGTAGGGTCCTGGGCTTCATTAGAAGTAGATGGAATAGGCCTGCTACCTAGGTATGGAGTTATGTACTTTATTGTTTTCTTTTCCAATTTTTTTTTTTTCGTTTTCTTTTCTACCATGCTGAACCCAAAAGATCCACCAATTTGGTTCCCAAATTTCATTGGAGCTACTTTGGTTGTCTGACAGACTTTTACTTTGGGATGGACGGAATTGTCTTTATTTCATTGATGTAAGTTGCACTTATTCCCCAACAATGTCGAAATTTGGTTTTTTTGTTAAAATACCAAATCTAGAGATTTATCCCATTCCTTAAACAAGGTCCTGTACATAATTAGCACAGGACGCTATATCCTGTTTCAATGACTCCACAAGCATCATTACATCGTATTAAGCGGTTTATGTTGCTAAGACGGATGGAGTAATAAATATGTACATGATTGTCTGACACTTCGAGGGGTAACAAATATCCAAATGATTGTCTATGATTTCATATTTGAAGAAGATAAATAAAGGTTAAGTTCCTACCTTCATAATTAACTGGCAATAATTTTAGCTATTAGGCAAATCCTGAGAATCAAACAGAACTGAAATTTTAGTTGAAAGGGGACCAAATTCTACAACTGGTCTACATTTGAATGTTTGATACTAATGATCAATAAAAGACAGGTTGACAATAAACTTCATAATGTTGCAACGCATCATAGAGAGTTCCATGAATAACAACACAAAAGCTATGGACAAGAAACCAAGTAATCTTTTTTGCTATAGCGAGGGAGAAATTTCTAACTTCAATTCAACAAGGATTTTGTCAATTCTATTATTTGACAATCAGCAATTAGACCACACTTACAATTGTATGTACAACTCCAACCTAGTTCATAAAGAAAGTAGTTGACTGAATGAACATCATCATGACTCCTAGTTTAAAAAACAATGCTTAACCTAGAAGACCTGAACAAGGTTGCTTACACCAGATGTTTGAAATCGCAGTTCGAGAAATCAACCCCTTTGAATGACACATTGAACCCCTTTGAATTCGCCCTTCGCAAAGTTCTCTTCGCCATGAGCGTTTCCTCAGAGCTCGACGAATCAGGCCTCGATGGAAACATATTAGGACATTCCATTGTTCGCGCCATAGATGGAGACTTCAAGATGCCTTTGAGAGGTGGTCTTGATTGTGTACCACATGCCTCTTTGCTGCAATGATAGTTATTAACAGGACTGGCACTATCTTTGTGTCTGAAATAGTTCAAAGCATCATCGAAAAAACCCTTTAACCGTCTAGCGTGAAACCGATGATCATTATCTTCCTCATCATCGCCATCATCACCATAAGGAATATTAACAGACTTGCCATGAAATGGATCTTCCTCAAAGCTATCATCATCAACATTTTCATTAAGAAGTACCTTTCCTGAAAAACCATCTATGATGGTGGTCTCTACAGGAACATCATGGCATTTCTCCATATTTTGTACCTTCTTGGTTTTGGGAAATTTGAACCATCCTTCTGTAAAAAGGGGTAGGTGATTCAAATTCTTGAGAAACGATGTGCTTCTCTTTTGAGACTCGGCAAATTTCTTCCTGTCACATTTACCTAGCAATGCCATTCCAATGGCTGTGGTTATGAAAAGCTGGCAAATTGCGGATTTAATCTGTTCATGCCTCTCGAAAGACGATGATTGTGTTAGGCCAATCACGTTCTTGACACGAAGAATCTTGCGCGCTAGCACCGCCAATTCACATTTCTTGTATTTCTTGTCATCGAGAATCTTGGCAGCAAGGTAGCCAATGTCCGCCTTCTCCTTTGTCATTCCTAATTCCTCGAGGGGAAAAAGATCATTACTTTCAGGAATCCCGAAACCAACAAAACGAATCCTTTGATCCGTGAAGAACTTGAAGATGGGATCAGGTATCTCATCCCCTGAATTAAATTTGAGAATTATGCAGCCCACGCCAAAGCACAAGAACAGCAGGATGTTGTTTGGATCCCGAGGGTGTCGCATAACATCAATCCCAACCACAGGTTGATGAGCCCAAGTCTTTCCTTGAGGGAAAAGGAAATCCATCGCGCACAATGATTCGAAATGTTTGGTTTTGAATGCGATTCCCTCGAGTTTTACCTCGAATCTGTTGGTTCTCAGATACACAATCCCGGCCATCTTCTTGAGCTTCAGCTGCAAATCTGGAAAAGTTACCTATGGATTCGATAGAAATTTTTAGCGTCCAGTGATGAGTTATTACTAAATCATCAAGAACATTATGTCAGGGAAAAACCCAAGTCAGGGACTTGTTGGCCACGCAGGTTGCAGGTCTTGGAGGGCTCAAGACAAAAATACAAACTGAGATCTTAGATCTGTAATAACTTAACAAAAGTCTTACAAAACACAGAATGATTAGTGATTCATCAAAAGTTTGCTCCTTTATATGAGGACTATCATTCTGTTCTCCCGGATTTATTTCCACAAGTTTATTAGTCAAGCGCTCTACCAAATTTGACGCTGATTAACTGCCACCATGAACGAAATTTGCGGTCCTCCACAGGAACAAGATTATCAGATCCCAAGATAAGGTCCAGAAGGTACAATTCGTTGTCAATTGATTTTTCATTTGACTTGGACTCGTCTTAGGTGTATGAATCCACCAAGAAAATGCACATTCATCCAACAAAACTTCCATTACAGCATTGACTAAAGCAGACACGAGATTAAAACAAAGTAATGCCAACGTGTCCATTCCAACCAAGGAAAAATAATGTTGATCAACTTACGGATTAAAATGACTTTAGCAGATCAGGGGATTTTCTTCATTTGAAAAAGCAAGATAACAGATACATAATTGACCGTCACAGTGAACCAAATCTTCAATGCCTTAATCAAAAGTAAAGCAAAAACCAAAAACAAAACCAAAAAAAAAAACTTCGATATCAATTGCTTTTCCCCCGACTAGTAACATCTGGATGAATCGTACAAGATCAGAAAAATGAGATTCATAGATCGAACCACTATTAGGCATTAATTAGACAAGAATTAAAAATGAGATTAAACCAGATTCCAAATTTAATTGGAGGCAAAAAGAATGGAAAAAAGAGACAAAATAAAGAGATCAACTTCAGAAGAAAAAGGGATATTCTCATTTTGGAAGACAAGATTACATAGTAGATTTAAGAAACCCGCACTAAACCAAATTCAGCAAGAAGGCTGAATCAAAGTAAAGCTAATAAGGACTAATATTAGAAACAAGCATCTAATGTTACTGGAAAAAGCTAATTGCCCTTATTTACCCTAACATAAACTTGAGACCCCAAAACCCATGATGCACAAACAGCTTTCTGAATCAGACCCTGGAATATGATTAAGCCCTTTCGCCCCTAATTCTCCTGGCAAGCTGGATGTCCTTGGGCATGATAGTGACCCTCTTAGCGTGAATGGCGCAGAGGTTGGTGTCTTCAAACAGACCGACCAAGTATGCCTCCGCTGCTTCCTGGAGCGCCGCCACGGCGGAGCTCTGAAACCTCAGATCTGTCTTGAAATCCTGGGCAATCTCACGAACAAGCCTCTGGAATGGCAACTTGCGGATCAGCAACTCAGTAGACTTCTGGTACTTACGGATCTCACGAAGGGCAACGGTTCCGGGACGGAAACGGTGGGGCTTCTTCACACCTCCGGTGGCCGGAGCAGACTTCCTTGCCGCCTTGGTGGCCAACTGCTTCCTTGGAGCCTTTCCTCCGGTGGACTTGCGAGCGGTTTGCTTGGTACGAGCCATTTGAACAAATCTGGATGATTAAGGAATTTGCAAAGAAATTGGAATGATCGACTTTGGAAAGGATGATTTTGATCTAGTACAGAGTCGAGGTATTTATAGGTAAAAAGTTCTTTTGAAAAAACTTTCAAAAACGAAGCGGGAAATGAAAAGATTGTGGCGGTCCTGTGTTGGGATCGATGACGTGGCCGAGGGAATTCATTCTGGATCGTTGGATTTTGAACCAGAATCGTGCTTAATCGACGGCTGATATTAGTCAGAGGAGAAAGTTGTGTTTGTTTTGTCAGTGCGGATAGAGATAACTTTGAGCGTCCGATTAATCTCTTATCGACGGCTGATAACTAATGAGAAGGAGGCGCGGATTGGTGACGTGGGTATCACCGTCTGTAATCTGAATGGCGGGCCACCAAATTATTTTAGCTGAAAATTTGAAATTTAGCGAGAGCGGCGAGCAAATTATTTTACGTGCTATGATTTACCTCCATGAATTTTAAGGTGTGAAATTTGTCGCATCTTTTATGATCTTATCTCAAATTTCGTTTTAAATACGGACACAGCATTTTATCAATTTTCGTATTTCCAGTACAAGTTTTTACATCCCTATACATGTACACCATTATTGCTTAATACAATAGTGATAATTATTATCGATTATTAATTAATTATACTCCCTTTATCATAAAAAAAATAGTTTACTTTACTGAGTTAAAATAAAATAATAAAATGGATAGTTTTTTGAAGATCTATAGAACATTTGTAAACATTAATCAAATGAAAACAAACAACAAATTAATTACCTGAATAATGCTCCATTTGTTCCAAATAAAATTAAAACAATCCACATTATTAAGCTAAAACAATACACAGAATGGAGAACGTTTTTAATAACTAGAGAGCATTTGTTAATATCAATCAAAATGTAAACAGACAACAAAGGGAACAAAATAGTCTGTTGATCTAAATGGTTGAATGTCATAATCAACTACATGGTTGAATTTTAATTTAATTTTTATCCCTCTAAAAAACAAAGTTTTTCTTTCAAACACGAAAAAAAAAAAAGTTAAAAAAAGAAAGAAAGAGAACAAACATGTACAATGGTTTGTATCATTAGATTTTACTGTATGTTATACCCGCAAGATGTGAGGGGTAGATTATACTCCCTCCGTCCCATAATTATTGTCCAATTTTACTAAAATGAAATATTTTATTTTTTGTCAAACTTAACTATATTTTACCTTAAACAACCGAATATATCCCTACATAAGTAATTGTTTAATCACTAAGATTTTATGGATAATATTTTTACTAAGGACAAATGTGTAACTTGATCCATAAAAAGTCAAATTGGACAATAATTTTAGGACAAAATTTTTTAGGTAAAGTGGACAATAATTATGGGACGGGGGGAGTAACATCTTTATAAAAAAATTTTAAATAATTAAAAATTTATATATATCACAAGTATATAAAATACTATTTGTAAAATAATAAATGAAAAATATCATGATACTATACATGAAAGCCAACATATTTTTCTATACCATTATTCAAAATTATAATTTGAGGGTGATTAGACATAAAAAATAGAACAATCCAACCATGAATCATTATGGACAAAATATAATCCACATTAGATATATAAATAGAGGTGTTTTTTCAATGGATTGTAATAATGACTTAATAAAGGACTTAAAGCAAATTGTAATATGAACTTAATAAAGGACTTGAAGCAAATTTCATGAACTTTTATTTTTCAAGAAAAATTTGAGGAAATTACATATATGATTTATGCTGATGTGACACCTTAAGAATGAATGTAAATTCCTCTCTCTGGTTTCTTCTATATAATATACTATAGATTTCTCTTTATACTATGAAAGTTTAAACATTACCACAATATAGTTTTACATGTTTACACTTTATTTCACATTTGTTTTACTCTGTGAAATTAAAATTAGAGTATCCATAATGATTTGTACTATTAGGAATGTAATATAATTTCTACATCAATATTTTTCATTAAGAAAATGATAATTATATTAACTATACAATGAAAAATAAATAGTAACTGAGTTGGCCCCCTATTTTATAACCACTTTCCCGTATAAATTATATATTTTCCTTAAAAAATTACACTTCTACCCTTAGTTAGTAAAGACACATCAGTCACTATCAGTTTTCACTATATCTTTTCACTGGTTGTATCACTTTATCATCAAGTTGAACACGATGACAAAAAAAATAAGGGAATAGTTTAAGGAGAAATTTTGTTTTGTTAACTTCATCATCGAGTTTTAGAAGTCGACGTACGTGTCAATGTAAATGTTTTATAGCAACTTTTACTTTCGTCAACCGTATCATTGAGTAAGGAAAGTAGACGAATAGGCCGACATGAATGTTTTCAAGAGAATTCTTGCCGTCGACTATAATGTCGAGTTAAAAAGTTGACTAATAAGCCGACATTGGTGTTTTCAAATGATATTCTCTTTTATCATCTTTATCATCGAGTTAGAAAAGTCGACAAAAAGATCCTCAAGAATATTTACAATGTAATTTACTTTTGTTGGTTTTACCATTGAGTTTAGTAAGTCGGCATAACTGTTTGCATGCCTTTAAGTCTGGTATAACTGAACTTAATATCATGTTGTGATATAGACAAGTTGATAAGAGAGTTTGTTATAATTTTTCATTTGTTGAAATATGAAAATATATGCAAGTTAATTGTAAAATTTGTATTACGATGAATTATTCATCAAGAGCATAATAAAAATCCTCATGAGAGAGAAACTACCCGTTCGAGCTCTATATTTTCCATTTAACCTCGATGGTCGGCTACTTTACAAATAATATTGTGAATCCCTTATTTTCTAACTCTGTGTGATATGAATCCCTTTTTTCCACATTTAACACTTTTAACCCCCTTACTCTAAATTTTAAAATGTTTGAACAGAAGAAAGAGAAAAACATAAGTTTCGAAATTGGTGGAATCATGCAATCCATATTTAAGTGGGGTTCATTAGGGTGGATATTTTGTATTTTTTTAATGAAAAATAGGTGTGGGATTTTACAAATTTTATCAATTTGATTTCCTTAAGAATAAATTTTCAAATGTCCAAAGATTAAGAGGTTATAATTTGATTTTGATTATATAAATTTCAACATACAAATTTCAAGGAAAAACATATTTGATTTCTTTTGCGTAATTTGGGTATTGATAACTTTTGTATTCTTGATAAGTTTTTTCTTAATTCACATTTGGATACTTATTTCAATATTGAATTTATATTTTTATATGATATTGGAAAATGGTTTATAACAAATCGAGTAGTGAGCAATGCTTAAAAACACTATGATATATTTTTCAAAATTTTAACATTATTTATAACCATAAACAACACAAAGTGAATGAAAGCAATAATATAGTAGTAATATTAATTGAGAAAAAGCTGAATTAGCCAGAGAAAATAAATATCTATACTAAAACACGCGCTCTGTTACTGTAGGCGATTCCACGTCCCACTGTGTGTAAACCCTTCGACATCAACTTTTTCATTTCTTTTGTCGATTCAATCGAATCTGCCATGGCGAGGCAACCGAAAGAGAAGCGAGTCGCGGTTAAGCATCTGGTGAATGTGAGTAGAGCATCGGTCAGTGCAGTTGGTGAGACATTGGAAAACAAATCGCGGAGTCAGACCCCTAAGGAGATGGATCTTTCAACTCCGGTGAGTAAACCAAACTACGAATCTCTTTCTGTTTGTGTTGATTCTGTTCTTGAGGAATTGTGTAAGCGTAAGATTGTTGAATCTAGTGGTAAAATGGAGGAGTAGAAGGAGGTTGTGGTGGAACCAATTGTAGATCCTAATTGGTCAAAGTTTAATTTGGATAAAATTAGGCCAGTTCCGGTTGACCTAGAATATATCGACCCTATAACCATAGCAAATAAGAAGATAGCCAAAATAATGGTGGATGATGTGGAAGGTGAGGTAGAATATTGAAAGTCTTATGTGGTTTGCTATGTTCTAGGGGGATATCCCCCATATAGGATCATGAATGGGTTCATCAGGAGGATCTGGGGAAAGCATGGAGTCGATAAAGTGTTGCTGCTGGATAATAGTGTTTATGTGGTAAGGTTCCAAAAAATGGAAGGAAAGCTTGAAATTCCAGAGAACCATTACCATACAGATAGCAAACCTTTGATTGTCAAGGACTGGTCGATAGAAGATGGTATTAAGCTGGAGAAAATTTTGAAGTTTCTAATGTGGATTAAGTTGCCAGGATTAAAGTTGAAATACTGGAGCTCCTAATCTCTTAGTAAGATGGCTAGTACTGTTGGTAAGCCTCTGCAAATGGATGCTTTAACTGCCAGTAAACAATGTCTTGGATTTGCAAGGCTTTTGGTTGAAATGGAGATTAAGGAGAACTTCCTAGAGCAGTTGTGGTTTGAAGATAAGTTAGGTGTGGTTCAGGAACAGAAGATTGAGTATGATTGGAAGCCGACTAGGTGTGGGGACTGTAAAGGCTATAGGCACGCTACTAAAATCTGCAGGCAGAAGGCTAACTAATTTAAGCAGTCAAAGGCTCTGAGAACTGAAATTAAGTTAGTGGAAACAGTACAGGATGTGGAATAAAAGAAATCAGAAGTGCATCCCAACAAAACACCTGGCAAAGTGCAGACTGAACCAGCTAAAAGAATTATGCAGTATAATGGCAATCCAGTTAATGATTACAGAATATGGTTGAGGAAGGAGACGCATAGGGAAAGCTCGTAGGGGACAATCCCTAATGAGTAGCGTTATAGTATAGAATACAAGGGGTTTGCATAGTCCCCTGAAACAAAGAGAACTAAAATAGTTAGTCTCGTTAAACTATGCTAGTATAGTAGGGATTGTAGAGGTAAAGTTGAAGGATGATAAGTTGGTGGAACTTATGAAGAGGGAATAGGGGTAGTTTGAATTCGTGGGGAACAATGATAGAACACGGGGGAGGAATAGAATAGTTGTAATGTGGAAAAAAAGATGATATAAGGGTAATAGTGTATCGAAAGGAGGAGCAGTTTATCCATTGTAAGATTGATGACAGAATAATGAAAAGAAGATACTGGTTGATTGTGGTGTATGGGGCTAATGTTAATGGTGAAAGACACTACTTATGGGAGCAACTTATGAAAATAGGGCATTATATGATTGAAGCCTGGATTATAGTGGGGGATTTTAATTGTGTATTATGTCAGGAGGAAAAAGTAGGGGGCTTACCAGTTACTCTATCTGATATAGAAGATTTCATAATGATGGTTGAGAACTGCAGGGTTGAACAACTTCTGACTCATGGAGGATTTTTTACGTGGAATAATAAACAAAGTGGGAATCAGAGAATACATGCAAGGTTAGACAGGGTGCTGGTCAATGAAGAATGGATGTTGAAGTATGAGGAAAGTTATACTACTATTTTCCGGAGGCTGTTTCTGACCACTACCCACTGGTTGTTAAATGGCAGTCTCGAGGGGATTAAACAAGGAAATGGTTTCATTTTTTTAACATGTGGACTAAGGCAGAGGAATACCAAGGCTTGATTCAAGAAACCTGGGAGCATGTGATCACATAGATTAAACAATTTTAGTTGGTTCACAAGCAAAAACGGTTGAAGCCTCTGTTAAAGGAACTGAATAGAACAAGGTTTGCCAATACAAACCAACAAGTACTTGAGGCAAAAATTAAGGTGGAGGAGGTGCAGACAGCTTTACAGACTCAACCACAGAATATTGAGTTACAATATAAGCAGAAGGAGCTAGTGAGAAACTATGTGGAGAAAAATTATTGTTCATACAGCTATTGGCAACAAAAGGCCAACGAAAACTGGGTTCAGTAAGGAGATATGAATACAACCTTCTTCCACGCAGTTATAAAAAATAAGCAGAAGAGAAAGTCGATTTTGACTTTCACAAATACTGATGGGGCAGTGGTTGAAGACTGGAAGGAGATTGAACACCATTTATTGGGGTTTTTTAAAAAGCTTATAGGACAAGAAGTGGGTAGAGAAGCTATAAAACAAGAAATCTGTGACACGGGGCCAGTACTGTCAATAGAACAACAATTGGAGCTCATCAAAGATGTACATGAAGAGGAGATAAATATGGCAATGTTTTCTATAGAAGACTCTAAGAGCCCAGGCCCTAATGGGTTCAATAACGGCTTCTACAAGAAGACTTGGAACGTGGTTGGGAAATCTATTTGTGATGCAGTTATGGAATTTTTTGGGTCTGCACAGCTGTTGAAGCAGGTGAACTCGACAGTCATTGCCTTGATACTGAAAACAGAGATGCCTCACACAACTGCAGATTATCAGCCTATCTCGTGTTGTAATACATTGTATAAATGTATTACAAAGATCCTCAGTAACCGGCTGTCGAATGTGTTGGCTTATTTAGTGGACCAGAATCAGGGGGCCTTCATCAAAGATCGCTTGATACTACATAACATCCTTTTGACGCAGGAAATGATCCAACTGTATAACAGAAGAAATGTTTCTCCAAAATGCTTAATGAAGGTGGACCTCCAAAAAGTGTACGATTCGGTTGCATGGAAATTCATTGAAGAGCTCTTAGTGGCATATAAGTTTCCAAGTGAGTTTACTGCCTGGATTTTAGAATGTATTTCCACTTGCAGTTTTTCATTATGTATGAATGGGGGTTTAGTTGGATTCTTTGAAGGGAAACGGGGATTAAGACAAGGGGATCCTGTTTCCCCTTTGTTGTTTGTGTTATGCATGGAATATCTCAATCGGATGTTTAAATATGAACCTGGATTACGGGGTTTTATGTATCATCTGAAATGTAAGAGGTTGCAGATTACAAATCTCAGCTTTGCTGATGATTTGATCATACTATGTAAGGCTGATTTGCCAACTGTTCAAAGAGTTAGAAATGTGTTAGAAGAACTTTCAGCTGTAACAGGACTAAAGGCAAATCTTAGTAAATCCAATGTTTACTGTAGTGGTGTTAAAGAAGAAGTTAAGATGAAAATCCAGAATATATTGGGGTTTAGTAGAGGCTTATTTCTCATAAAGTACTTAGGAGTCCCTGTCCCCAAACAAATGGAATGCAATTGATTGTCAGGTTCTGGTTGATAAAGTGACAGCAAGGATCAAATGCTGGTCTTCGAGGCACCTATCCTATGCTGGTAAAGTGGTTCTAGTTAACACTGTCTTGTTGGCTTTACACACTTATTGGGCTTCTATCTTCATGTTGCCAAAAAGTGTTATAAAGAAGATTACTAGGGTTTGTAGAGAATGCCTATGGGGCAAGAAAGAAACAGGTAGATCCTATGCACTAGTTGCTTGGAAGGAGCTTTGTAAACCAAAGAAGTTGGGAGGGCTCAATATCAAAGAACCTGTAATATGGAACCAGGCAGCCCTAGGTAATCAAGTTTGGAGTTTAGCTACCAAAAAGGATAATCTATGGGCAAAATGGTGCCATGAATATTACTTGAAAGGGAAGGATATGTGGGAATATCAGCCACCTGTGGGAGCATGTTCGTATTGGAAAAGGCTGATGTCAATAAAGAACAGAATGAAAGAAGCTGTTGTTCAGAGTAAATGGACAGGATCAAGCAAAGGGGAATACTCTACAAGTTCAGGTTACTGTTGGCTGAGAGGAGAGGGGACCAAAATAAGAGAAACATCAGTTGTTTGGAGCAAGTATAACATCCCAAAGTAGTTTTATACTGTGGCTAGTAATGAAGGAGAGATTATTTTTTTTCTGATAGATTGCTAAAGCTACAAATTATAGAGCAACCACTGCAGTGTGTGTTTTGCTCAGTTGAGGAGGAGAGCTTAGAACAATTATATTTTAACTGTCAGTTTTTCAAGCTGCTCTTGTAAAAATTGAAGAGCTGGCTGGGCTGTGGCTTTGTTCCATAAAATATATACAGATGGAAAACAAGGCGAGGAATATTTGGAAACAGAAAAAGTGCAAGTAGAGGGTGATGAATGGTGTGCTAGCAGTTGCAGTGTACAGAATTTGGAGAATTAGAAATGAAGTCCGACATGGAAGTCTGAAACCAGAAATAGAAGTAGTGACGAAACAGATACAGTGTGAGATGAAGGGAAGAGTTAAGGCTTGTTGTAAACAATTTAGGCAAAGTGAAAAAGTTTTTCTAAATTGTATTGGTTTTGATGTTGGTAGTTGATAGTAGGGAGGATGTAAGGATGGAATTTTGTACATAACAGTTTTGTTTGTGAAATTAATACTCCCTCCGATCTTTAACATAAGTCATTTTGATTTTGTCTCAGGTTTAATTTAGTACGCATTTTTAATTGATAAAAAAATCTTAAAAATATATTTTCACATTCTTTCTATTCTCTTTATTATTATGAAATATTTTTAAGGTTTTTTTGCCAATTAAAAATATGTACTAGGTTAAGCCTAGAATCAATCAAAATACCTTACATTAAGGACCGGAGACAGTACATATTAACCTTTCACCAAAAAGAAAATATTAATAAGTTCTGAAGGAATTCCTAAAAACTAAAAATTATTAATTTTTCCATTTTCGTGTAGTTTCTCCTCCAAAATTATGTACTACAAATATTTTGTATTATTAACAAGGAATTATTATGGAATTTGCTTTTTTGCCTATCCGCGTTAGGGCCTTCAATATTAAACCCGAACCGGGTCCAAAAGCGACCGGAATCGAGGCCATAGGACACCCGGAAGTCAACAAACCCCCAAATTGCAATGAGGTCAGACTGATTGCATTCATCCAGTGGGAAAACGGAAACAGAAAAGAGGGAAAAACACACCAACTCAATTGAATATTAATAGTTGAGGTGGATTTCAAATTCCCATCTTCCTTCTTCCTTCCTCTGACCAACGAGCCTTATGCAGAGTGCAGTTTCCTTTTTCATCAAGAAATAGGGCTCTATATTTTTACCGGATGCCATCTGCTTCAGTATTCATATTATTGGCTCATCAATTCCAATCGAAGAATTTGTATCCGATCTGGGTTTTTGCTCAAGGAGTCTAAGAAGGGATGGTATTGCCTTTATTGAAGCTTGGGACGCTTGCTCTCAAGACTATCAGTAAACCCATTGCTACTAGGCTCAAGGTTGAGGCTGGAAGACATCCCAAGTTCCGCAATTTAATTGTCAGAATGGCCCAGGTAACAAATTAACCACAATCAGTTTCAGTACCAGGGAAGAGATTTCGTGTTTATGGAGCTTAGTGCATCGATTTAGTTGTTTGGTTGATTGTTTTTAATTGTGCAGTTATTTTAGTTCTCAAAACGTGACCTTTTCTATTTGGAAAAGGGCCTTTCAGTGTGTGATCTGTCACGGCTTCCCTGCATAGCCCCCTTTTGGTGTATGCTAGACACTTGGTGGCATTAGCTGTAGGATTTAAAAGTGTAAATGAATTGAGAAATTTATCACTTCAATTTGAAAGCGGGACCGAGAAACATTGGGAAACTACTTAAATTAGATTAATTTTCGAAAGATGGATTCCAGAGATTGGAGTTTTATTGGTGGTTAAGCCATTGTATATTTTTCATGAGCGGCATTTTAGAAAGTAAAGCTCGAGGAACTATATCATGATGTTGATTGAAGCTGCTTTTATGATTTATTTAGTAGTTCTGGATCACTGTACTTATCTACAGTACCAGACTAGCAGGTGAATGCCTTATGGAGAACCCCATGTCAATGTGCCTGGTGGTTTTACAAATTCCATTTTGCGGAATGAACAGAATCACATCATCTTCTGCCTAATATTGCCACATTTTTTATTCCTTTGACGACCGAAATATTGCACTTTCTTTGCAAGTGCAATGTCAATGTTAGCTAATAATCTTCTCTCATATTAGATGTGCTCTGCATAAAGGATTAAAGGGGGAGCCTAGGTGCACAGTAGATAGTTGATCCTCTTCCCCCTATTAAATTTGTTTACTCTTTACTATTTGCCAGTTTTCTGTACGAGTTGCTACTAAACTTTTCCAAGTTTCTCAGATGCACTTAATAAGATGGTTGTGTCTCAAGGAGTCTCTTTCACAATGCTTATTTGTAGATTCTTATGCAATGTCCTTTAATTACTTTGGAATTCTGTTTTTTACATCTAGCCATGTTGATGCTCATTTTGACATCTCTTTAAACGAATTGATAACATTTCATTTTTATGATTGCAAACAGTCAAACCATCGAATAACAACACAAATGCAAAGACGAATCTACGGTCATGCAACCGACGTTGAAATTCGACCATTAAATGAGGAGAAAGCTGTTCAAGCTGCCGCTGATCTTCTAGGAGAAATATTCGTCTTCACTGTAAGTTCCTTACTTTGTATTTAGGTTGCTGGAGTGGTTGAATGATTTGACTGATTCGGCATTAATTAATAGTTGCTTGCGGATGTTCCAAGACAATTGGTTTTGTCCCATTACTTAACTGGACACGTAAACTTTCCGAATGTGCTTCAGTTTTGATGCTGTTGTTCTTTTTAGACTTTTTACCACTTTACAAGCATACTGTTACTTCCTGATTCTTGCTAGAATAATTGCTGCATATGGGTAATACCAGATGCTTTGTTGTTTTAGTATCTGTCTGCTATGTCATTCATTGATACAAGCTTTTAGTGTCTACTAGACATGGAACTCATTGCATCTCCTTTAAATAGCCAGTACAACTTTTTGGGAGTTTAGTGCATCCTTTCTCTTCTGTGTGCTTATCTTTTGGTTATGTAATTGGTGGCTAGATCTTCTTTTACTTTACACGGTTGATTACTGTGAACGGTGTTGTTCAGGTTCACTTTCTTGTGCCAAAATGGGACGATGAGTGAATCACCTTGAGTTTCTTGATCCCGTATTTTAAACTCTGAATGGTTCAAATGAGTGAATTACTTCAAGTTTCTTGATCCTGTACTTTAAACTCTGAATGGTTGACGGTGTTGTATGCTTGAGCTAGTAGTTGTAAGTTTAACAATGTTATAATTGTTGATGATTTGAGATTGGCAAGGTTGTTTGGCAGAAAAATGCTTGCTTTTTATCTGTCCACAAGGTTTAGAACATTGAGCTTTTGACTTCCTCTTAAATGTATAACACCAGAAGCCAATATCCATATCAGAATCAAATAATCAACTATAATTTGTGACATGTCTCAGAACTTTTCAACCTCACCTCCATTTGCCATCTTCTCCCTTTGAAAGATTCCAAGCATATTAATTATGCATTTTGAAACTCATATTCCTGCTGCATGTTAGGTTGCTGGAGTTGCTGTGATATTTGAGGTTCAAAGAAGTTCCCGGTCAGAGGCTAAAAAAGAGGAGCTTCGCAGACAAGAAATGGAGGTAAATATTGTCTTCCTGAGGCAACAACACCCCCAACCCCCAAGTTTGTCATGGATTAGCTTGGTATCTGTTTCTAGAACTTGCTGCGGTGACTTGGCATTATTCCCTCAATGTTTATTATATCTGGCATGTCCAACTTTGTAATCCGCAGAATCTTTGGCGTATGGTATTGGGATGTATATTTATATCGTTATGGGCGTAGTCAAATCTGAACATGTGATACATAGGGCAAGCAATTTTCCCCCTTCCCTCTCTATGCTATTTCGGTTGTTCAAATTGTGGTTTACGGGCTTTACGTATTCAACAACTACGTCTTGTTCTGTTATATGGGCCAGTCACTAATCATTTATAGAGTTTGTTCTGATAAAACCCACAGATTAATGCACTTTTAAATGTCTCCATGTCTTTCCTCACACAATTTATCTTGAGTGATTGAATTTTGGCTTAGAAAGGTTAGATTTCAACTGTAAATTTGTGGATTTTAGGAGATGAGGCAACGAGATGAAGACCTGGCACGAGAGGTGGAGCTTTTGAAAAAGAAGCTGCAAGAGCTTGAGCAGCTAGCTCAGAAACGCGGACTTGCTGGTGTTCTTGGCTTTCGAAATGCTCGTACTGAAGAAAGCAAAGCAGGGGCATCATCATAACATTGTTTTTTACTATATTTCTTCACAAATAATGCATTTCATTCTGATTCATTCTTTTCCTTGATTTGATCTCGAGTCAGCAGTTTTGTCAAGTGCTTGTTTTATGTGTATATATAAGCTGGCCATTTCAAGGACTTATCACTGTGCTGAAAGTAAACCTGAAAGACCAGGCCCCCTTTTTCAGTTGTAAGTTTAAGCATTGTGATCACAGTTAGCATCAGGCCGACAGAGAAGAGGAGGAATGATGGGGGAAGCCTATCCAGTTATTAGGCGTAGGTTTGCCATGCCCTATTGAAGATACTACTGCCGGAACGCTTTATTTGAAGACCATGATGGTGCAAAGACATTCAGGGCTATCATACCCTACCCAACTCAACGGAAGGTGAAGAATCTTATTCAATCTTCACTTCTAATCATTTCTGGTCCCGAGTTATTGGGGTTGATTTTTTGAATAAAGGTTGATTCCACATATTGGGTTATTAGCGGCAATAACTTGTTTGTGGGTGAATGAAATGCCATTTGGTAGTCAGTTTTGCTCCCAGTTTATGGTGTGAACGTCTCTGAAGTCTGAAGCCAGTGCCAAATTACATACTGCACTTCTTTTAATCCTGTTTCCTTAACAATGATCACACAATTTGTGTTCCAAGGCTTTAGCTTTTGACTCATAGGTCCCGAAACAGGGAAAGGTTTGTTTGGAGTTTTCTACTTTAAGATGTCAACAGAATCTGTACTGTAATCCAGTAAATGCTCCTTTATCTTCAAAAAGACATCAAAATTCACAAAGATTGGTCTTTGGACGGCAAACTTTGATGCTCTTTTTTTGCCCACTATTCCCACCTCAAAGGGGCATCAAACATTTGGGAACAGAATCTCTTTGATGGTAGTGGGTGTTGTTGCTCTTTATGCTTTTCTTGCTCTGGTCATCTTTATCTCTCTCTCTCTCTCTCGCTTTTTTTTTTTTATTTTTTTTTTCCCCCCCCAATCTAAATGGCCATTTTCGAAGGGATAGGTCAGGCTTGTTCATTCGGCGCTCAACGTCAAAAGAAGCAAATTTTTTTCAGCATGGTTTCTCTTTGAAGGAATTTGGCGATCTTAATCAATTCTGATTAACACTTTATATGATCTAACTGTCTCCCGAAATCATATACAGTATCAAGGACTAAACTTCCCAATATCTGCTGCTTGGAGAGGCCAATTTTTTTTTTTTATTTTCCTTTCTTCCAAGTATTATAATTAATAAAAAAGGGAACAAGTGCAGTAACTCGAGTTCTTTTTCTAGAATCTAATAACTTTGATCTTCTTCTTTTATTTTTTCCGATTAAAAATTTGTGAATCTCAATTCTCAAATATAACACGTGAAACCGTGATGGCATGATCCGTAAAAATACAGAGTTACCTGGTTTCCTAGTTTGACATCTAATGTTCTAGACATAGTATAGGAAATTTCACAGAAAACCACCACATATTGTACTGTGTGTGTAATATTGTTATGATATTATACAAATTATTATATGGTTCTTCACATTTTGACATGCACGCTCTTTAGTTCTTATTGTCACCAGTTTTACGTTAAGATTGTGCTATTTTGGTCATTCATTAGAATTTTATTCATTTATTGTTAAATCGACTTTAGGAGTGGTGATATCTTTTTTTCGGGTTAATTATATCTTTTATGTATTCCATAATAATTAAATTAAGAAATTACTATTTTAATCGAAATCCACACTCAAATTTCAATAGTCTTAACTGAAAATGAATTTTTTCAAGCACTAAAATTAGCTTGGGATAAGGTTATTGTACCTTTTTTTTAAAAAAAACAAATTATCGTAAGGTCATTGTTGAAGTGGACAATCATAATATCATTGTAATGATCAGTAACAAAGAGGAGGTCTTTGGAATTAATACAAGTCTTGTGGTAGGAATTCGGCAACTTCTGAAGAGGACTTGGGTAGTTGAACTCATACATGAATTTCATGAAGCGAATTTTATTGTAGATCTTTTGACATTATTAGGATCTTGAGGACTAGGAAAACTGCAAAGATTAGACGTTCCATCATTAGGCATTAAAATATAATTTCATCATAATGTCATAGGGGTCTCGTATTCTCGAAATGTACATGTTAAATCATACTCTTCTTTTCAACAAAAAAAAAAAAAAAACTCCCTTTCCAAACCCCGTTAATTATTATGGTTGCAATTCCCATTATATGTGAAGAATCAAATAGGACTCTTTACTAGCATTTTTTAATTTATTTTCACACATCACCATTTTAATTTACTACTAGTATTTATTCCCCACCACAAACCCCCTCTAATTATTCCCTTTTATTAAAAACGAACCCTGCACCCGCCCTATTTTTCCCTCCATCCTTTTGCCATGTAATAAGCCCATATAACTAAGTAGTCCTCTCTTTTGCAAGGGTGGACCCGTTGCAGAAGGACCCCTCAGATTTAATACATTGAAGAAGAGAAGGTACCCAAAAAAAAAGGACTTCCATGGTCCTAAAGTCCACACAAATTCGCATATAGAGGGCAGTGCGCACCCAACCCATCCCCACACCCGCACACACCCAGTGTGAGTTAATCAACTCATCGATCTTCGGAGTTGGTAATGGCGGCAATCCTTCTGTCCTAGGGTTTTTGTTTTTGTTTTTTTTTTGGATTTTTTGTTTTAAATCTGTTTTTATTAGTTGGAAATTCGGAATTGGGGTTTCATTCTTCTTGATGCAATAACACCGTTCAGATGTCAACCTTGTAAAGGTTTCTTTGGGTTACTGCAGCAATTCGAAGTCAATCTTGGTTTGTTGATTGGGATTGTGGCCTGCTGGCCCAATCTCTTTTTGTTTTGCTTTTGTGCTTGTTATGAAATTGAATTTCAAGTTTTGTTTTTTTTGTTATTGAATTGTGGGATCTTTTTGGGTTTCACTTCTAATTTGTCCATCTCGCGTTTTTTATTAAAACCCCTAATCTCAATTGCGCATAAGTCTTAATTGCTTCTGGATTATGCTAGGGTTGTACAAAAATTTGTTCTTTATATGTGCTGAAGTCTTTCTTGACTTCTATTTTCAAGTTTTGCTGGACACCCTTTTCTGTTTTCCGTTTTTTATTCTTGGGTTCTTACTTTGTTGGGGGTTAGGGATATTTCTGGTTCTCTCTCTTTCTTTTTTCTTGCCTTTTCTTTGGGGTTTTATCCATTTGATTTATTTACCCATTCATGGCATTCGTCCTTTTTCTTTCCCCATTGGTGTTGACTGCGGACTAACAGTTTGTTTGGAACTTTGTAGGAGTGAAGCAAGATATTAGGTCGTGGACTGATCTCTTGGAAATGGGAAAGGGTACGAAGAGTGGTGCATGCAAGTCTGCAACGCATCAGCTCTTCAAGGACCGAGCAAAGAATCGGGTTGATGATCTTCAGGGGATGTTTTCGGATTTGCAGTCTGCTAGGAAGGACAGCCGCAGCAATGATGTTGCAGTACTTGAAGAACAGGTCCATCAGATGCTACGCGAATGGAAAGCTGAACTCAATGAGCCCTCACCTGCGTCTTCATTACAGGTTGGTTATCTTTGTGCTTGTAGAATATTCAGATTTGAAGGATATTCTAACATCCTTGGTGTTAGTTCTTATGGATCAGATGCATGTGCCTGTATAGGTATCATGAAGTTCATTATTCTGCTAGTTCATTTTGCTTCTGTGTGCATGTGAATTGTGTATTAGTGTATTATGTGTTAGTTTCTTATTAGCTGCCCTTTCTCGTCTACTAACCTCAGTACATTCCTCTGTAAACTAGAGCAGGTGTGGGTAACTAGTGTGGAGGGTCATGTTAACCTTCTCTTAGAAGATTTTATGTGGAGATGTCTACATTAACTTTGAGATTATTAATCTGATTTGCTCTCTTTATACACATCCTATTTCTTGCATTGTGTCCATTAATGTTGTAAATGCCAGTCTTTGAACTAGTTAATTGGTCAAATTTGCAATTAGTTTGATCTGACCTTCTGTTCCCCTTAGAATTCTACACGCAGCTGTTTGGTTGGAGTGCTATAGTTCAACTAGGACTGTTGCTTGTGTTTTATTAGTTTTAAGTATATTCCATTTGTCTTTGCAGGCAGGAAGTCTTGGTTCATTCTCGTCTGATATTAATCGGCTGTTGCAACTTTATGATGTTGAAGATGATGCTACCAGTGCATTAGCTGCCCCAAAATCTGAGCCAGATGGGCAAAAGGCGGATAAGGCTGCTGGCATGCAAGAGGTTAATGTGCAGATGACTTGAACTATGCTTTTTTCTTTAGATTCGGTGCAAATAAATTATTTTGGAGGAAAATGGTAGTTTTACTTTCTGATGCTATAAAAGAAGTCTTTATGTGAATTGATTACATGAATCTTTCAAAACTCTGCAGTTTCTGTAATTTATTGTGAGGATCTACTTGTTCAAAGATGTCTTAACTAAAAGTGCAACTTCATGTGTTATCCACTAAGAATGAGCTGTGGAGCTTTAAGGGGTTCTGGTATTTCATGATAAGGTGTCAGTGTTGCATCTTATAGCTGGGTAATCATGGTAAAAGATTTGTTTGTGTACATAGGGTCATGGGTTTCTGTTATTACTTCTGTTGGTTTTATATGGATACGTTTCGTAGACTAAACCTTCTTCTTTTGGGAAAGTTCCAGTAGATGTATTCTCAATCAGTTCTTTCAATAGAACTTATATAAGTTTTGTCAGATTGCATTTATCAGCTGTTCTGGGTTCTTGCATTTGCCTTTTCTGAGCAATTTAAAGTTTTGGTTGCATCTCAATTGGTGGCCGGTCATATTTTTGTGGTCTGATCAGATGCTTATTCGTTTCCTTAAAAGAGTTTGTATAACCTATATTCTCTCCTCCTTGTATAACCTCTGTTTAGTTCTAGAAACTGGACTATTTTTATCGGATGGAGGGAGTACCCGTAGATCGTTCATTGTTTGACATCTGTCTATAGTATTGTTGCTCATCTGTCAGAGAAGGGACACTGAGATTCTTTTTGGTGTTGTATGCCCAGTTAAAGGGGTGGTTTAGAGTTGCTGATGTTGGTTTATCCTGCAGGGTTTTGTTGCTACACAGCTCCCTCAGGAACAAAGCTTCCAGTTGCCTGATGAGAGCAAAAACTTCCCTGCTGTGGCTAACAATATGCATATCAACAATTTGGGGGTTGCACAGCAGTTAGATTATCATCAATTTGATTTACATCAGAACTTTGAGCAGCAGTACTTCAACGGATTTGATGTTACAGGTCTATGTGGAGACGATTTGCCACACATTACTGGTTTTGGACATAATTTCTATCCTCCACCTGCTGCGTTCTTAGGTCCAAAATGTGCTCTTTGGGACTGTCCAAGACCTGCACAAAGGGCAGAGTGGAGTCAAACATCACAAGATTATTGCAGTAATTACCATGCCAACATTGCGCCAGCTGAAGGCTGCCCTGGCATGCCTCCAGTTCTGCGACCTGGAGGAATTGGCTTGAAGGATAATTTACTTTTTGCTGCACTCTGTGCTAAATCTCAAGGCCAAGAAGTAGGAGTCCCAGAATGTGAGGGGGCTGCTACTGCAAAATCCCCTTGGAATGCACCTGGTAAGTCCATTCAAGCCAATAATTGTGGGGTCAAAATTTGTATGTGCTTGATCTGCTTTTACTTATTTTAGTCGGTTTCCTTGTGTTTCTGCAGAACTTTTTGATCTTTCTGTTTTGGAGGGAGAAACAATAAGAGAATGGCTTTTCTTTGACAAGCCTCGAAGAGCATTTGAAAGTGGAAATAGGAAGCAACGGGCCCTGCCAGATTACACTGGACGTGGCTGGCACGAGTCTCGGAAGCAAGTGGTGAGTGAGTATGGAGGCTCAAAGAGATCTTATTATATGGATCCGCAGCCATCAAAAAACTATGAGTGGCACCTCTATGAATATGAGATTAGCAAGTATGATGCTTGTGCCTTATACAGGCTGGAACTGAAGCTTGTTGATGGGAAAAAAAATTCGAAGGGGAAAGTAGCTACTGATTCAGTTGCTGACCTGCAGAAGCAAATGAAAAAACTCAATGCTGATTTTCCAACTGACAAGAATCTTTCTGTCAAGGATGGTGACAAGGCTCATTTAAAGAACGTTACAGGAAACATCTATGTGGCTCCTGATAGACTGCAACTGTCTAGGGAGGGGTTTGATTATGGCACTAGTGCCTCATGTGACTATCTGGTCGACGACGGGAATGTTTACTACATCACTTAGTCAAAGGTTTGTGATCTGGGAATAAGAGGTATTCTGTTGTAGCATGACACTGTCTGCTCGCAGCTATTCCAGGCAAATGGAGTTCTGAGCATTTATTTACTAGTCCAGGCAAATGGAGTTCTGAGCATTTATTTACTAGTCAATGTCGTCGACTACAATGATTTAACCAAAACCTAGTGGCTCCTCTTGGAGTATTGTTAATAGTTCATTATCATGTGAAGTAGCCATCTGACTTGTGTTCCTTTAACGGCAAAGAGTATCCAGCAGGTGAATGTCTATGGAACGTGGACATGGGATGCATCATTAGAGTTTGTAGTACTACATAGGATGGCCGAAAATGGTTGTTTTGACATTATCCCACTTTCGGCCTTCCAGCCCTTGGGTATTAGAAACCAAAGATATGTAAAATCATGGATGCCTCGTATTTATTCATGTTCCCGGATTTAGGCACTGCATGCCTGTGTCTTTTGGCTTCTCTAGCTTACACTCATCTGCCAAACTTTGGGACCAGGTAGGCTCCATTTCTATTGCTGTTTGCCTGTATTTGGTCCTTCCTATTTTCCAACATTTATTTCGTATCTGGATGTAGTTTCCATCTGTGTGCTTCATCTCCCAAAGGCATAAGTCCATGATATTATGGCTCTGTTGCAAGTGCAAGTGTGTTGGAAGTTTTGGGGGGGGGGGAATTGTTTTCACTTGCAGTCTAGCATAATCTCACTGAAATGGTTAAATCCTTAAGCCATTGTCATCATGACGAGGGTTTTTTTTTTTTTTTTTGACTCAATACGCTTGTATCTATTCTTTGCTGTAGTCAAGGAAGTTCCATGAATTAGGTCACGAGATAGTGTTAGTCATTACCGATGTACATATTTGCAGTCCGTTGCGAATGCAGACTTTGTCAAATTTTCCGCCACAACTAATTTTTTAGTAATATTCTAGGATTTCTACACGGAAAGTGATGCATTAATCAAAATCAGGGAAAACTTCACATAAAAAAGAAGTTGCCTCTGTGGACAGAGCACTTACTCTGTGAAATAAAACTTACGTGAATGAAATTCATAAATAAGTAATATATTTATTGGAAGTCATAAAAATGAGTATATCAAAAAAGGTTCGAGAACAGGTTTGGGTTTGTTTTATCAAATCTTTTAGTATTCCTTCTGTTTTAAAATTATTGTCCAGTTTGAGATTTCACTTTTAGTACAATTTAAACTAGAAATGAAAACCCAAACTGGACAATAATTATAAGACGGAGGGAGTCGGCTGGTTGAAAACGCGATTTTAAAATTAATTTTATATACTCCTTCCCATCTTTATTAGAATGCATTTTGATTTCATTTTAACTTTCACCTATGATGTTTTTTAAATTAAAATAAAAATTTTAAAAATATTTCATAATAATCTTATTATATATGAAGGAAATTTTTTCACAACACATTATAATTTTCATGTACACGTTTTGTAGTCCACGTGTCATTTTCTAATTTGTGGATTTTTTTACTGCACTTTATATGTATATTTTATAAAAGTAAAATAGTAATAATTTTTATAAATTAACTTTCACCTATTATAATCCATGAATTAGAAACTTCTCAGAAGGATAATTTTGCAAATAATAACAAAATTTTGCCCTTCCCTTTGGTCGCCGCTGCTGCTAAAGTCATCATATGAAAAATAAAATTACCGACCAAGATCGCCGATGACTCTCGATTCCATAAATATTTAATTGGGAATTATTTCGCTGTTGAATATTCTCCCTACGGCATACTCCCCAGGCAACTGTTGTACCTGGACCAAAAGGGGATTAATACGATGTATATTTTTATCGGCGATGACTTGCAGATTTCACAACAAGAACACCGACGACGAGACCTTCAATACCTCGCCGAAAATCTGGCGCTCCGGAGACGCCTGAAAATATGTTGTGTTTTTAATTGACGGCTTCCCGATGTGAATTCGAAATCTAAAATTGTCATTCCGGTACGCTTTCTCTGGTTACCGTTGCTGCTGTGTAAAATTTGATCATTGAACTACCAAACTATTTGGTTGGCTTGGAACTCATGGATCACATAGAAATTATTTTACGTACGTAACTAGGAATCTTTCATTCAGGGATTGACCGGATTTTTCGAGTAGTAGACTATCACCTTCATTGGATCAGATAATGTATTATTTGAAAAACCCTGATGCCAACTTTCAAACCGTGAATCTCTGTGCTTTGTGCACCAGTTTTGCCGCTATTAGTGTTATTATGTAATGGGAGGGGATCAGAATTGATGATCGACGAAAACCAAATTGGTGAGAAGATACCAGGGCAGCTGCAGAAACAACAAACGGGTATTCCAACAATGATTTTGGAAAGCAATTGTGTAGATATCCCCAAAGACAATACCGAGTGGTTATTCCAATATCAATCTTCAGGTGTGGTTTTCTTACTTTTGAAAAGCCCCATATTAGATTGTATTTGGATTGGTTTCTTTATAGATATATTATGATGCTACAATGTGACAATAGGATTAGTTTCTTTTGAAAAGTTGATATCCTTTGAAGTCGAGGAACGAGCGTGTTTTTTTATTGAATCATTCAAACAATAGGTCAAGCTAGAGGTTTGAGCTAATAATTTTATGCCACAATGTTTTTTCTCTAGCGTCAAATCTAAACTCAATCTCACACTTCTGCATTTGCCAGAAAACCCAGTATAACAATGATATATTGGCCTATTGGCTATCAAATGCTTCAACTCTTCTATTACTGCTCCAACGCACCTTGAAAGCCAGTGGTGCACTGGAATGGCACCCTAGGCCCTAGCCATCTTGTTCTTCATCAACTTATCTATCTGGCTGGATGGGACATGTAATACTTTTGAGTTTGATTTCAGTGCTATGGGTTATTATGATTATCTACGTCGTTTTTAGTCCGATAAATTGTCTACCGTTATGAGATGTAAGACCAAGCTTCGTTAAGGGATCATCACGTTCAGTTGCTAACACACCTGCTCAACAAGCTTTGATTGCTCACTGGCAGGGAATCGTAGCAAGCCTTGGGAACTTCCGGAAGACTTTAAAAGCAAACCATGTAAGCAGGGATCTATGTTCCTCTTTTTGTTCCCTCAAAAATCTTTTTCATCAAGGTTGTCATGATTTGTTACTCAGTAGGTTTGGTACATGGTTTTTTGCTGTGATCCTTAATTTATTAATGTGTTTCAATCAACTTACATAGAAGAGTTTGAGGCAGTTTTGAGGTTCCTTAGTGTTCTTAATATGTCGTTTGCAGCCTTGCTGGTGTTGAATGCACCATTGGTAGCCTTGCAGATTCTTAAGAATAGTTCGAAACAATCTCTTCATGTCTGAACTTTTCATGTATTCCGGACAGGTCAATGTCCCCCTGAATCTCAAGGCAGAAAAGTATCTAGATCACATGGGGAGAGTCTATGTATCAACTTCAGTCCTGGGAGCCATCTTTCAGAAGGCTACGCAATTTCATTGTGAAAACATAATAGTTTTGCCATTGAGTTTGTCAAGGTTCTTTCCTCAAACTGGTGATGCACATGTTTATCATGCTATTGAGATTGTTAAGATTCTTCCTATGATTCGTAGGATTTTTTCATATGCTATCACTCTCAAAAAGTTTCAAGAAAAGTGTGGAGGATTGAAGGAAACTGATTCCGTTGACACATCTTGAGTTATTTGACAGGATCTCAAAAGTCTATTACATAATCAACACCAAGAATGATTGTGATTGAGGGATTACATAAAAGTTAATAGTAAAGGACCAGCCTTTAAACTTTAATGGAGTTCTTTTTCTTGCATTTATTTAGTCCATTTTTATTTTTGCACTGCCAAAAAATATCAATTCCGTTTTTTTTTGACCTGTTAATGACCTTAAGATAACACGCTCACTGGGCATAGCCTACTATAAAATTCTGAATTATTTGACACAGAAAGGTTCATAAAACCATGTAGGACGATTATAAAATTACACATACTTGACCCAAGTGATGCTATGTATAGTATTTTTGTGGCTTAAACGGTTTAAGCTATCAAGTGATTTAATAGCTAATATTTAACCCACTTTCTATACTTTAATGCTCCCTCTATACTTTAATATTTAAGTGCTTTTGCGGATGGACTAATGTTTGTGGTTATACAAATTTACCTCCATTATTTTTACATTGTTATTTCGTCATAATAACAAATCTTAGATATCTATATCAAACCTGTTAAGCCGTATTGCAATGATAATTCATGCCCCAGGCAACGAGGATTGAGAGACTATTGTTTTATCTTTTTTGTTATTTTCCTACATAATTATTTTGTCATAACAAAACATATTATTTTTTTTCTTAGTACATATATATTTGTCAAACACTGCCATTTCTTTTCTTAGTTACATATCTATCTTTGCACGTACTCGGGCTGAGATTTAATTCTTCTTAAACAAATGACTCTTTCTCCTTCATTAATGTATATTTACCAGAAGAAGGTTGAATTTGATCAAGTAATAACATATCTCTATATGTATTAATGAAATTTTCTTTATCACCGCCAGTCAATTAGGCTCTCAATAGGCTTACCGAACATGTGTCATTACTCTATTAGTTGTTCATTTAATAATAATTTTAAACAGTAAAAGGACAATATAGAGTTACATGATGTTAAAAATGTAAATTAAGATAGAATAAGACCCGACGAGTTTCTTTTTTCAACGGATTATCAGAAATACTAAACTGTTCATTTATCGATAACTATCATCTTTGAACTAATAATTCTTGCTTATTCTTCTGTTTTTTTTTTTTTTGGTTCAACGAGTTGCCAAAAATACTAAAATAGCAGTAAAAATCGTTCTAAGTATTTAACCTGCCGAAAACTAAGAATTTTTAAGTAAGATGATGCAAAGTGACATGCTGTTAAAGATGAAAATGTATATCAAATAAGACCTTTTGTTTTCTTTTTTTACTTTAACGGACTGTCAGAAATTCTTGAATATGAACGTTTTATTTATAAATCTAATTTCAATAATTATTATTTAAATTGTTCCTCTTTTCTATTGCGTGTTTGTATGTCTTATAAATTAAATTAGATTTAATTTTTTCATGTATTTTTTTTTCCAATGGATTGTTGTTGGCAACATGTTCATCAACCAAAACCATTGCAGGTTTTTAACTTATTAAAAACTTAGAACCTTTTAAACATTAATATACAAAGTGACATGGTATTAAAAAAGAAAATAAAGATGGAATAAGAGCCGATTCTTTTCTTCTTCTTCTTCTTTTACTTTTTTGGTTTAACGGGGTGTCAAAAATACTAATATATCAGACAAAACCATGTCAAATTTTTTCATACCTACCAAAAACTCGGAACCTTTTAAGTCAGATAACATAGAATGACACGTAGTTAAAGATAAAAGTGAATATGAAATGAGACCCACTGGTTCTTCTTCTTCTTTTTTTTTTTTTTCGTTCAACGAGCTGTTATAAACACTAAAATAGTAGTTAAAACTATTGCAGATTTTTAACCTACAAAAAACATAGAACCTTCAAGCAGGACGATACAGAGTGACATAGCAGACAAAACCACTACAATTCTTAGACCTACCAAAGAATCAAAACATTTTCAATGAGATAACACAGAGTGACATGTTGTTAAAGATAAAAGTAAAGATGGAATGAGATCCACCGGTTCATTTTTTTTTTTGTTCAACGAGCTATTATAAATGCTAAAATAGCAGCTAAAACCATTGCAGATTTTTAACCTACAAAAAATATGGAACCTTTAAGCAGGACAGTACAGAGTTACATGATGTTAAAAATGTAAATCAAGATGAAATGAGACCTGCCAATTTTTTTTTTGAACAGGTTATCGGAAATACTAAATTGTTCATTTATCGATAAGTATCATTTTGAACAAATAGTTCTTGCTTATTCTTCTGTTATTTTTTCTCTTTGGGTTCAACGGGGTGCCAAAAATACTAAAATAGCAATCAAAATCATTCTAAGTATTTAACCTACTGAAAACTAAGAACTTTTAAATAAGACGATACAAAGTGACATGCTATTAAAGATGAAAATGTATATCGAATGAGACTTTTTGTTTTCTTTTTTAGTTTAACGGACTGTCAGAAATTCTTAAATATGAAAGTTTTATCTATAAAACCAATTAAAATAATTATTATTTAAATTGTTCTTCTTTTCTATTGCGTGTTTTTATGTCTTATGAATTAAATTGGAGTGAAGTTTTTAATGCATTTTTTTCCCATGTGTTGTTATTGGCAACATGTCCATCAACCAAAACTAATGTAGGTGTTTAACTTATGAAAAACTTAAAACCTTTTAAACATTAATATACAAAGTGACATGGTATTAAAAGTGAAAATGAAGATGGAATAAGAGCCGGTTCTTTTTTTTTTCTTCTTTTTCTTTTTGGGTTTAACGAGGTGTCGAAAATACTAATATAGCAGACAAAACCATGTCAATTTTTTAAAACTTGCCAAAAACTCGAAATTTTTTAAGTCGGGTAACAAAGAGGCGGTTCTAAAACCACAATGATGGGGACCAAAACTGAACCTTGAGACTGTGGTTCTGGTTCTGGTTTTGGAACCGCAGGTTTCGGTTTGGTTACGATTTAGTTTCGGTTCTAACATGTTTATGTTGAGTTTTGAAACCAAAAGTTTAGATTTTCATTTAAATTTTATTTGGTGTCGGTTTTCATGCAATTTTATGAAGACGTTTATAATTTTAAATTATCTAAACATTTTTTTAAATGAAATATCTTATAGAACGTAAAGAATTAAATTAAATTAAAAATGTATAAAAAGATCTTTTAGGAAACACTTGTTAACTTACAATGTAGTATCAATTAGATAATTACCCATGGCAATATTTCTTATCTTTGGATCAACTTATTATTTTCATTAAAAATAATAATTAATTATTATTTATAGAATTAGACACGAGATATGTGAAACACTTACATGCATTTACAACTTTTAATTTTTTTTATAAAATTAATATTAAATAACGGTTTAGTACGGTTAGAACCACCGGTTAGAACAGTCAGTTGAAATTGCCAGTTCCCGGTTTCCTAAACACTAGAACCATAACCAAACCTTCATGTGGTTTGGTTATGGTTCTTAAAACCGTCAATTACGGTTTCAGTTATGAAACCATAACCGTCGGTTAGGTTTCGGTTCGAACCGGAACCATGGACTTGCCTATGAGACCACTGATTCTTTTTTTTTTATTTGTTCAACAAGCTGTTATAAATACTGAAATAGTAGTTAAAACCATTGCACATTATCCTACCAAAAATATGGAACCTTTAAGAAGAACGACACAAAGTGACATGGTTTTAAAAATACAAATGAAGATGGAATGAGACCCGCTGTTTTTTTTAATGGGTTGTCGAAAATAGTGAACTAGCAACAAAAACCAATGCACGTTTTTGACTTGCCAAAGACTCATAATTTTTTAAGCATGATGATGCAGAATAACATACTTTTAAATCGAGAAATGACATACTGTTTAAATATAAAAATAAAGATGAAATAAGACCCGTCAAAAGATGGTTCTTTCATAATTAAAAATTAGGAGCAGAGAATTTCTCTTTAAACAAGTAAGTAGCGTTTGGTTTTTCTTTTTGTTTAGTTTGTTTGTTTGTTTGTTTCTTTTTTTTTTTTTTTGTAAATGCCGGGCTCCCAAATATAGTACATAAACAAAATATTTACCGAATCATCATTCATACAAATATCTAAAGTTTTTCTATATAATTAACATCGATTAAATTTATTTCAAATGTTAAGCTCACCGTGCATTGCACGGGTACAATACTAGTTAGGAGAAGACAACGAATGTGATAATATATTTTTAAGGTTTTTTTTTGCAATTAAATAGAGATTCTAAGTTAAACCTAAAACGAAATCAAAATATCTTATAATAAGGATCGAAGGGAGTATCTTAAACACGGAAAACCAAATAAACAAACCAAAACAACAATTAAAATGGACTCATTAATTCGACAACATCACTTACACTTACACTATGGTAATAAGAAGCATTGTGTTGAGTTGGATCTGGTTATTAGTCAATAAGCTGCCACCCGTTACGGGGCGTACTAAAAATAAGCATTCTTTTTCGTAACAGCTTATAACGCACCCGCATGGTTAGCGAAAGCTCTCAGCCCTGACCTGACAGGCAAATAAATAAACCTTTGAACTATTTCTTGTTGGAAGTTGTATGTTCTAGAATATTAAAACCATCTCGAGCTTTGCTCGTCATTTCCATGGTTTCTTTCTTCTTCAATGTAATACTCTCAGAATCTCAAAGACACAACTTGAATTAAGGTACGTTATTGTTTTCACAACGTGTGCATATTGTTCTGTAGAAGAGATGCAAACTTTTATCCTTCTTTCCGTTTCTTGAGTGTGGATTGTTATAGCCAGTCGGGGTTTCTTTCTCTCATATGATTGGAGTCGGTAATACTATTTGGTTTTAGAGATCTACTGAACGATCTCGCACTGGAACAATTCATCCCGGTCAAACATTGTAGATCAATCAGCCGATACTTTGTCGTTTTTCCGATCCTTGTTTTGTTTCGATTTCATGAAATCCGGGATACGATCATACGGAGACAGGGTATTCAGTGTTTCTTAGGAACTCGTATTCTGTAGGCTTGTTCTGTCTTTAATTTAATAATTTTAGGGATCCAAATTTCCTTTTTTTCGTTTCATTTTGCCTTAAAGTTTAATGGCCAGCGGCTTGAGGTTCACGAATTTTTAGCTGTAATTGCCATTTCTATAAATTTACGTCACTAAACACTTTTTAAGACGAGTAAACCTACCTTTTGAATGAATCCTCTGTGCAGGACCATAAGAGAGAACTTACTACATCAGAATGGAGGATCAGAAAAATGGCACTTTATCCATTGTAATGTACCCTTGGTTTGCCATGGGACATCTCACTGCATTTCTTCATTTGTCAAATAAGCTTGCTGACAAAGGCCACAAGATTTCTTTCATCCTGCCAACGAAAACACAGTCAAAACTACAACAATTCAATCTTCATCCGGACCATATCAACTTCATCCCACTTGATGTCCCACAGGTTGAAGGTCTTCCTCCTGGTACTGAAACCACAGCTGATATTCCTCCTCAGTTGCAACCGCTGTTGCGGCTAGCAATGGACAGGACACAATCAATGATTGAATCTCAGTTTAAGCAGATCAAACCCCACGTTGTTTTCTTCGATTTCACGCATTGGTTGCCGGCATTGGCTCGCCAGTTCGGCATTAAGTCCCTTGCTTTTGTCACGATTAGCCCCGCAACCGTGGCCTATACATTTCGCGAAGAACAGACCACGGATGCTGAATTATTGAAACCTCCATCTGGCTTCCCTTCTTCCTCTATGATTCTCCGCACTCATGAAGCAATCGGATTGAATTCAGCTGGGAAGCTGGTAGAGATCGAAACAGGGTTATCGTTCCTGCGGCGACTTTTGATAGGTATCAAGGACTGCGATGCGATTGGATTCAAATCTTGTAGAGAGATGGATGGACCCTATTGTGATTACATCGAAAAGAAGTTCCAAAAGCCAGTGATTCTTGCCGGCCCGGTCGTGCCAGAGAAACCAAATTCGAAGTTGGACGACAAATGGGCAGAGTGGTTGAAGGGTTTCAAGGATAAAAGCGTGATTTATTGCGCATTTGGAAGCGAAGTCAGGCTTCAAAAGGATCAGTTTGAAGAGCTGATTCTGGGATTTGAAATGACAGGGCTTCCGTTTTTCGCTGCCCTGAAACCACCTGTTGGGTTTGACACAATGGAGATGGCACTTCCAGATGGATTTGAAGAAAGGAATCATGGAAGAGGCATTGTTTATGGTGGTTGGGTGCAGCAACAGCTTATTCTGGCACATCCTGCAGTGGGATGCTTTGTTACGCATTGCGGTTCGGGTTCGTTATCAGAGGTCATGGTAAATGATTGCCAGATTGTGCTGTTACCGCAATTTGGTGATCAATTCATCAATGCAAGACTGATGAGCAAAGAACTCAAAGTTGGGGTTGAAGTGGAGAAAGGAGATGAAGATGGATTGTTCACGAAGAAGGGTGTGTGTGAAGCAATAGAAACGGTGATGGATCAAGACTGTGAGATTGGAAGTGAGGTGAGGGCTAATCATGCTAAATGGAAAGAATTCTTCTCAAGAAAAGGGCTTGAGAGTTCTTACATTGATGAGTTTATTGATAAGCTCCGGGGATTAGCAGCTTAACTAAGTAGTTCAATCTCAAATTCTCAACGAAATGGAACCAATTGAATTTTTTGCTTGGGATAGTCTTACAATTTGAGACTAGACACTCCTCCCCCTCCTGTGGCAAATTACTTCCCAAAAGAAATGATCATATTCTTACAGCACTCCTACCAGTCCTTATCGCACCCGCCTCACAATGTAAATGAAATGATGATATTGTTCACAACACGCACTTACCAAACCCGCTAAAAGATGTAAACTTACCAAGATATGCAAATAGAAAAAGTAGTTCAATGGTCGAATCAATTCACAAGCCCAATAAATGTATGGAGATGATGTGGATTTAGTCGCTAAACCCAAGTTGCATATTGATGGAGAGAAAACTAACAAAAATAATGATAGAAAACTTTCCTAATTCATCTACCCAGTGTAAAAAGTAAATTTTTAAAGGTAAAAATATATTAACCGAAATGATTATAAATAGAAAGAGTACTAATAAGAGATATAATATTTGCTTAAGTTATTTGAATGTGTAGACTAAGAAATAGTGTATCTATTACCCAATAAGTGAAAACTATTTGTGGTGAGATGCACTATGAGGTACTATATTGGGTATATCAATATTATTATTCAACAAAAATTAGAGTTTTTGATGTATGTGACCGAGTTATGTTATATATTAAAAGGAAAGTGCTGATATCACACAGGAATTATTTTAATTTTAGCCGCTAGTGACGTACTATTTGCTAGGAGAGTAACGTAGTACTCCTTCTATTTTGAAATATATGTCGTTTTAGGGTTTAGTGAATTTTTTTAAATATATGTCGTTTTTCACAAATCGAGGCACATTTGACCACTTTTTTTTATCAAAATTGCCCTTGTGTTAGAAATGAAATACTCCATCCAATCATTAATATAAGATATTTTAATTTTGTCCTAAATTTAACCTAATACGGTTTTTTAATTGACAAAAAAATCTTAAAAATATATTTTCACATTCGTTGTATTATCTTGATTTTATAAAATATTTTTAAAGTTTTTTTGTCAATTAAAAATGCGTACTAGGTTAAATTTAGGACAAAATCGAAATGCCTTATATTAAGGACCGGAGGGAGTAATATTTATAATGAATTTTTATTGATTTGTGATAAATTGTGTAAACAATTAATAGGGGTATTTTTATATTTTAATTAAATAAATTAATGTTTTCTTGGTTTTGATAAATTCTCTAAAAAGACATATAAAAGTAAATGGAGAGAATATTTTAAAAGGGATTGTTGAATTAAAATTAGTATGGAGTAAACGTTATGCTGCTACATAGTTGAGGACATTCACATGCAAAAGCATTTACTTACCGGGCTACTGATTCCAATACGATACACCATACATCGCACAAGTGTAAAATGTTGTCGATTCTGTGCTTACAAGTGTCACAATACATCGTACAAGTGGAAGGCCACATACATATCTTAGCTAGCTCCATATATATATATATATATATATATATATATATATAGATAACACTCGGAAAATAGCTTCACCAGACCCAAAAGCTGAACAATGAGTACTGATCATGAAGATGACAAGCCAAATAAGACTAGCAGTTCATTATCAATTGTGATGTATCCATGGTTTGCCATGGGACATCTGACTCCATTTCTTCACATGGCCAACAAGCTCGCTGAGAGAGGCCACCGGATTTCCTTCTTCCATCCCAAAAATACAATCTCAAAGCTTCAACACTTCAATCTTCATCCACATCTCATCAATTTCATCCCAATTGATGTTCCTCAGGTCGAAGGCCTCCCTCCCGGCACCGAAACCACTGCTGATGTGCCTCCCGAATCGCAAGAACTATTACGTCTCGCCATGGACAGAACACAACCCACCATTCACTCTCTCCTTAAACAAATCAAACCCGATTTCGTTTTCTTCGATTTCACTCACTGGTTGCCCGAATTGGCTCGCCAACTGGGGATTAAGTCCGTTCACTTTGTCATCATTAGTCCGGCAACTGTAGCCTATACTTTACGCAAGGAACAGACGACGCATTCTGAATTGATGAAGCCTCCCCTGGGTTTTCCTCCGTCTTCTTCTATCAAGCTCCAAACTCATGAAGCTCGCGGACTGAATATGGCAGGAAAATTTAAGGAAATCGGAACCGGGCTATCTTTTCTTGAGCGTGTATTGCTGAGTGCAGAGAAATCTGATGCGCTAAGCTTTGTAGCTTGTAGAGAAATGGAAGGTCGGTATTGTGATTACATTGAGGCAAAATTCCAGAAGCCAGTCATTCTCGCAGGGCCGGTGGTTCCAATTCAGCCGTCCTCAACTCTGGAGGGAAATTGGGCAGAGTGGCTGAATAATTTCAAGGATAAATCGGTGATTTATTGTGCATTTGGAAGTGAATTCATACTTCAAAAGGATCAATTCCAAGAACTGATTCTGGGATTTGAAAAAACGGGTCTTCCGTTTTTCGCTGCCCTGAAACCACCTGTTGGGTTTGACTCAATCGAAATGGCACTTCCAGATGGATTTGAAGAAAGGAATCATGGAAGAGGAATTGTTTATGATGGGTGGGTTCAGCAACAGCTGATTCTAGCTCATCCTGCGGTGGGATGTTTTGTGACACATTGCGGAGCTAGTTCGTTGTCGGAAGCTTTGGTGAGTGACAGTCAAATTGTGTTGTTGCCACAACTCGGAGTTCAATTCATCAGTGCCAGAGTGATGGGTGGAGATCTTAGAGTTGGAGTGGAAGTAAAAAAAGGGGATGAAGATGGATGGTTTACAAAGGATGCTGTTTGTGAGGCCATTCAATTGGTGATGGATGAAAATAGTGACGTTGGAAAGGATGTGAGGGCTAATCATGCTAAATGGAAGGAGTTCTTGCTAAGAGATGGGCTTGAGAGTTCCTATATTGATGAATTTGTTCATAAGCTTCAGGGACTCTTAATTTAGTTGAGTTTATTGCTCCTTCATTAATGTATTGTTTTGAAAATCATAGTAGCGACATCCTCTTGTCATTGTTATAATTAAATGTATCCATTGATACTTGGTGTATGTGGCAATAGTTTCAAAATGTAGGTTAATTTGCAGTTTTATCTTCGGATCAGGTCGATGCGATTTGCAATCTTTGTGTTATGTGTGTGTGCGTGTGTGTGTGTTTTTTTTTTAAATGGTAAAAAAAAAAACACCGATAATTTATGTCACGTACAGCATACATATGTATTATTTATTGTATGTAATGTTGTGGCCAATTGTAATAAAATTAAACTTCAAAAATTTGCAATGTAGTTACTTTTTTTTACCAAGGTCCAGAATGTAATAAGAGTTTTGATAATGGAGGTTTTTTTTAAATTTTTTTTTACCAAAATACGTTTTCAATGGAAGGATCTTGACAATTCTCTAAGGTGTGGACAAATCTAGTCATATTGAATTTGCCAAATCCGAAACAAGAAGCATGCACATTTGACAAATCTAATTAAATAATAATTGTTCCATCCCATCATACCATTTTACATTTCCAATACACCTTTTTACATTCTCAATACAAAAAATACCTAAAAACACATATTAAAAAAAAGAAACAAACATACCCTAAATTTCTTTATTTTTTTGATTTGATAAATAAAAATCTCAAATGATGAGTAGATTTGGATTTACCAAATCGGAATCCAGTACAAAATGAGTAGCTTCGCAGAACTACATTTTTTTTCCATGTATAACAGCAAAAATGTAATTTAATAAATCTATCTTTAATTTCTTCTATTGTAATCTTGTTTACTTGACTTTAGATTCCTGCAATCCGATTAGATTTCGAATATGTTATATTTGACTTGTGGAGAAATGACACAATATTTATTGACCAGAGCAAATTCACCGCATTTCCATTATAAAAACCCCAGTACTAAAACCAAAAGTAAGTTGCAATTTCGCTCATCGTCTTTCCAAAAGATCCATTAATTAGAAGGAAAAAAAAACATGAAGCAAGTCTTTGTTCTTCTTATCATAGCGGTGGCTCTCTTTTTTGTCACAGGTTCGCTTTTATTCCTCATATGATATCGGTTTCGATTCCAATATTCCAAACGCTGCAGATATCTGCAAAATCGATAAATTTGTTAATTAATAGGGATGATTTATTTTGGTTGCAGTTGAATCTGATGGAGAGAAAGTTATTTGTCATGCTGTATTGCGTGGGAGTGGGTGGCCCGGCTGCCCGGATGTGAAGAAGTGTGAAAGCAAGTTTGATGAATGCAAAAAACAATATGCTGATGGAGACATAAGTTGTAAATGCAGCGAATTCAGCAAAGATGAAAAACAATGTGACTGTGATTTCCCGATTAAGAGCGGCGTTAAGTGTTTTGTTCTGTATCGATGCATACAAAAGGATATTATGTTTGAACTCGTGAATGTAAATCATTAATATGTATACTGTCTTTCTTCTTCTTCTTCTTTGTTTTTTTTCTGCATAAAATTTCTGTTTTTTTTTTGGAATGGCCCGATAATTATTGTTTCTCTACGAATCTCGAGTGTAATTTGATTACGTTTAAAAAAGATCCCACAAAACAAGTATGGTTCTATTACTCAATCCATATTAGGAATGTATCGTTAATACCAAATTTTTACTATTAAAAGAGAAAAGACACATATAAGAACAATAAAAGGAAGACAATATTACCAGAGCACGAATTAGTTAATAGAGCAAATTATCATCTTATTATCCAAATTACCCACACCGTATTCAAATCATCTTTTCTCGTTCGTTCCTCTTCACGTATAGCAACTTGACTTTTCACCATTATTCTTGATAATTATCAACGTCAAATTCAACGCCTTCACCTCATTCCTCTTTTTGTTACCAATTCAACGCCGAAGATTTTTCTAGTTACTTCAGTGTACAGCCCAAAGATCTCCGATTATCAAAAAGAGTGATTGCAGTAGATGCTCCGATAACAAGCTAAGCCAATTACTCCCCACGCCATTCTGCTTCTTCATCTTTGCTCTCCTCCTTATGTTCAATGTGAATATGAATTTGTTAAGATATACTACTTTATCTTTTCAACAAATAGTATTACTCTGCTGCAGGTAATACTTCTTCATCATGCATCATATGAGAGATGATGCAAGTCTGATCTAACTTGGAATATATAAGCGAAACCCTGAATTAATGTGGGGATTAATTTCTCATGTACATTTTGTGGTCTAACTTCACAACATCTGTCTTTGATCATACAATTAATTGGTACAACATCCAAATAACGTGTATCGCAATCAAAATATGTAATGAAAGAAACACTAAGAAACACCAATTATATCGCAATCAAATCACGGTCAAACATATTATTACAGATCGTAAAGCTGGGAAAAAAACAGTACACACATTGTGGAAATATAGCCGCACGGCCAGAAACACAAAAGCGCAAACCTGACGGTAATAACCAGACATAATTTAAGTGCTTCACCCATCAATGAAAAACACTTAACAACAAACTAGAGAACAACTAACTTAAGATGCCATGAAGCTTATGGATGAACTCATCAGTGTAAGAACTTTCAAGCCCTTCTCCGAGTAAGAACTCCTTCCATTTAGCATGATTAGCCCTCACTTCCTTCCCAACCTCACTGTTTTCATCCATCACCAATTTAATGGCTTCACAAACACCATCCTTAGTAAACAATCCATCTTCATCTCCTTTCTTCACTTCCACTCCGACCTTAAGATCCCCACTCATCACCCGAGCATTGATGAACTGATCTCCACGTTGTGGCAACAACACGATTTGACTGTCACTCACCAAGGCTTCCGACAGCGATCCAGACCCGCAATGGGTAACAAAACACCCGACCGCCGGATGGGCCAGAATCAGCAGCTGCTGAACCCAACCATCATGCACGATTCCCTTTCCCTTATTCCTTTCTTCAAAACCATCTGGAAGTGACGTTTCGATTGTTTCAAACCCAACGGGAGGTTTCAGGGCGGCGAAAAACGGAAGCCCTGTCATTTCAAGCCCCAGAATCAGTTCTTGAAACTGATCCTTTGGAAGCCTGACTTCACTTCCAAGTACACAATATATCACGGTTTTATCCTTGAAGTTACTCAGCCACTCTGCCCAACTTCCCTCCAGCGCTGAAGTCGGCTGAACAGGAACCACTGGCCCTGCGAGAATCACTGGCTTCTGGAACCTCTTTTCCAGATAATCACAATACTGACCTTCCATTTCTCTACAAGTCTTGAAACTTATTGCATCGCATTCCTCTGTGGATATCATTAAACGCTCGCGAAAAGATAACCCGCTTCCAATTTCCTTATTTTTTCCTCCCATCGTAAATACGCGAGCTTCATGAGTTAGGACCTTGATAGAAGACGAAGAAGGAAAACCTTCTGGAGGCTTCATGAAATCAGCATCTGCTTGTCCCTTGCGAAAAGTATAGGCTACAGTTGCCGGACTAATGATGACAAAGTGAACGGACTTAATCCCCAGTTGGCGAGCCAATTTGGGTAACCAGTGAGTGAAATCAAAGAAAACGAAATCGGGTTTGATTTGTTTAAGGAGAGAGTGAATTGCGGGTTGTGTCCTGTCCATGGCGAGACGTAATAGAGCTTGCGATTGGATAGGAACATCAGCAGCGGTTTCAGCGCCGGGCGGGAGGCCTTCAACCTGAGGGACATCAATTGGGATGAAGCTGATAAGATCAGGATGAAGATTGAAGTGTTGAATCTTTGTGATTGAGTTTTTGGGATGGAAGAAGGAAATCCGGTGGCCTCTCTCAGCGAGCTTGTTGGCCATGTGAAGAAATGGAGTCAGGTGTCCCATGGCAAACCATGGGTACATCACAATTGATAATGACCTGCTGCTCTCATTTGGCTTATTTTCCTCACCAACACTACCCATTGCAAAACTCTTCTCCAGCTGTTTTTTTTATTTTTTTTTATTTTGAGAAAAAAAAGATTTCGGTTTTGAGAGAGATTAATTTCCGAATGCTATCTGGGGAAGGGTACGATGATACATATATATAGAAGACCAACAATCCCATTAGGTCATTAGACTCATTGCCCAATATAGTAACAGTGAAACAGTCAAAGAAATGTAGTTAAAGTCATCACTTTTCTTGCACAGTCTCTAAAACTACCGGTCGCCTCTCACACTTCAAAAACACACACCTAATTGACCTGTACTCCTTAGAACCCTGCTTAATAATCAATACGTACTTATTACTACTAATTATAGTAATTTCCTAGTAAATACAATAATAATAGTAATACTTAGATGTTTCTTTATATATACATTTACAGAAAAAAAAAATATTACAAATTTATGAATATGGCAAACATAATTGAAGTTTTTTTGGAAGTTAACATAATTGAAGTTGTTTTGTACTTCTACAGATTGTTTGACTAAAAATTACGTGAGATTGCATCATAAGTAAAAAAAATAATAAAAATAAAAATAAAATTGCAGATAATATGAAATAGGAGTATTCTATAGATTGCACATTTGGTCTGAGACTTATCTTGTCTATTCTTTACTTCTATTTCTTCTTCTTTCTATATTGATGATCCATCGTCACACTAATCAAATGTAACTTACCAATTTAATATAAATGATAGTAGCAAAACAGAAACTAATGTTGATCTCACAAAGAAGGAACCAAATAATAGATCAAAACTATCTTTTATTATTATTATTATCTATCTCAAGGATATTATCCTATTTTAAATTAATCTAAAGTTAAAACTACGAATTAAAACTAATTTAAATATAAACAATTAGGTAGAAGAAAACTTGTGGTAGAGGGTTGAGCTACCGTCTACTTAACTTAATTTAATTTATATATTTGTTAGTTTGGATTATCATTAATCTCACAATAATTTATCTATTTAAAAATTATTTATCGTCGTGCTATAAATCTCTTATTTAAAGTCCTATGACTATTTTTGTATCTATATGAATTAAATACTTCAAAAATTGTAAGTTGCAAAAGTTATGTCTTTACTATAGTTGCTCATCTAATTCTTACATTGCCATAAAGTAGTGCTTACTTTTAATTTCCTTTCCATCAGTTAACATCTATAAACATGCAAATAGTGATTAAATATGTACTTATTTTCAACTTTCGTTCCATCAATTAACACTTTTAAACATACAAATAGTGATCAAATATTAATACGAATGAAGAATATTAAATATTATAATTATAATAATTAATGAAATAGCCATAATATCATAATTTAAACAGATGTAGTAATACAGCGGTTACGTATAAATTCTAAATTAAAAATATTTAGCCTTACACATCATCCCAAAATAAAAATAAGAAAAAACGTTGGAAGCGATGTAAGAGGCACAAGTGGGCGAAGTCCGAAGCTTGATCCAAAGGAGTTGGTCCGTGGCCGCTATTTGTGCATGTGTTCTTGATGGAGTGGTGAAATTGATGCGTGAGGTGTGTGGCGTGGAACGGGGGGTGGTGTGTGTGTGTGTGTGTGTGTGTGTGTGTGTGTGTGTGTGTGTGTGTGTGTGGGGGGCTGGAGGGGATGGAGGCAGGAGGCGCGGAGGGTTCGGTGATGTAGTGATGGAGTTGACTGGTGGAGGGTGGTGTTGGGTTCACGTGAAGTGGGGGTTTGGTTTTGGTGGGTGGAGAGGCAAGTTCGTAAGTGAAAGAGAAACTCAATGAGGCCCAGTAGCAAATTAATCCAACCGTAGCCCATCAATCCATTCTCTAAAAGCACATGCAAATTGACTTTCATTTTTCTCTTCTTCAGCCAGAATTGATCCACATGGTCTTATTTGCAATTCAACTTATCCACATTGATTCTAACCAAAGTGGTTGTGGTGGAGTGCCACCTTTAACCATAGGTCGAGAGTTTGAACTTCGTTATAGGCATAAAATAACTTTAAATATTTTAGCCAGCTATCTCACCTATCAAGGTGCTTACATTTCAGCGAGGGGATTAGGCACTAATCAAGGTGCTTACATTTCAGCGAGGGAATTAATCACTATTGCTGACGGTAGACACCCTGCAAATATGAAAAAAAAAAAAAAAACTTCCTCCACCTTGATTCTTCAAATCTTCATTTGCACTCCTTTGAGGTGCTATTTGTCTTAAATTTAGTCTTAAGTTCTAACAGTTCTTTATTTTGAATAGCATTCCCATTAACAAATATAAATCATAAAAATAACGAAAATGTACTCAAAATATATAATAAAATTTTAAATTAATGGTGTAATTATTTGATAAATTCTAAGCACATTAAATATTAGTAGCGGAAAATAAGCATAGCTACGGTGACGAACAACAACGTCGAATTCTGATTTTTTTTTTATTTTTTATTTTTTGAAGTTGAGATGATAATATACATTATTCGATCTGCCACGAACCAAGGGTAAATTTTGTCAGTTTAGTAAAATGAAACATTAGATAGCGTCACTAGTAGAATATGAAACTGAGTTTGATTGATTAAAGAAAATAAAAAATTCAGTACTAATAAGAGATACTAAAACTCACCATATCTCACCAAATTCAACTTACATAAAATGTTTCGTGACCATTTCATCGCATTCTTGATAGTCATGGTGCACATTCTAAGTTCTAAGTTCTAAGAACAAAGTTGGAAGTCGCTCGTTTCGTGTAATTTTTTTTAAGCTTGTTGGGTATTTATGGATGACAGCCCAATGATCAGTGTAGCCTGCAAATTTGCCTTACAAAACTTATCTGGTCCAGATTGTTAATGGGCCAGTCAAATACATTGCAACTTAAAAATAATCAACGAAGTATCATATTTTTCTATAATTTTTTCAGACACTGTAGCCCAAAACTTAGGATTACTAAAGCAAAATTGCAAAATTATTACAGGAATTTTTTTTTTAAAGAGCTTATGCAATTTTTTCCCCTGAAAAAAGAAACTTATTATACGATTGTATAATGTGTTTGATGTTTTTTTCACAAGACATAAACAGGTGTATTTTTTGTTGAAAATATTAAAATTGTTTTAAAATGCCAGAAAATATGTCTTGATGATTTAAATTAGAAAGTTGATCCAAGCTAATTAGGGTTCTCTTTTCTCGCCCTATTTAATTAAGGAAAAAGGAAGAGTATAAAACTACATAAGAGAAATATCTTCTATCACTCTTGCTAGCACCGGAAATTGTTCTGCTTTGATTACAACCAGGGAATTATGCGTTTAAAGAATTTATTTCTTATTCTGGGGAGGGGGCGGTTTGGTTGGTTTTATTCATTGAGGCTCTGTTTAATTGGATTGAATTGGACCTAAGAATTGGAATTGGAGGCCTTCAATTCCAATTCTTGTATTTGGCTGACAAAAATAGGTGTTCCGGAAATTGGAATTATAATTCAAGATTAGGTTCAATTCTTTATTTTTAATTCTTTTGTGGGAGCAAATAAGTACAATTAAAACTCTAGAGACTTTAGTAAAAACGCGAGTCACATGCGGTCGTTTTCCAGATTATAAAGAAACGGGTCACTTTTTAAGTTTTCTTTTCTTCTCCTTCAGCGCTGCACGTGCGCTGCTTTTCCTTTTTCTTTTCCGGTTTTCCCCCCTTTTCTTTGAGCGTTAGACTTTTTTTTCTTTTTTGCTTTTTGTTAAATTGTAACATCTATTTTTATTCATTGTGCAAATCAGCTGTATACATCATATTGATAATTATTAATGAGATCTATACATTAAAATTAGTATTGTACTCGTATTTTTTTGACAAAAATTATCAAATTTATAACCATACATGTAGTTTATTAAAAAAATTAAAGGTATTAATTATGGGTTAACAATTTTTTATCAAATGTATAAATAATGTTTAAACTATACTTGAAATTTTTTTCACTAAAAATTATGTAAACTTTCAAGAAGTCGAAATATATATTTTTCCATGTATAATTATATACTAAAAATAAGAAAATTAATTATCACCATGTATTAATGTTAATCTATACATAAATGAATGGTCTTTTCTTTCAACTATATAGAAAAATTTCACTAAACCCCCCCTCCCTCCTCCCCAAAAAAAAACTAAAGATTAAAAATTTATAAAATAATAAAAAAGGAGAGGAACAAAGATGTTCTACACGTTACTTGTGAGAATTCCAATCATCACATTAATATTCCTTACGTAATAATAAAAAAAAATTCACAAGAATTTACGTATCTAGTAAATTATAAAAATAATATATATTACTCAGACAACAAAAGTTCTAATATAAATGTATATAATAAATTTAGTTATTTTATCTTATATATGAAAGTAATAAATTGGTTTGATATATAAAATTAAGTATTTCTTTTATTCAATGAAATAAAGTACTAAATTATAGTTAATAATAAAAAACTAATTCTAATTCTAGATTTTATAAATTTATAAGGATCCAAACACAAGAATTGGTATTAGAAACTTAATTTTAATCAATTCTTAAGATCTTCCAAACAAAAGAATCAGGATTGAATTGAAACCTTAATATCTCATTTTTAATTCAATAGCATTATAATTCCAATTCAATTACAATTCAATATAACCAAACAGAGCCTGAAAGAATTCCAGTTAATAGTGTTTCCTCAGTCCCAAAAACAATAACCCACATTGAGCATTAAGATTTGTATTTTTTTAATACCAATTTCAAAATAAAATGTGGAATATTTTCGTATGCTGGAGAGAGTAATTTTTTAGAGCTAGTCACACAGCTCCACCAAAGTAGAGGAAAGTTCAAGAAATTACTGTCCCAAGATTATTGTCTAATTTGGAATTTCACTTTTAGTTTAATTTGTATTAAAAATTAGAATTCAACTTTTAAAACTTGACAATAATTTCGGGATGGGAAATACAATTTGATGATAAGGTAAAGGCTAAACGGCTAACGTCCTCTACTAAGTATCAAAGAAGAGAACACGTTACTCCTTAATTAAATAGCAATCTTAGAGTCATATCAATACAAACAAATACTCTACCAGTCTTGAAATTATTATTCAATTTGTACTTTTATTTTTTAATATAAAAAAATTAAAAATGAAAATCTAAACTAGAAAATAATTTTTGAACTAATAGAATAATAAATCAACATATAAAGGACATAAAATCTCATTAAAAAAATTCAGGAAAAAAAAAAAATAGAGAACCATTCAAACAAAGAACGAAAAGAGACCAAAGAACTCGTCAGCACCAATACCATACCTTGAATTACCATCTCATTCTGGGCTATTGTCTGAATGTGTTCATTGTTCCGCAATCTTTCCTTCCAAATCCCCTCACAATCACTGCGCCTCTTGTACTAAAAAAAAAAAATCCAATTTCAGTTTGCATTTAAATTCTAGACCTATTCACTTTTACCCTATTAAAGTAGAAGACATGAAGCTTATGTGTCAACTACGTATGCATCTTTTTGCGCTCCAATGCACCATATTTCAGATTTTAGAAGTCTTTTTGCCACGTGTAAGTCTCTTTTAATTAGAAGCTATATAATTTTTTTTTAAAAAAAAAAAACACATATTTTACTACAAATAAGGATCAGTTACATTTCAAACGAATGGATATATTAATTCAAATTCAAATGTCCAATCGTATAGTTTTGCAGGTTTAATATAAACAAAAAATAAAAGTACCTAAATCCAGCAATTAAGAATAATGCCTTATAAACTAATTATTTATTATTTCCTTATAACCTCATATTTATAGGTATATTTTTTTAAGCCCCAAACCATAGCATAAATGATATATACGCCAAATTAATTCCTCAAATAATAGTAATTCAATTAGATTTTAATAAAATAGTAATTTAGAGAGGACGCCCGGGCATCTGTCCGGGCCAAGCATCTAGTTCGAATTACGTCCAATAGAAAAAAGAAACCAATACGAATACTAAGATAGGCCGCGGTATGCCTGTGGCCTAATTGCCTAATTAAAACCAATTGAAATATGCTGGAGGAGGATTCTCAATAGTTTCACCGTAGTATGAGATGGTGGTTTTGATTTCATAGGAGGAGGAGGAGATAAGTTGACGGAGGCTTTCTTGGTAATAGACCCATCTGGTAATAGACCCATTTGATAAGATGAGATGGTGGAATTGAATGATAGCCTAGTGGTTAGGGAGTTGTCTTTAAATTAGGGTTCAATTTTACTAGAAGTTTGTAAGAGCATCCGCAATGGTGGTAAATAACAAGTAAATAACTACTTTATATTATATTGTTTGTCATTGTATTGTGTAATAATATTACACAGTATAAGAATTTTTACACTGTGTAATACACTTTTTAGTATTAAAATACATTTAATGTGAATTTACGATAATACTCAAAATATTTTATTCTATTATACTTTTGTGTTGTAAACCAATGCAGTGAAAAGGTGGAATAAAAGTATAAATTGAAAATTCATTGCATTACATTCACAGTAGTATAAACTATTATAGAGAGATTTTACCCACATTTAGGTGGGTCCATTAAAGTGAATTTTTTGGGAAAAAAAAGTCGACGGAGGCTTTGGAAGCAGGGTTGACAATTTTATTTTTTTTATTTAAAAAAAACAAAAAAAAAAATGAACGTCAAAACGGGGTAGTTAGGCACACTGTTTTGTCAAAAATTAAAAGAGAAACAGAACGGAAGAACAGGATTTTGCAATTACAAAATTAGACTTTATTAAGATTGTGACCCTTCAGCAAAATTAGATCGTGGGATTAAAGCCGATCGACCATTGGGATGGCACAATTGAAACTCAATGAAAAAGACTAAACAACAAACTAGGATCACTCATTTAAGAGGCCACGAAGCCTATGAATGAACTCATCAGTGTAAGAACTCTCAAGCCCATCTCTCAGCAAGAAGTCCTTCCATTTAACATGATTAGCCCTCACTTCCATCCCAACCTCACTGTTTTCATCCATCACCAATTGAATGGCTTCACAAACAGCATCACTTGTAAACAAACCATCTTCATCTCCTTTCTTCACTTCCACTCCTGCCTTAAGATCTCCACCCATCACCCTGGCATTGATAAACTGATCTCCACATTGTGGCAACAACACGATTTGACAATCACTTACCAAGGCTTCCGACAGCGACCCGGACCCGCAATGCGTAACGAAGCACCCGATCGCCGGATGTGCCAGAATCAGCTGCTGCTGAACCCAGCCGTCATACACGATTCCCTTTCCCTGATTCCTTACCTCAAAACAATTTGGAAGTGCCATTTCGATTGTTTCAGACCCAAATGGTGGTTTCAGGGCGGCCAAAAACGGAAGCCCGGTCTTTTCTAATCCCAGAATCAGCTCTTGAAACTGATCCTTTTGGAGCCTGAATTCACTTCCAAATGCGCAATAAATAATCGATTTATCCTTGAAATTACTCAGCCACTCTGCCCAATTTTCCTCCAGCGCTGAAGCCGGCTGAACAGGAACCACTGGCCCTGCAAGAATCACTGGCTTCTGGAACTTCTTTTCCAGATAACCACAATACGGCCCTTCCATTTCTCTACAAGTCTTGAAACTTATTGCATCGCATTCCTCTGTCCCTACCAATAAACGCTCCAGAAAAGTCATCCTGATTCCAATTTCTTTCACCTGTCCAAAGAAATTCAGTCCGCGCGCTTCATGAGTCAGGAGCTTGACAGAAGAAGACGATGGAAAACCTTCTGGAGGCTTCATCAAGTCAGCATCGGTTGTCGGTTCACGGCGAAAAGTATAAGCCATGGTTGCAGGGCTCATCGTAATAAAAAAGACCGACTTAATCCCCAACCCGCGAGCCAGAGACGGTAACCAGTGAGTGAAATCGAAGAACACGAAATCGGGTTTGATGTCTTTAAGGAGGGATTCGACTTGGGGCTGAGTTTTGTCCATTGCCAGACGCAGGAAAGGTTGCAACGGGAAAGGAATATCAGCAGTGGTTTCGGAGCCTGGAGGAAGGCCTTCCACCTGAGGGACATCAAGTGGGATGAAATTGAGAAGATCTGGATAAAGATTGAAATTTTGGAGTTTTGAGATTGTGTTTTTGGGATGGAAGAAGGAAATCCGGTGGCCTCTCTCAGCAAGCTTGTTGGCCATGTGAAGAAATGCGGTGAGATGCCCCATTGCGAACCATGGATACATCGCAATTGATAATGAACTTCTACCATTTTGCTTGACATCTTCAGGGTGATCAGTACTCATTGCAAAACTCTTGTTCTCTAGCTGTTTTTTTCTCCCCCTCTTTACTTGGGTTTTGAGAGATAATAATTTCCTGATGCTTTGATGCATATATATCATATTTGTTGTTGAAGCCATTAAAAATATGATGTGATGAACTAACAATTATAAGCCACAGAATGAGCTAACCTACTTCAAGCACGTTGGACGTTGGCTTTGTTGTACGGTGATACTAAATGCGTACGTGAAAAAATGAACCACCATCTCACCTGCCTATTATTATCATACTATATTATAATTGCTGAATAAGTTTTGGAGTTTGGTAATCCTTCCCACATAACTTATTTATTTTGGTTAATGTTTTTGCATGTAATTGGGCAATTTTATAGTCTCTTATTTGATTTGGTCAAAAGTATTTTTCAATAAATATTTTGTCCTATTTATTTCATTATTATTTTACTTATTACCCATTAGCTTTTATTTTATGATAAAAAATCACTCCCTTATATCTAATTTTATAATAATAAATTATCCTTGATTATCAAACAATATAATGACCTTTTGATCTCCCTTCCATTAATCTTTCATTTTAAGGTTACAAAATAATTATTTCTCATTATTAGGTGAATTTGATAAGTCTAAAAACGGTTTTAATGATTCTAACTATTAATTTCAAAAGTAAAAATGATTGGCCTAAAAACGATTTTCGGAAATTATAATCTCTTCGAATTCCTTATGTCTTTTCTTCTTCTCTTTTTTCTCTTTGAATTTAATAGGTTTTTTAATGCTTATTTTTTATTGTTCCATAACTCAAAAGAATATTAAAAGTCATGTAGCATAAATTTACATACATATAATTCGAAAGGGTGTAAGATTTAGTCATTTCTCTCTTTCTCTTTGTTTTTTTCTCTTTCAAATCTTTATTTTTACCTCTCACAGAGATTATCATCTTTTGCTGCTCGTCTCCATCTTTTTTTTTTCTTCAATTTTTTCTTTCTCAAATTTAGTTTCAGTTTTTGATATTTTTTCTCTTTTTTTTAAAAAAAAATTGTTCTTTTTCTCTTATGGTAATATATAAACTTGATTTATTTTATTTCTAACTGGTATTATCTTTTTATTTTCACAATCAGAATATATACTATATGTTATCTCCGTTGAAATAAGAAGTGACACATTTTAGTGATATCATTTTATTTTTACAATGTAAGAGTATAGACTTTTAACTACCGATAAATTTGTTAACATATTTTGTAGATGTGTATCAGAAAACAATATAATTTATTATTTTAATTATTAAAATTTTTTATTTATTTTTATAATGTACATTAAATAACTTAATTCTACAAACTTGGGACGTAATTAACCAATTCTAAAACTTTGGAATGAATTCGCTAGCATGGTATAAACGTTGGGATGTATACACTAGTATTCCCATGATGAATAAATGGAACATTCATTTCATCTCCAAATAAGACTTTCATTGCTAGCAAAAGTAAATTTCATTTATATCTAGTTTAAAATGTATAGTCTTTTTCGAAAAGGTTAAAATGAATAGTCAAGCCTATTTCTAACATAAGTTGTCATCTTTAATTTAATATTGATGAAAAAAAGGGGATTACGAATAAGATGTTGATTCAGTGACAAAACCACATTTACTCTCAAAAGCATGTCATGAGTTCAATTCTTCTCTCCAATAAATATATACACCTTGATTTCACACCTGAACTTATCGCCCCGAGATTGTCTAAGGTAATTTACCTTCGACTCAGGTTTGCATACTATTGTAATGGGGGTGGGTTTACCGATATCTGGTGGGGGTTCCCGAGATTACCAAAAAAGAGAATTAAGTTCACTTGTGCATTTTAATTAATTGAATTAACTATCTAGCACGAATTTGAATCAGTCAGAATAATAATTTCAGAGACTAAACATATAATATAGCAAATAATTTTTTTTTCATATATATATATATATATTGAGGAAGTTTTAGTTAGAGCTACATGGTCACGCTTCTAAGGAGAGGCGGATGATCAAAAGATATTAATCTATCCCTATGTTCGAGGGTGATGACAAAATGTGCAATCCGAATTATAATCAAGTCTTAATTTAGTTAAGGAGTCCGCAACTTCGTTCCCTTCACCGTTGATGTAAGACGTTATACCAAATAATTTGATCTAAGTTATCGGTTCAGCCAAGTCAATTATGTTCTCATCACCATAAAAAACTTATCGCCGTTGACTCTACCTGAATAAACGATACAAAGCAGTACTTGCCAGCTGCCGCCGTTCTTTTCCCTCTGCTTTAAATATTTTTTTACTTGTTCGTAGTCGTAAAACAAAAGGCTTTTAGGTTTGCCAAATTCCATAGACTTCATTGAAAGCTTGTAAATTAGTGTTCTTATTTATTGTTTTTAGGCGAATTCTTCAAGAATTTGAAGCCTTAATTTGCTCAATGGAGATGAAACCTTCATATCTTTTTTTTTTTAAAAAAATAATAATGAGGGTGAGCCTAAGGCTGGATACAAAACATCCCCTTAAGTTAGGGGTGAGCCTATTATATCCGATTCTAAGATATTCATAATTTTGGATGGAGGTGTTGGCTATATTTGGCGTCCAAAAGGACAAGAGAAGCCAAATTTTGCTAAAGCATCCGCCAATTCATTTTGTGGACGCCTAACATGGATGATGTTAACATGCCACTGGAGGTTTAGCAAACCTCTTACTCTAGCAAAAATATTACTATTTACGAGCGGCGATTCGTCGCCTGACAAAAATTGGACTGCTTTCAAGCTGTCCATTTCTAAGATTATGTTGCAAAATCCAAGCTCCCAAGCTGTTTGTAGGACGAGAAACGCTCCCCATAATTCTGATTCCAAAACTGTGCAAAAGCCAAGTTTTGCCGCGAAACCCATAATCCAGGAGCCAGGTGTGTTTGGCGGTGGCGGTGTCCATTTTGGGGCCTGAGTTGGTGGCGGTGGTTGACGTACACAACCCTAGCCAAAGAAAGAGTTGGAACGGGTAACCTTCTTCACCATTGCTCTAATTCGACAATTTAGTGAGCCATCAGAAATGATCCTTTCTCCAAATGTTTTTTCATTTCTTGAAGACTAAACTCTCTACAGGTAACCGCGAACCAGGTTGACCAAGTAAAGTTCTCCTGCAAAGAAGATGAGGATAGGTTAGATTTAATCCAAAATTTCCAATTTGTTTCAAGCCAAAAGTTAGATCCTAGAGTTAAATTAAAGTTGCGCCACAGCTCTTTTGTTCTATAGCAGTCTCTGAATAGGTGCAACAAATTCTCTTCTCTCGCACATAAATGACAGCTCGAATTATTGGTTAGATGTCTCCTTTTTCTCTCTGAATTTATCATGAGGACTTCTCTGTACATTAGCCAAAGGAAGACCCTAATTCGCTCCGGCCCCCTTCCAGCTCCAAATTGGGTTCCAGTCTTTGTTTTCCTGATTCCAGCTCTCCTGCATCAAAAAAGAATAAGCTGATTTTGTGGAAAATTTTCCGAAGGACGTAAGCCGCCAAACATGTCTATCTTTTCCCACATTTTGTTGGGGGTGGAGGGGGGAGGGGGGGAATTGACTCTTATTCTGTCAAGAATTTCTAAAGGTACTAACGTGGAGAACAATTCCCAATCCCAATTCTGGTCTCTGTTGAGAAACTCACTTTCCCTAGAAGGTGTGGCTGTGGGACTGGTAATATAGCAAAACTGCATAGGGTTCACTTAGGTCGTCTATCCAGTTGTCAACCCAAAGTTTTGCGCCTTTTCCATCCCCAATCAGTCATCTTATGGCCTTGAGAAGGTCTGGCCAAACAGAGGAAATTTGCCTCCAAAGTTGAGAGGCATTTGGTCTTGAGTTTTGTGCATGCAGATAATCAAGTGAAAAGTTAGACTTGGCACATAAAATAGTTTTCCATAGGCTGTGTTCTGTTGAGATCATCCCCCATGCAAATTTTAGGATGAAAGACATATTAAGTTCCCTTAGTTTCCTTAGTCCCAACCCCCCTCTGGATTTGGGTTGGCATACTGTCTTCCATCTTACAAGACTTATTTTCCTTTCCTCTTGTCTATTCCCCTAAAGAAAGCTTCTTCTAATTTTTTTTTTTTAAAGTCTTCACAAATACCCTTTGGCAGTATAGATGATTGTATCAAATACAATGGTAGCGCTGATAAGACGGATTGACGTAGTGTTAGTCTCCCAGCCAGGGATATTCTGCAAGGGTTCTAATGAGCTGCTTTTTTTTGTGATTTCGTCACCCATTCTTGATTCAATTCTTTCTTGACACACGACCATGGATGATTGGAGTCCCCAGGTATTTCCCCAAATTGGCTACTTTACAAATGCCCAGGTTGCTACTTAGTGAGTCAGTTGTGGCATTTTTCAGATTTGGAGAGAAGTAGGCGATTGATTTTTCACAGCTAAAAATTTGGCCTGATGCTTGACAGAAAGTTGCTAGAGTATTTCTGACGACTTGTACTTGCTCTGTAGTTGCTTATGCAAAGAGGATTAGGTCGTCTGCAAAAAGTAAGTGCGATAATGGAACTCTTTCACTCCCGAATACTAGTGGTTTCCATCTTCCATTCTTGACCTCAATATTTATCGCTTGAGACAGTCTCTCCGTGCAAAGTACGAACAAATATGGAGAGACCGGGTTTACTTGACGAACTCCTCTGTTGGGTTGGGACTCCTCGCCGAGAATACCGTCCCACAGTACACTTGTAGTACATGTTGAAACCTTCATATCTGAATGAGTGATAAAGCATCACTACAAATGAAAAGAAAGAAAGTTCGACTATATATGGACTCAGTTTAAGCTTGTTGGGTGTTTATACATGACAGCCCAATTATCAGTGTAGCCTGCAAATTAGACTTACGAAAACCATCTGGTCCAAATATTTTATGGGCCATTCAAATGCATTACACCTTACAAGGAATCAACGAAGGAGTATCATAACTTTTTTTCAGACATATCAATGTTATACACTGGAGTTAGTAATTACTTTTGACTTAATGCAAATTATTACAGGAGTTTTTTTTTTTTTTTTAATTTTTAATGGAAAGAGCTTGTGCAATTTTTTTCCCCAAGAAAAAAAGAAACTTATCGCGATTGAATAATGTGTGTTTGATGTTTTCTTTTTAATGAGACGTTAACAGGTGTATTTTATTTTGTTGAAATTTGAAACTTGAAAATATTAAAAATTGTTTTTAAAATGTCAGAAAATATGTCTTGATAATTAAAATTAAAAAAAGTTGATCCAAGTGTAATTAGGGTTCTCTTTTTCTCGCCCTATTTAATGAAGGAAAAGGAAAAGGATAAAACTATATAAGAAAAAATATCTTCTATCGAACCCACCAAAATTTGTTCTGCTTTAATTACAAGCAGGGAATCATTCGTTGAAAAGAATTTCTTTCATATTCTTTGTGGGGTTTTTGGTTGGTTTTTATTCATTGAAAAGAATTCCAGTTAATAATTTTCAGAGTCACACAGCTTTTCACCAAGCAAGCGGGATGGGTAGAGGAAAGTTCAAGGGAAAACCCACCGGTCGCCGTCAGTTTTCCACTCCGGAAGAGATGTGTACGTTTCTTCTAGCTCCTTACTTATGTACTCGTCTGGGTTTTGTTGCGTATTAGCTAAATTTATTACCTGCGTGGTTATCTAAGCTGGTTGAATTTCATGAGGTTCGTAGATAATTGTAAAACCGGATCTCTCATGTTTTTGTTGGATCTTTTGTTGCTTTGGATTTACCAGTTTGGTCCGATTTTGTCGTGTTTTGGGATCTCTTTGTTGATTTGTGCTGATTTTTTTGAGATGTATTAACGTTTTATAGCCTTCTACAATTTTATTTTAATTAAAAAGAACCATTCTTTAGTTTTGCTTGGAGAAAGTTATATGGTAATTTTGCAAGCACAACCCGTTGTTTGGGATCTCTTAAGAATTTATTAGCATTTAGTGGGCTGTCTATCCTTTCAGCTTGAGAACATCACTTTTTGAATCTGCTATTCGAAAGGTTATAGGGAGCAATTGACTTCGTTTGATGATCTTTCTTATGAGAAGAAATTGTCTTTGTTTGATGATCTTTCTTATGGCTGCCTTACTGTTTTCTGGTTCCTGAGAAGTATTTGATTTTCATGTAATGGATTGATAAAATAACGTTTCCCTTTGTAGTGTTTTCCCTAATAACATGCTTTTATAGAAAGCCCCTTATTCTTGCATTTTAAGTTTTGCCGTTGAAATTGAAGAATTGTTTTATTAATGTTTGTTTTCTTATTTGCAATTTCACAGTGGCTGGCACCTCTAGTCGTCCTCGCACATTTAAAAAGGTAGCTCCTTCTTGCTTATAATACTCTTATGGGTATAGTATTATTTTATGCATTTTCATTAGAATCTTTGTCTAAATTCTATCTCCTTACGAAGTTAGTTGCTACATTTTGAAACTGTGGGCATGTATTCCTGAATGCGGTTGATTTCTGAATTTTCCTTTTGCAAAAGGGTGGGGTCTACTATGGCTACCGTTCTAAGAACGGTGATATGCATGTGAGGTTATGATCCCCAACTCTTTGTTATATCAGTTTCGGAAATCTAATGAATCCAGATTTATTTGGTGAAGATTAGTTTCCAGTTGCTCAATTATCTGTTTTCTGGTGCGACTTTTAATGATGATGCTTTTCTGCCACTGCTTGCTTTGAGTTTCTTCAAGGCAGTATCTTATATTCACATTTCTGTTAGTCATTAGTAAACTGTGTCTAACTAAGTCAACTCTTAATGCATCAGGAAGAAGCTGAAGTTGAAGAAGACGAGAGATCAGAAGAAGAGTCGGAGGAGGAATCAGAGGATGAACTTGAAGTCAGTATACCCACAACATTTTATAATTACTATACTTGATCTATGTTTCTCGTCTGTTCTTTGTATGATAAATAGCAGCAGTTCATTGCATAATTATCGTGAATTTATACTGTGAGCAGAAAAGCAAAGGAACTGAGGGAGTGATTAAGATTGAGAATCCAAATTTGGTCAAGCCAAAGAATGTGAAAGCTAAAAATGTTGATGTGAGTAATTGACACCTGAAGAGATTTATGCTCTACTTCATTGTTCTTTATCTAAATCATGAAAGCTAAGTGAGGTTTTTGTTGTCTGTTGCAGCTGGAGAAAACAACCGAACTCTCTCGCCGAGAAAGGTTTGTGATAGTCATTTCTCCGTCTTAATTTTTTTGGTGCTTTTTTATCTACTTCTTGACTATATGGAGTAGTTGCTGTTCTCTAAGTTTTTCCTTTTGCTGCTGTCATTTTATTTTAGAAATATTTTGTTTAACTATGTTTAATGTTTATTCCTTTCAGAGAAGAAATAGAGAAACAGAGAGCCCATGAAAGGTATATGAAGCTCCAAGAAGAAGGAAAAACAGAGCAAGCGAGGAAAGATTTAGGTCAGTTATGCCAGCCTTTTTCACCTTTTTTATCCCAATTGGCCAAGGACTTCGTAATTTAGTCTTCTCTTTTTTATGGTCATGACGTTATTTTCTCGTTTTCACAATATGCTTTGAAATTATTTAATCCAAGTGGCAGTACTCTAGTTTGTTTGTATGTTTGGAATTTTTTAGAAATATTAAAGTCGTTCTAATGCGTAAACCATAAAATTTTGTTGCTGCTCATTTGATGATGATGATGATTCCTAATGAGTGTGTGGCTTGGATTGGTTTGCTCGTCGAATTCATGTTCGCTACTTTGTGTTGTATTTCCACAAGTTTTATTACTGCTCTGCCTTTTCTTTTGGCAGCGGAAGCTTTTCTTTTCTTCTGTAGTTTGAATTTCTTGGTATTTTGCGTGACAACTTATTCGTTGTCCAGTTATAAATGTTCACTTGCCATTTTAAGATTGTCTGACTGCATAATTAACCATTGGAGGAATATTCTGTGCTAAAAGCTTCGTATCCTCTCAATATTTGACCACTGAAGTTATTGGATGGTTTCCTTGCGTCAGTCTCGCTTTATACTTTAGCTTTTCATAAATCCCGAATTATGTTGTTGACTAGGACTTTCTGATTTTGCAGAACGGTTGGCACTTATACGACAACAGAGAGCCGAGGCTGCTAAAAAGCGTGAAGAGGAGAAAGCTGGTACGATATGTTTCACTCCTAGTAACTTTGCAGATTTGTTTACTTTCTAGTACTTTGATATAAAGGTCTTCATTCATGAGCCCATGCCAAGGTTTTAAACCTTCTTATTTGTTTGATTGCAGCCAAAGAACAGAAGAAGCTGGAAGCTCGCAAATGATCTTGATGGGTAGCAATATCCTGTCATGTTGTAGCTCTCCGAAATCAAAGACGACTAGTCATATGTTTAGGCCGATTGGAACCTAATATTTTTCAATATTCTGTGAAAGTTTGATTTTTGTCTTTACATTAGGATAATACCTCAAGAAACGTTTCCTTTAGTGTTATTTTATAGCATATAATTATATCTTGGCCTGATGATTAGCAGAGTAGGGTGAGTTCCATAAATTTGATATCTGGTTGTGTGAGTTATAGCAAATTCTTTCACGAGATGACTGCAAACTGGAAACTTGATCACACACTAGTTCTTTTTGTTCGAACTTTTAACTCTGTTAGCTGAAGGAATTTTTATAACTCCCGATTCACAAATTTCAGTCCATCCGTCGGGGCTTTCACCATCTTAAGCCTTGTGGATCTCTACCTATTTTATTTTCAGAAATAATTGGGAGAGTGCAATGAACGAAGGAATTGAAACCTCCGGTTACCATTATGCCGTAATAAGCACTAAGCACTTCTATTTCCAACGTTATTAATTTTTATTATCTCTTTCGAATGAAAATCAATATTACTCTCTCTCTAGAAAAACGGTACTCCTTTCTTCCGGTCCTTAATATAAAACATTTTGATTTCGTCCTAGGTTTCACTTAGTACGCATTTTTAATCGACGAAAAAATCTTAAAAATATATTTTCACATTTGTTGTATTCTCTTGATTGTTATGAAATGTTTTTAAGGTTTTTTTGTCAATTAAAAATATGAATTAAATTAAAAAAAAAATCTTAAAAATATATTTTCACATTGGTTGTATTCTCTTGATTGTTATGAAATATTTTTAAGTTTTTTTTGTCAATTAAATATATATACTAAATTAAATCACAATATCTTATATTAAAGACCGGAGAAGTAGTCCATTCGCAAAAGCGTTTTCTTGCCTGGCCCATTTTTTTTATTTTAACACGCTGCCACATATAGTAGAGACTGCTATTACTGTAACACTCAAAAGCACAACTAGAACAGGAGGTTGTGACGTGCGAACTACCCGGCCCGAATAAATTACAACCACCATGTCGGACCACCACGAACCTCAAAACCCAAAACCCATCAACGGTCTCACTCCTCCATCTTCGGAGAAGATCCCAATCGGATCCTCTACTACCGGTCACCCTAGAGGGTCAAAGTACCCGAACCCGCCGGAAATAACGAACCCGGATCCTGCTACTCTCAGGGAACAATGGAGGTTTGCAATTAGGCAGTACAGTAGATGGTACTCACATGCTTGGGGCACTGCTATTCTTGCCGGTGTTTCTTTCTTTGCTCTGGGGTGGTTTATTAAGGGTTCTAATCCTTTGCCATCCTTTAATAAAGGCGATAAAGACGATGATAAAAAGAGCGCTGCTGGTGTTGTTGCTAAGGAAGCAGAGCGGGGCTTACAAAATGAGTGAGCTGAGATTTTTGGGGTCTTGTGTTCTGCCGGTTGAGGTGAGTAGAATATTGAATCTTTTTCATCTTAGGGGCAAAGAAGAAAAGTGGAATTGCTTCATTGTTATTAAATGGTGGAATAATTTCAATTTATGTACAGTTATATACATTCACTGAGATGGTTTAGGTGTTGAGGGAATTAACTTGTTGGTTCTTGTAGATGTTGTGACTTGTTTCTGCTGGAGCTTATAGTAGGCCAACTTATTTCTGCGTTATGATCAAATTGAAGAGGCCATGGCTTAGTTTCGCTGATGTTTTTCTTATGCTTTTCGTGGCTTAGTTAGATTGGGATGGATGAGTCTGTGAACTTGATTGTATTGCCGTCTGAAAATGTCGTGCTTGCTTACATTTGTTTTCATTGCAAGAGTGATTCTGTCATGATGCCTTGGTTGCTGTCTTTCACTTAGATACAGTGTCTCAAGAATACGTTGATGGTTAGATTTTTTTTAGGTTACCTGTGCGTACGTGGGCAAGCCACTTTGATGCAGCATTTACATTATGTTTCCTGGAAAGCCACTTTTGATTATTGCATAGCAGAGAAAAGTTACAGTTTTAGAGGGTCGCTTCAGATAACACACGTCCCTATGCCACTTTTGCAATTATCAGAACATCATTTCCTCAATGGCATCTTTATTAATTAAAAATAAAAGACATTTTATTGAGTCATTTTATAGCATTGATTTGTCTCGATGCAACCTTAACAAAGTAGGAATAAGTATTGAGATAGATGGTTTTGGTTTGATAATATTGCATTTCAAACTAGAGGATTTAAATCTAGTATTTCCCACACTTTTGATAACTTCATTGTTCTGGTGTCAGTTTGTTATTACCTCAATTAGGCTGAACTGTAGCATCGGGTTCAAGTTTCGTTTGTTAGAAATATGCGTATAGTATGGTACTTGCTGTAATTTGTATTGTTTGAATGACAAGGATAAACTAGAAAAAAATTTGTCCATTGCCTTTTGCCTTCTTTTTTGGCGGGTAGGGGGTTAGTGATCGGGAATTGAGCTTACTTTTTCGTGGTGCTCTTTTGTGAAGCTGATGACGGGTTAAGGCAGTTATTGCATTTTGCACCGTGTTCTGTCTGCAGATAATTTATACATTACGCTTTGTTTATACTTGGCCAATGGAAGTGTATAATATCATAACTTTTCCTTACTGCAGATGTCCCTTTGTAATTCATTGAAGTGGATTAGAAGGGTGATTTTGGTTTACCCGGCTTCAGTTTCTTCATGGCTTTTTTCAGAAATCGGGCAGATTGTAGATTCATGAATAAAAGATGAAGGGAGATTGCTGTAAATTTGGACCTTGCCTTTTTCGTAGGCTTGTATTCTCTAGGTGAAGATGCGAAATTGATACAACCTTTGTTTTGAGATTCCTGTTTTCTAATGTTGTACCTAAAAGTTGGCATTGATACATCATCGAGGAAACTGGAACATAATCAGAATGTTAAAGTTTCTAGTTGTATCTGTGTGAATTATGATATGTGATCTTGTGTTGCACCATGAGATCTATGTTCTGTCATGTGGACTTGTGTGTCTACCATTCATGTACAATTGAATTTAAGTCGAAAAGTACTAATGAATTCCGGTAATGATCTCCTTGAAATGATTAAATGGACAAGAATTTCTTGTTAAGGAATGAAATAAAGATAGCGCCAACAGAAACAGTTAGTATCTTGACTCAAAATATCATCTTTCTCCTCTCTCTCCTCTTTTTTTTTTGTTTTTTTTTTCCTCCTTTTGGTGATAAAATAGAACCTAGTTCTCCTGGTCAACTTCTTGTTGTATTGCAGATGTGAAGCATAAGTACTTAGTTATAGTTGCTACTGCATTCTGGACATGTTACAAGGCATGCTGTATAACTACCGATGTAGCTCTTGTTTGGTAAAAGAAGAATCCCAGATCAAATGGTGATATTTCTTCAGCTCTTAACCAGAGCAACAACCAGCTTTCTTAACAGCAGATACATCATCTCTTGATCCAATGTTTATGGTTTGCCCCTTTGGCAAAGCTGCAGGATCATCGCCAATGTCAAGAGCCTTTCTGCTAACAACCCGGTAGATCTGCGCCAGAACTTCTGTGAAGGCATTCTCAACATTCAGAGCCTCAAGTGCTGAAGTTTCCATGAAGAAGGTGTTCTCCCGTTCGGCGAAAGCTGTGGCATCTCCTATTGGAACAGCACGCAGATGACGAAGGTCTGCCTTGTTTCCTACCAGCATTATAACTATGTTAGCATCTGTATGATCACGTAGCTCCTTTAGCCATCTCTCGACATTTTCGTATGTCACATGACGAGTAACATCATAGACAACTAGTGCACCAACAGCTCCCCTGTAATAAGCACTTGTGATTGCCCGGTACCTGGAACAGAAAAAAGGACCATGGTATTAAAGAGATTGGACATTAGTACTCGTAAGTGGTCATCTGCTTCCATGATTAGCTGGGAAAAGCAACCTGAATTTTTACTATATAGTTGGTAATTCCATATCAGACTTAATATGGTGAGACGTTGCCTAGCATGTAGACATTCTAAAACACACTCAAGGGTAGCAGTTTAACTAAAGATGAAAGTTGCTCAAAATAAAAAAAATAATAATAATAAAAAAGGTTTTCCTCGTCTATCAACAAAATCAGGCTGTTATAATGTGTTAGATTGAGGGGTATAATAACAGTTACTCTAATCTTAATCTGTTCTCGGTAGAAATGGAGGATTGATTTTCCTATTAGAATCACATTCACATTTATAGCCAAATTCCTAAATCCTCTGAAGAGAAATAATGCCACAGGGGAAGAATGAATTAAAAAAGCCGTTGACACTGGCTTCATCACTTACGGATCTTGAAACATATCTTGTGTTGGTGTGATCAACGTAATGAAGATTATTAAGGGACAGGTTGAAAGAAAACCCAACAAAATCAAACCTTAAAATTCACAAACATCATGCCATCAATTGATCATATTTATTCATAGAAATCCACAGGACGGAAAAGAAAGACAGGTGTAATCGTAGAGCTTGCCTTTCTTGGCCAGCAGTGTCCCAAATCTGGGCTTTGACGATCTTGTCATCAACCTGAATGCTGCGGGTTGCAAATTCAACCCCAATGGTAGATTTAGATTCTTGACTAAACTCATTTCTGGTGAAACGAGACAAGAGGTTAGATTTCCCAACACCTGAGTCACCTATCAGAACCACCTTAAAGAGGTAATCATAATCTTCATCGGCCCTGTACGCCCCCATTTAGATTTTTCCGTCCTAAGTTTTTTTTGGGGGTAAAATTATTTGGTCAATCTTCAAGTTAGTTGGAGAAGGAGCGACAAAACCGAAGAAGAGAGAAAACTATATAAAATGCTATTGATTTTTTTTTTTTCTTGTTTTTTTTTTTGGGTTTGACTTAGATGTTTGATTAATTCGTGCGATGCAAAATGGCAATGGCAGAAACAAAGGTGTCCTAGTATTTAGGAGGGAATAGAGGTAAGAAAAGGTTGCGTAGAAAACTTTTATTTTATTTTCCTTTTTTTTTTTAAGGAAAATGCCTTTAAGCTAAATTAGTATTTCTTCTGCCCCAAAATTATTGTTTTTGAGTTTTTATTTTTAGTACAAATTGAACTAAAAGTAAAAATTCTGGACAAAAATTTTGGAATGAAAAGAGTACATATAATAGATAAACAATTTTAACATATTATATTTCAATCACGGTTTGATGACCAGTGATGGCGCGTATAACCATGGTGGCACATATAACCGATGTAATCAACCAGAACAGATTGCAGTTAATGAGACCATAATCAACATCAAATTATGCTTCTTCTTATATATAAATCCTCGCTCTGTTCTAAACAAAATAGTTTATATTGAGTTTTAATATTTGAGTAGAGTAACAATTTGAGTGTGGATCTTTACGTCATCGGCACGTACCAAATCTTGTAAGGGCGATAAAGTAGTGTGATATAGTATATCCAAGTATAATTGTCTCATAGAATATTGATGGACTTCGAGTTGCATGTGTTAAAGCATGTCCTTCGCTTTGTTTCTGCGCCAAGATCAAACTCTCCATAGTTAAATTGTTTCATAATTATTACTTGTCATTAATTTCTCCACCAGTAGTTTATGTACGCAAATCACTTGTCTCATCTCAAAGATCAGCTGCCACCATATTCCTCCTCATATCTCCGTGATCAGATACTACGTAGTATGTAATTCTTCTGCTGTAGCCTGTAGGTTATTAAATCAATCAGTACAAGGCATAATAATTCTGTGATTGTATTAAAAAAATATTGATGGTTGGTACTTCATGTAATAACAGTTAACGAATGTGACGTTAGAGAGTGGAAGAAGGAATGTTGCAGAGGTTGAGTTAGACCAATCACTCAACCTCAATCAATCAAAAACTTTCTGAAGTCTCTGATATATATATCTCTCTCTCTACATATTGTCTTACTCTTAACATATGTAAGAATTGAACTGTTGTTATGACCTTGCAAGTAAATACTCTGCATCACTCAAGCTAACTCCCCCTCGTGCACCCTTAATTGACCAATCGCCACCAACTCCCCCAACGCCCACCTTTTTTGTTCATCTTTCTTTGGATTCATGGGGTGATCACTGAATCTAAAAACAAGAATGTTTGCCGGATCCCTTCGTTGGTTTTTGAGCATTGTTTTTATTGAGGTTGGGGTCCAATCCAAATCATGCTTGTTACATCTGTATTGTTATGAGTATTATTAATATGCGCAAGTAGATGAGATCCGATTATCGTTGATTGAAATAATACTTTAAACTTTTTCCAATCTTATTTTGATACTATCTATATTTTTTTAAAAAATAATTTACATCGAGTTTTTTTTTAACTTATATTAAAAATAGTATGAAACTTAAAATTTAATTTGGACGATTTTTTAGACATAAGGTACATCAAAGCATATTGGCACACCAAATTGGTGGAGTGTAGTATATTATTATGATGGTTTTATAAGAAATAAACGTGAAATGTTGATGTGTTTAGTTGAAAGCTGAAAGTCGAAACATGAACTCCTTTCCCTTTTGGGTCAGATCGCCTGTTTTGAAGAAAAAAAAGGAAGAATTACGTTTCCAAAACAGTACAGAGAGGATTAGATAAGATCCATTTCATCATATACATTCAGTCGATACTCAGAGAGAGGTCTTGTTTTGTCCATAGTCCCCACAACTCCAAAGGGCGGGTGACCCACGACCATACTCATACTCCCTTTTCATCTATATCAAAAAGGGTGTATTTGTGTTTAGTTAATTATGAGGTTTTAATAATATTAACAGTCGGTTAATATGAAAAAAAAATCATGTAACGGTAATTAAAATACACTGCAACTTTGTGTCTCAAACAAAGTTATACTCAATTTGAATCAAAGTTTAGTCATATCAATCATATTGACGAGTACAATATCTAATTAATATACAACAATGTTGGGATTGCTGTGTTACTAGGTAATCAATTTTTATACATTAACCTGGCGGTGAAGAGGATTTCAATCAGGAGTCAGAACTAGAGACGTGATGTGGTGGTAATTAAAGGGTGGTCAACTATTCATGAACAATATTCATCATATGATGAAATGCGTATTTCAAGAACTAGGAGTAAAATATACAAATGCGATTGATTGGCTAGAATGCAATGATTCTATGTTTCAGGAAAATGACAAGCAGGTATTCTTCCTGCCGAAATTGACAACACATTAATCTGATTTTGCTTCTTGTGCTGTATATATATAGATCCATCCAGTCATCTACTCATCCATTTTGTCATTAACAGTCAAAGTCCTTTCAATATTTGCATTCTTAAAAGCCAACTAGTAGTAGCGCATGACTATCATCAGGCTGAAGACATCTTTTCTTTTCTTCTTTTTTTCCTCTTTTATTTTGTTTGGAATTGCATTCACTTTTCTATTGTTTTGGAAAAGAACAAATAAATTAAGGGCAATTGAATCTTCAGAGAGCCCTAGTTTTAAAGATTTCGCAAAGCAAAGGCAAACATTTTCAGGCAGAACATTGTTCAAAAGTCACTACTCGAATCATAATAAAATAAGGTAGTAGTAAATAGTAATGGCGCTGTGCAACGGAATTTCATCAGCGCAACATCTTTCAAGCGAAAGCAAACTGTGAAAAATGGTTATTTAATTTGGACCACAATCAAAATTTCCAAGTTTAGAAATGAGACTTAAATCCGATTTCCCTTCCCTGAAGGAAAAAGCACTGGGAATTCAATATGGCACAAACTATGTGACCAAAATGACATCACATTCCGTATAAAATTATTGTGTACCTTCATCAATCTATAAATTCATTTGATAACATATAGCAAATACATCACTATATATCGTGTCCCTTGTTTGTCTCAATATCTTTGCTGGAGTTTGAATTTATTTTTTCAGAGTTTTGGTTATCAAAAGAGTTGGGACAATTCAAATTCGTAATAGCTAGTGGGGATAGTAATTTCTGATGAACTCCAAAAAATGAATCAAAAGACGCAAGGGAAAAAAAAAACCACAAATATCCCATCAAAGATTACATATATATAATTTTATAAGTCAACATTGTACTTGTTGAATTAGTACGCTATCCAATCGTTTCATGAATTGGAACAAACTCCAGATTGGACTACAAAGTCTTGAAACCCTAATTGACTAGAACCTAAATAGATATCAAAGTAAATATACTAAAATGGAAGTCACAATCAGCTAGCTTAGCCCTTTTCTTCATCCTTCAAAAGCCACCTAAATCTGCAACCAAATGACGACACATTATTTAACTAAATAAATCGAAAAAAGGGAAAATCAAAATGCCGCTTTCCAAATTCCAATCCCCTCAGAAATCATCATAAAAAAAGGAAAAGAAAAGAAAGTTGGCTAAATTAAATAAAGAGAGCAATTAAGAAGAAATTAAGTACCAGATCATGAAGAGGGGTGTCATGGGGCGATGAAGTTAACGTGCGAATCAAGTAGTAGAAAGCACCATGCTGAAGTGGCTGAAGGGTGAGGCCCCACTCATCGGTCAAAACAGGTTGACCAGTGGAGTGTAGAAGCATTGCATCGTCACCAAATACTTCCCTCACGTTAATGTGTGCAGTTGTCACCTCGAACGCCACATCGTTTATGAAAACCGTCGATTTTGTTGTGTGAGTAGTAGCAGCTGGTCCAACCCCGCCCGCTTCACCGATTCCTGCACCGTCATCACACTCCATCATAATCCCCTTTGGTTCTTAATTCCATTCTCACATTAATATTAAAACAATTATTTATTATAAACCGACAATAATTATTACGAGATAATAAAAAAATGTAACGTTAAGTTAATAGTTAGCGTAAAACTCGGTCACATTTCATCAGTATTTAAAAAGACATTCTTCGTAAATTTTGATAATCTCTAAACTTTTAATGCGCGATAAGAAAGAGCGTTACAATACGTTAACAGTCAGCATAAAACCCGATCGCATATCGACATGTTCACATTAGGGTGTTCAGGAGAACTAGCTAGCAAAGTGCAGTAATAGTAGTCAATCCATGCACACGTAACTTCCAGGGAGACAGAGATCACAAAACGAGGGCCAAAGACAAATCTAACCTTGTCTTTTGTATGGTATGACAAAGCATGCCATCCTCTCTCAAAAAATTAATTGACAAATAGCAAAAAGGTAGATTGACCATACAGTTCACATCAATCACTTCCCCCATGAAATTTTTTAAAACAATGTCCCACTTGCATACATTTTTGTTTGAAAATTTTAGCATGACAAGGGACAAACAAACATCTCTCTCATTTTCTACCCCGAGCCAAAATTCCTCTTATCAAATTTATACAACAAAGTATACACCCACGAATGATTGGAATGTTGTAATTTAAACAAAGTGGGACTATTATTCACTAGACAGCTAGAGTGATGAATTCCATGTAACTTCACATATAATCAACAGTGAAACAAATGCAGGAGTACTTCAGAGATCAATCCTCATGTGCGGTTTCTAGGCGTTTTTCCCTTAGGAACTTGATAAACAAATTAAGAAAAGAAATCCCATTTATCTCAACTAAAGCTTTGATTCATTGCAGAATAAGTGAATTAACAGTTATAAGTTTCAAAAAGGGTTACCTTGAATGTGATCAATGGTGGATAAAGCAGCAGGAAAACACAAGGTTTGACTTTGGGTAGTAGTAGCACTTGAAATAGCTGTATTCACAGTACTGTAAATATCCACTGGCTGGTGAAGCTTGACCTTTTCATCATCAAATTTCTTGCTGTTTGGTGCATGATTCATCAGCAACAAATCACTCAACAGAAGACTGGCAGTAGAGTTTGGATGAATGCTAGTGTTGTTATTGTCATCAGAAGGAGCAGCAGGTAAATTATGATCATGGAAACAAAACCCTGGAGTGCTCAAACTAGCAGAAGATGGTGAAGCTGGTCCTAAAACGGGCGGCGCCGGCGGAGGAGGAGGTGGTGGTGGTGGTGATGAAGGTGGTGGGTGATGCACCGGGAAGAAGAAGGGCATTGAAAGGAAGTCAGTCATTTGATGAGGTTGGAAGAAGGGTTGCTGCTGGTTGACTGAAGCAGTGGGTGAATTGCTGGATGCATGATCCATGATGACATGATGATGTGCATTCTTGATGGATCCCAAAGAAAGGGTCTTTTGATCAGCGGATGAATTCTGTGAGGAAGATCTTTCAGAAGATGATGAAGATGAGGAAACCAGTGCAGTCTTTTTGTTGTTGTTGTTGTTGTTGTTGTTGTTGAGATAAGAAGTCTTGTTGAGGTTGCTTTGAAGTTGGCGCTGCTGCTTGTGTTTGCTTCTTGATTTCCGGTTCTGGAACCAGTAGAAAACATTGGCATCTCCGACTTGACCATATTCTTGTAACTGAGCCCTGATTTTCCTGATTTCATCTCTTGGAGGGTTCACCATTCCTGAGTTGAATATGGCTTCCAGTATCCTTATCTGCTCCGGCCTTGGGTTCCATCTTGGCTTCGGCTCCGGACTCCTCTCTTCGCAACCTATATGTTCAAATTCACAGTGATTAATCAAATCATCAACCACTACATCTCTCAACTTAAGTCACTAATATATATAGTATGAAGGAAATTTTTTTAAAAAAAAAGAAGGGAAAAAGGTTAAATTTTTAGGTCCAAAACTTTGTATCATCTATCCCTAACTAGTGACAAAAAAAAAATTAGAGATTGATAAATTACCTGAGGGAGCATAAGTGGGTGTTCTCTGGCAACCAGTTGAAGAGACTAAGGAAGAGTTGATGTCATGTTGCCATTGGAGATGAGAATTGCAGGGCTTGGACTTAAACATGCTTGGCCAGTGTCTATTTGATGAAGCCATAAATATATAAATGATGATAAAAGCCAAAATCAACCTTATATAGAAGCAGAAAGTTGGATAGATGGAGCTAGAATTTATAGGTACCAAAAGAAATGCTTATAATTAAGGAGGATCAGTACTGATGATGGTCGATTTTGTTAAACTGAAACGGAAGTGAAAAGCTTTAAAGAAAGCCTTTTTTTTTTTTGGTTGAGAAAGTACTCTCTTTCTCTTTCTTGGGTTTTCTTTGACAGTGATGAATGAAACCGCTAAGGAAACATAACGTCTCTTCTTATAGCCATATCCTCACCTACTTCCTGTTCATCATCAGTTCATGTATATATATTGTCATCATCAATCAAATAAAACATTATAAAAATAAATAAAAAACAGTCTTCTAGAGCTAGCTCCCCATGTCCCCAATATCTTATGATTAAAATTATAATAAAAAAATTGTGTATATAATTATAAATTTTTTTTTGATAAATTAACAGAGAGACACACAAAACACAAATACCCACAACCCACAACAGGAATCGCCTGTAAAATCACAAAAAAAAAAAGCAGAATTAAATGCAAAAGAGAGATCATGGCCAAAGATGGAGAAGTATAGTAGTAGCAGTAAGTTAAATTGTACAAGTACTACAAGCTAGCCCATACTTTGGTTTCTTCTTCTTTTTTTTGCTTTTTTCTTTTTTACAGTTTCCCTTTTTCTTGTTTCAAAATAGAAGAAGTGGAAATAATAAGTACAAGTTCAACCTTTTTTCTTCAGGGAAGAGAAGCAAAGAGAACATTGAAGAAGCACATGCTTGGGCTTAGATTGGAATCATGTTTTCATCAGAAAAGACAGAGAAAGGGTCTTAATGCACTGTTTGGGTTGGGGAGATGGGGTTTGTGTTTGTGGGTTTTTGGTTTGATTCTGAAGTCTGATCAGTTTGTCTGTTTGTATATATGCTAGATTTTTATCAGCCCCTTTATTTTTTTTTGGCCCCCTTTTTTTTCTGGGGTTTCTCACAGCTGCTTGAGAAGAGAGTTGATCTTGGCAGAGAGTATTAATGGGAGAAAGTTGAGAGTTTTTAAGTTAGTAATGGATTGATTATTCTATTTGAATGGAACAGATGGTTGCAGGATATATATATAAATAGGGGGATGAATGGTGAATTGGTGATGGTGGTAAAAAAGAATTATAACGTTTTTATTTTTATTAATTAAAGAGAAATTTGATTGTCTGATGCGGTGGTGAAAAGATTAATTGCGAGTTTGTTGCATCATGCATGGGCTAAGGCAACTAAGAGTTAATTTTTTTGGATTGACTCGAGGGCAAAATTTTCAAAGCTCAATCTCAACATTTAACATCCAGAAAAGGGAAACTTTCTGTAGCTAGCTAGTGACAGTAATCTCTTGTCGAAGAACAAAATATTACTAATAAAATTTCAACCATATGCTCACTATTTATTTAGCAATTTGTTAATTACTGTAATTGGCGACTGAAAAATTTCGAATTACGAACAAAGGTTATTAAAATTAATGGAAAGATGATAAAAGTACTATGTTTTTGGCTCTTTTGTTTATTTGTTAAGACGGTCATATATGATGTACTATGAGAAATTAACTAGGAAGTTAAAAATAAAAAAAAAATTGTTTCACAGGAGTAATAGATGGCCTCAAAAATATCTCAAGCAACCTTCTCATGAAAAGAAAAAGGAATAACTATAATATATATGATTTTCAGCACTACATTAATTTGTTTTAGTTTTGTTTTGTGAATCAATGACATCGATTGGAAGTTATTACTATATTACAAGGTGGAGGTTAATTAGTTGAGCTATTTTCAAGAATTAGAATAGGGAGAAAACTTCAGTGATTCCTATGTTTAACCGAGTTTAGCATCAAATTGATGTTACCGACAATTTTCATCCAAATTAGTGATAAAAACCTAACCAAATGATGATCGATTTCAGAGCATGTCCCTCCCAAATGATGTTATTGATATTGGACACTATTAGTACTACTAGCTGGCTAAATAATTAGGTTATCATATATATGGTATGATGTAGATAGATAATGTAGAGTTCGAAATTGTTGCAAATGGAGAAATGGACCAAGCCACTTTGGCCATAGGTTCAGAGAAATGATGAAATTCTATAATGTGATTGTGAGGTGGTGAAACGAGGAATGGTTTGAGTGCTGAATTTTTATATGAATTAATATTGCCGCAGGTCACCGGCCGGCCATATTGCAACTTGAAATAGTGCATGATCGATCATTAGGTTAGGCTCCCTTACCAGTACTACTAATTGTATCATTAGCTAGTTGACAATTATCCCCCTCCGGTGTCCGATGTCTAGTGTCCACCAACAGTGGCCATCAGAAATTTTACCTCAATCAAAAACGAAGTCCTATATATCTTTAAACCTCCACATTTCCTAATTGCATATTGGATCTTCTTACATTTTTCAGGCCGAAATCTTACATTGCACTCCCTCCGTCCCATAATTATTGTCCAGTTTGGGGTTTTCATTTCTAGTTCAAATTATACTAAAACTGAATCCTCAAATTGGACAATAATTTTAGGACAGAAGGAGTAGATCAAATAATGACCGATAAATTTGACAAAAGAAAAAAATCAAAACATTTTTTCGAAAAAAAAACCAAGCTAATTTCACAATCCTCCGGAAGACTATACTAGTTAGGAATATTTGGGTTTCCTCAAAGTACTAATCCTACTTACGCAACAAAATAAGCAGAGATTTGAGTCCGCATCGATAATCCCAAATAACCAGAAATGGAGTAAAACACCAATATAAACGCGGAAAATGGAGGTCTAGGCATGAAGTTAAATTGGCACCAAACTGGTTTGACCAAAGTAAATTAATGAACAAATCCGCAAATCTTGATGGACACAAAGGAAAGAAAAGTTGGAACGACTCCGGTTTTAAATAATGTTTGTTGTTTTTGATTTTGGGGCCTAACCGAAATCAAAGTCCAATGAAACATCATTCATATCGTTCTAGTGCATGACTGTGTGTGTGGAGATCGCACTCAACTTCCCATGCAAATACTCCAAAGAAAAGAAGAAGCAAAAAAAGAAAAAAAAAAAAAAGGGAAAAAGAAAGAGAGTTAGCAGTAATGGTTTGGTCTACGTGGTGTCGGTGCGATTCCGACATGCAAAGTTCAAATTCAACTCTCGAAATGTCAATTTCTCCCCTTTGCCCATAACTCCAATGTGTCTGTCCTCCCCCTTACCACAACTTCACATTAGTTTTCACCTTATCTCCGATCCCTCTTTATTTGGCTTAAAAACCTACACATTTACATTAACTCAAAGTAAATCTGACTTTACTAAAAACCGTTCATGTCGATTGGAAAATAATCTATATTTATATGACGTTTATTATCTTAAAAATATTCAGCGATTGTACATACTAATGTAGCAAGAAAAAAAATAATTGTAACCGAACTCTTGAGTAACATTTACATATTTCCATTGTTATAGCCTTATAGGTACAAATTTGAAATTTTGTTTAAAAAAACAACAATTGGGTAGCATAGAACCCTAGCTTCTCACATAGACAAGTTTGAAAATGTAAAGGAACGAATGAAACAAGCTAAATAATTGAGGATAAGTTGGGCATTTTGGGAGACAGCAATTTTACATTGTGCCTCATCTAATGTAGATATAGATAGAGAACTTACACAAAAAAAGGGTGTAAAAATTCACAATCTCATCAGAGGTCTTTCAGAAACTCAGAATCTCTCACACGGCCAATGGCCTTGTTTTGGCAACAGTTACTAACTTTCTAGGCACAGTTGAATTTTCCTTTTGAATTTTTTTTTTGGTCAGTTTATTGGGGTTAAGACGTCATTCTTTCAGTACGGTACTATCAGTCCTCACCAACGTGTGCACGTTTACGAAGTTCATAATCCTATTCGGCGTAGGGATGATATCGATCGAACTTACAGTAGCCGTACGATTGCGAGGTGATATTTATTGATGATGATCGATTGATGTCTTCTACTCTTCTTGATGAATGATGATCAATCATCCTGTCTCTCTCTCTCGCACCCCATCTTTTCTGCAGTATAGAAGCAGTAGTGTATTTATTTCAACTTTTTTCCTCATCCCATTAGCCTTTTTTTTTTTTTTTTTTCTGTATCTCACCACTTTGTCTCTACCAAATATGTCACACAAACTTGTGGTTCATTTATGTGTACTTTTTATACGTGAGTTAAGGTTTTTAGTAGGTATTAGTTTTGGATGTGGCAAAAGATATAGTAAAAAAAACAAAACAAACATATACTAATGTTCATGTTTCTAATTAAATTACTATGTTAATTAGCTTTGTAAACCCTACTAATAATATCTCTTTCAACCCAAAATTTAACTTAGTTGGATTGAAACAATATAACACAATGAACTATTAAATGAGACAGAAGGAGTATTTAATCATAACTGGTCAATATCTGTAACTATAATCAGCTATGTCACAGCTAGCAAAGATTTCAGCATTCCACTTTATCAAATCCCCACATTTCAACAGAAATTCTTCTTATTGACTAAGATGAATATACCCTTGAAAATGTATCCGGATTTTTCTTTCTTGTTTTTTTTTTTGTTTTTTTTTTTAAAAAATAATTGAATTAGGAGTCTTAACTAAAGACCATCAACTTCAACGATTTAAAAATTCAACAAAAGAGGGAAGAGCATACTTTGGGAAATAGGAAAGACTATTTGCAGAAAAAAATATTTAGGGGGGTGTCTTTATATTTAAGCATGCACATGATCACAATGAATGTTCCCTTTTTGGAGAAATAGGTATGTGTGTCTTTGCGAGAAATGCGCTAACAGCTTCACTTAATGCAAACGTGAGTGCAGTAAATACACACCATGTGTTTGATTAAATGCCCCAACCATATACTGCTAATACTATTCTTATACTTGCAATTTCGAACTCGCATTTTGTTAAACATTATTCTAGACCAACTTCGATGAACTAACTAAAAAAATGAACAGTAAAATTTTATATGTACTGTACTTTTTCAAGTTTTTGTAGTGAATATGAGTTTACCTAGTAGTAAAAATTAGAGCCTAACTAGTTGTGTTTGTAAACCGAAAATTGCTGTTCGAATATGTCTAGAGTTTTGTGTACATGTTTTTATCAGTTGTACATTTATCAAAATTTGATAGCAATTCACATTTCACACTGTTGTAGTAGTATTTATTTCTCTTCTCAAAATCGATCCGGCAACCACGGAAACATACTGCAACAGTTTCCTTAGAATATAACCTGGTGCTCTTCGTTTGTCTGGGAAAAATTTATCACCATCCTTGGAAATTGAGTATGACTGTAGAAAAACCACCTGTTATTATCTCATAACCTCTAACGCTTATACTTATTCATCACCGTAGTACTACTAATTAAGAAAATGAGAGAAAAAGAATGACACGATGAATAGAATAGTGAATGATGTAACATAAATGAAATAGGAACGAGATATCAATTTTTTTTTTTATAGCCATTGCATTTTATAAAGTGCGCATTCTTCATTATTTGCTTATGATGATTCTCTTGGAAAGGGACAGCTGAATGCTTGAAAGGATTATAGGAAGGTCAATATTTGTAGAATTTCATGAAAGTGCTTAACAAAGTTGGGAATGTCAAACATGTCAAATAATAATAATAAAAAAATTTTGGTGTGGCCGTTAATTATTGGTAATTGAGTTCTAAACATATATTCCGAGTGAATTAGAATCTCCGTACGAGTAACATGTCCCGATGATTATTGCTGGGGTTTATGTTTTTTGGCCTTTACAATTACAATACTAAAATATTCGACACCTTAATCTTTGTTTAAGCTCTTGGGTACAACGTTAAACTAGGTGGCCAAACAATTCACGATTTCGTAGAGACAACAGAATTTAAATATTGCTACCAATACAGATAGAAGATTCGCAAGCAAATGCACGTATGCTTCAAAAATAAAATAATGTCTTCAGATGATTTTTTTTTTTTTAAAAAAAAGTAGCTACTAATGATTTATGGACCACTTGTAATAACTTACAAATAAAACCAGAGGGATTTAAACTAAATCACTTTTAACGTCGACAGCAACATGTTTATCGCAAGAGATGAATCACTTGAGCAAAAAGATATTTTGGTACTCATAATTATTTTAAAATAATAATACGTAATTATATTATTTTATGGTTCACTGGGATGGATTTTTTTTTTAAAAAAACCATTATTTTAAATTTAAGCAATTATATTTCAACAATATTCTAACAATTGACGTTCATAAACTAAATATATATTTTTTATTAATGAATATTTCCTAAAGCTGATAAGGAAGATAGTTGAACTGTTGAACATATTACATCATGGACGAATATATATGACGTGGTTTTCCACATCTTCTGTTACTATATAATTTTTCTTTCCCTAAAAGAAGGGAAAAATAAAGGAGAAATTATGAGCGAATATGGTGTGGGCCTTTTCATAAGGCGAAAAAATTCATCCAAAATTTAAAGGAAGACACAAGGCCTAGTTCGCTTGGGGGCCTTTTTCTTCACTTTGGGTGGTCGCAAAGCCACCTTTATCGCTGTATCGAATACAGTTTTCACATTCTGAAACCCAACAACCAAAACAGCCTTAGATCAAGCTTATGATATTAAGAAATTAAATTAATACCACAAGAATGACGATTATTTTAGGACGCGAAGGATACTTGATTGAAATGAAAAATTCTCATTCGGTTAATACCTGCTGAGTTCTTGAACTACACTCAACATAAGCAACTGCCCCGATAATTTTCTTCAGTTCCTCACCCTGCTTTCAAAAAATAAATAAGGAATTACATATAATATATATACTAGTACTAGCATTAAAGTCTCAAGGGAAACAGAATAATAAAGCTGTTAATTAAATCAAGATAAAAATGGACTAAACAAATTAACAGGAAGCGTTTTCCCGTTGGAACCTTACCTGGGCCGTTGTAATTGGACTAGCACCTGGATGATCACTAATATATTGCTGGTCTTCTCTCAAGTCTGAAATTACAATTGTCAGGAGCCCATCAGTTGGTCCAGCTCAACAAAGAGAGACAAATCAAAGTTAATTGAAAATAAATACTTTCCCAAGAGATACAAAAAACTTAGAAAATCATTCTGGAATGGCGAAGCTGCTTTCAAAACTTTACCAAGTTTAGTGCCGACGAGGACAATTGGTACATTTGGCGAATAGTGTCTCAACTCGGGGATCCACTATTACATGTAAAGCATGATTTTCAAGTTAAGATAGGTCTAAAACAACCATAAACACTTTTAGAAACTTTAAGATAATCTTAATTTAGATTACTGTGTAAATATATCTCATAAATTCTTCTCGATATTTCAGATTACCTTTTTGTAAATGTTTTCAAAGCTGGCTTTGCTGACGAGAGAAAAAGCTAATAGAAAAATGTCAGCTCCTCTATAGCTAAGAGGCCTTAGCCTGTTGTAATCTTCTTGACCTGCGGCATTTAATTAGATAATTGGTCAATTTATATTTAGATCTATTGTAATAAAAAAAAATCATTTCCAAAAAAGAGAAAAAAATAATAATATAAGAAAGAAACGCAGAACGTTTATATATAGGAAACCTGCAGTATCCCAGAGGCCAAGGTTCACCGTACTGCCATCAACCACCACATTTGCACTGAAGTTATCAAACACAGTCGGAACATAATCCTACAGGGATTAGAGATCACAATTACGTATTTCTTCCATTAATAAATTCGAAACACTCAACATTATAGAATACGTATATATATAAATAAATTTGTACCGTCGGAAAAGTGTTACTAGTGTAGGAAATGAGCATGCAAGTCTTTCCCACAGCTCCATCTCCAACCGTGACACATTTTATAAATCTTGCAGTTGTCATTCTTGATGATTGTCCCTCTCCCAAATCCCGGATCTTCTTAATATATACTATAAATCTTTCGGATATTTTCAAGGGATGATCTATAAAATTATAGTGATCTTGTGAAAAAGGGGAAAATGAAAAGAAGTAATTATTGAGGTTATGGAAGTGGAGAGGTTGAGAATTTAACAAGTTAAGGCCAATATATACAGACAGAACAATTATTATTAGTTCAGGAACAAGCTTTTTTCTTTCCTTAAAGTTGAAGTCCCCGGAGGATGACAAAAAGGGATTGCAGGAGTACCAAAGTAGGTATAGTGCGTGTGGTTAGTTGGGTTTAAGTATGCCACAAGGGATCAAGAAAATGAGAGGGTTTTTGCTTAGTTTAATTACCATGTCCTTTCATCGTCCATCATTAGACACATTGAAGAAAGCTTTTTTACAAAACAGTAAATAGCTAGAAGTAAACAATAAGTTATCTGCCAACACATTATTACTAGCAGCTTCCTCTGACTCAAACGATGGTAATCATATTTGTTTGTTATTACTATAATTTAATACCGACAATATTCTTATTTTGAATCGGATGGAATATTGATTATTTATGATATTTTTCGTTCATGAATTCTTTTTTAGATTCGTGATTAGATCAAAGCAATGTTTATGTAGTAATTCAACCTTGCAATGTTATTCAAAGGACAAATGGAACTTTCCTTCATAGGACTTTTGACATTCTTCCTTGTTTGGAAGACCCGAAGAGTATCAATTTTCTATTAACTGTACTTTGGACTAATTATACGTACCATTCCGTTGTAAGTTAGAAGTTTCAACTGCACATCCTAGTGTGGTAGTGGATGAACAAATTTATCTCCGACTTGTGGATACTCCGGTCCGGGTTTCACTCACAAACACAGGGCATCCCACATTTTTCAAAAAATGAAAACAAAATTCTGAGTATAAGATCTCTCTCATGCCTTACAATTGATCTTCACAAGTGAGAAAATAAATCTTGGATCCCTTGTCGTAAGAACACGTTGAAACGGACCATTTTCCCATGTAGCTTAGAAAATCAAGTTGGGAGGAAAGGTCATCCCTTCCGTCATACAAATTAAGCAGTCTATGATGATCCTCAATTCAATCCACGGATTAGAATGACTATTGACAACAAACATATTCATAGGTGAAAAGCTAGCAAAATAGAATAAAGTAAAGCAGATAAGAAGAAAAGAGAAATTTAGTCCTTAGATTGTTTTTTTTTCTTGCTATATGCCTAACACAAAGTTCGCACATCCAACCTTCTAAAAAAATATAAGAATGGATGAGGCAAATATCCACACTCAAAAAAAAAAAAAAAAAAAAAACAAAAACAAAAACAAAAACGAGAAAAAAAATGAGTCCCTCCCACTTTAATCACAACCACTTTCATTTTAGTCAAGATACTTTGACCATGTAAAAAAATGTCAGCGCATAGTATTTTAACCCTTTTAGCTCCTAATGTCTTTGATCGGCTAATTTTCGTTTTAATATATGCATACTTTGATTATAAGACATTACTTAGTTAGATATAAACTTTTGTTCACTTGGCTACATTTAGACATTGCTCTCTTAGTTATAGTGAATCGGTCACTTTGGTCAGCAAACATTTCTCTCTTGTTTATTAATTAGACCTTACTCTCCTGGTTATACGACTGAATTGGTTACGCTGAATTGTTCACTTAATTCTTAGGGTATTATCCTAACTCTCGGTTATGAAGAGTATTGTTCACTTTATGTTATTAGTATTATTATGATTTGAAGGTGTGAGTATCGCTCAATTGATTATAAAACATTGCTCACTTGACAATAAAGGGTTGCTCATTTTATTGTAAAAAGCATTACTCACTTGGATAAAAACTAATATGTTAATACTTGTTTCTTATGAAAATTTAGATTACGCGCTCTCTATCGTCTCAGCTCTGTAACATCCCATGAGCATATAAATAAACCCTTAGAAACGATACAAAATGTGCATTTAAATAAGATTGAAATTTCCAGGGTCTTTAAAAAGTTAATAAATAAAAATAATATTCCTAACACCCAACGTTCAATACTTTGTCTTATCCAAGATTTGAAATTTCTATAACACGCTGTGTGAAAATTGTTCTAGAAAATTTTGCCAGCTGATGGGTATATTGCACTAGAGGCCAATTGCATGAAGTCAATTGCGTTTTGGAGTTGTTCTCTCTCATTTTCCCCGTTGTAACGCAACAACAGAAATCTGGATTGAGAACTGGCAAATGGCTAATTAGCTTACGTAAGATTTACTTAATTAATTAATCATGTCCTACATATATATATTAATCCTGGTCATCTAGCCTTTTCTAGGTCATGAAATCATGGAATTTCTACTTAAAAAGAACCTGTGTTCACAATTAGCTTTTACTATCAAACGGTCAATTTCCTTCATTTCCCTTCTTTTTTCCTCTTCTAATTGGCTAATCCTTTGACTAAACTGATTATAAATCTTTCTAGTAAATGCCCCTGGCTCCATACAAATTATATACCATTTTTTGTGTGTGTTCCCACCGATCCACCCCAATATAAATAACTTCTTAGTAGTGAAATGTATATAAATAGATGGTCAAAAGAACCACAAAGCAAAAAAAAAAAAAAAAACAAAACTTCAAACACTTAGCACTAATATTGCAATTTGGAAATGGCAACGCAGGGAGAACTACAATTGCCTCTTGATGAAAACGATTCTGAAGAGATAGTCTTATATGAAATTCTCAATGAAGCAAATGCGCTTTCTTCTTCTTCTTCTCCTCCTTACTCCCAATATTTTCCTTCTTTAATGAACCAACATTCTCGCCGCGGCCATATAGCCAAGAAGCAGCATTACAGGGGAGTTAGGCGTCGGCCATGGGGGAAATACGCGGCGGAAATCCGGGATTCAACCCGAAACGGGGCTCGGGTTTGGCTGGGGACTTTTGAAACTGCTGAAGATGCAGCTTTGGCTTATGATAGAGCCGCATTCAGGATCCGAGGTGCAAAAGCTTTGCTCAATTTCCCCCCTGAAATAGTTAAAGCGTCAATCGATCAATATCAGTTCACAATGATCGGAAATAAAGTTCGTCAAAGTCGTCCCAAACAGAGGTTATGTACACCTTCCGAGACTACAGATCAGCAGAATAAACAATCCAGTTCCACATGAAGCATTGTTTTTTTAATGTCACTTGATAATTAATCTAGTCCCTTTTGTATATTCCTTCGTCTATTAATCTTTTTATTTTTATTTTTTTTCCCCTTTACGAAAATTTCCCGTGCATGCTTCTGAAACTAAGCAGATAAGTGGCGACAATGTTATGAAAATGTTAACAACTAATTGAAAATTTCACCTAACTCACATCACCGGAGATTTACTGTTCCACGAGAAGAAGACCCAAAAAAAGATAATAATAAAATACAAAACTAAACTTTGCACTTTCTTCAAGCTTTGACTTTTGATTCCAGTCATCCATCTTAAGAATCCTCTTTTGGGTCAAAATTATTTGGAATTTTGCACGTTTGACTTTGGATAACTCACAATTTCTATGGCTGTTTTCTTTTTTTCTTTTCTTTTTTTGGTTACTAAAAGGGAAACAAATTAACACTGCCCAATGTAGCTAGATAACTACAAACCAACCCTACCACATTATGATTGAAACAAAAAATTGTAGGATTAGTCTCTTTTTTTTTAAAAAAAAAAACCTTTATATTACTTAATTAAAGATATCTAAACTATTACATCTCATTCTATTATAAGCTAAGTTGTGCATTTCATAAACGTCTTGTCAACTAACTTTAATCAGTTCACAAGACTGAAATGTGAAAATTAACGATAGTAATAAAGAGGAAATTTTCTGAGTTTCGGCAGGAATTAATGGCCAGCGTAAATCACCTATTAAAACTTCACAATCGGTGTGGACTTTAACTCGAGTGATACCCAAATTGGCAGCCTCTTGTAATGTGAATAGACAGGTCATGGCTTCAGTTTGGAAAGGAGATAGAGCGTTAAAATCAACCTATCTAAGTTGCATAACCACACCATGTTGCGATGTTATTTTGCAGGCCCATGATGCTCTTCTCATGTGTGGATTAAAGGAGCCATCAAAGATGATGACAGACTCCAAGGATTCAGTCAATTGCTGGCGCGGCTGTATAGTTAATCGCTGCCTTCTTCTGAGCTGGTTATGTGACAAGCCGTCGTCACACTAGTCAAATAATAATTACCTACTTAATACAATTACTAGTAGTAAAGTAGCAAGCAGGGTCGATCCCACAGAGAAGGAATACTAATTACCAGGTATAAATTACTCCTATTATTATCTAGATAAATAATGATCTCAGATTTATAAAATTTAAACTTAAAATAAAATAAAAGCAAATAATATTAATTCAAATAATCAGACAAAGAAAACCTAGGACATTGGGTTCACCTACCAAATATTTGGGTTAATTCAATTCATAACTATCTGACTTTTATCTTCCATTAATCTCATAACGATTCACCTAATTAAGAACTATACACTCTCGTGTTATAATTCTCTTACTTAGATTAACACTATGACTATTCTCGTGACTATAGGGATTAACAAAAGCACATTAAGATCATTAAGAATCAAATATTGCAAAGGTTATAATCTTACTCTCGTAGCTTATAACCTAAGTTTATTATTCTTACGAACTAATATTAATCTTCCACTCTCGCTACTTCGATTAATACCTTCAGACATGTAAATAGTGGCCAATTACTTACACGAATTAAAACAAGAATAACAAATATTAATTAATGGAAAAATCAAATAAAAATAAACCAAATAAACCAAAATAAATTCGGTGGCTACACCCAAGCCCTAGATTAAAAGAATTTAGCCACTAAACATTATTAAAATTAATTCAATAATATTTAGAGACATAATAAATAAAAAAAATTAAATAAATTAAAACTTCAAAACCGAATGAAGCCAAAAATCCCGCCAAACTCCCCGCCGGTTGCTCGCTTTGCTTCGCGGCTGCTGCTTCGGTGGTGATGTGGATGATGATGCCGCCGGTGGAGGAGATTGAAGGTGGTGATTGTGGTGTGGGTGCTGCGCGAAGGATGATGGAGAAGGTGCTGCTGCTGTGTGTGCGAAGGCAAGGGAGTAGGGTGCTGCTGGCTTTCTCGGCGTGAAGAAGCGAGAGGTGGTGATGATCTTGCCGAAGAGAGGTGAAGAAGTGGAGGAGGGCTGGTGCTGCGTGGTGGTTATGGAAGCACAGCGGCGGTGAAGAGGAAGGCGGCGAAGGAGGAGGGAGTTTGGTGGTGGTCGGCGGTGATGGAGGTTTTAACCGTAGGGTTCGGTGGTTTTCGGTCAAGTTTCGGTTCAGTTCTGTTGTAAAAATAAATCCCTAATCCCCTTTTTATAGACTTCCGGCTAAACCCTACTCCTTGAAGAACAAGAAAACTTGTTTCCCAATTAATATCGGGATTAAAATTCTTATCCAATTCCAATCCCAAATCGGCCGCATAACCATAACCTTCTCGGCCAATTTTCCAAAAACTTAATTAACCAATCCAAAATTACATCATTGGCCCTCCAATTCTCTAAACTCATTAATTTCCTCCCCATCAATTGCTCCAATCTTCAATTTTTTTCCCATTGAGTTGCTTTTAATTCGATTTTAGCTCAAAACTTCAACAATTCGTCATTTGAGTACAATTCCTACAATTAAAGATAAAATCACATAAATAGCATATTTGTACTCAAAATATATTGCAAAAATCACAAATTAGGGATATAATAAATAGGTAAAATATAAGCATATCAAATACCCCCAAACTTGAATTATTGCTTGTCCTCAAGCAATCCCAAACATTAAACAAACAAAAACATTTAATTATTTAATTTGGCGGCCTCAGAGATTTAATCACATCATATAACACAAAAATTTCGACTACCTCTAGTATGGACTACCGAACAATGCAAACCATAGCTACTTTTAGCCCCCACGCTTGTGTGTGTGTGCTTCGTTTCTTAGGGACATCACTTTACATTTAACATAGAAAACAAAAGCTCTACTGCAAATATGCCATTTACTTTAACAACAGACTCACGTTTCATACCATATTTCAATGCAATGGACCACCAGACATACTATGAAGTAAAAGGACTTATCTCACAGACAACCTATTCCCCCTCGTAACCCATTCTTCGGTCCATGCGGCTTTTCTTCAGGACTCTTTCCAACTCAGGCCACTACCCAGAGCATTTTTCCACTCCTATACATAGTGGCTCAGCAACTTAGGGCAGTCTACATATCTATTTTTCCTCACCGGGCCTGAGGACTCTCCGCTCAGGTTGCCAATTCCTCACCTCTCAAGGGGCTAGCATCAACATTGAATGCTCTTCCTTTTCTCCCTCATTAAAATTTACCTAACCTCAGAAGCATCCGCCAACACCCCTCCCCCAAACTTACTTAACACAAAGTGTCAAAGCAATAAGGTTTTTTAAGGCTGATATTAGGTTAATGCCTTGCTTTTCCTTCACAACATGATGGGTTCCACATACAAATCATATAAGTATGAGTGAATCAAACAACTTTTCATGGCATATCTACATCAAACTCATGCAACTATATCTCACTTTAGGCTTATCCCACAGTCACGACTAAGTGCAAAAGAAACAGGGTATTCAAAGCAACATACAGAAATACATAAGTTAAGCAATACAATTCAAAATAGTCTAATTCTTACATGCTATAGATAATCAAACCAACTTCGTCATAGGCCTTTTTGGATTTTTCAATTTTTCAATTTTTATGGGTTTTTTTATTTAAGAAAAACAAACATAAAATAAACATAAAACGCATTCCTCTCCCCCACACTTAAAGTATACATTGCCCTCAATGTATAAAACACAAAAGACACACAACCAAGTGTAAAGAAAAGAAAAGACATAAACAAAAAGAATGAAAAGAAACGACACAACCTTGGGAATGTGAAGCGGAGGACCGGAATTGTTGAATAAATTGTTGCAACTGCCATTCAAACACACGACCAACTTCTACAGAATTTTGGATGTTTCATTTTCAGCACCATTGGACACCAGAGTTTCAACCTTCCAACAAACCTAATTGCAAACTGAAGGAAATAAAAAAAACAAACCTAAAAACAGATGATTAAGAAAAACCACGAAAATCTAGAAATCAAAGATCTCCAGATAATCAGGAACAAAAAACTTAACCATCAACTTATTAATGAAAGAAAAAGAAAAATAAAAATAAAAATAAAATAAAATAAAATAAAGCAAATTAAAGAATTGGGTTGCCTCCCAATAAGCGCTTCTTTAAAGTCATGAGCCGGACTATATGGCTGATCAATCAGGTGGACGCTCAATCAAAGAGTGGGAACCCCTTTGATACATCATTCTTCTTTTGTCTCCAACTGCACCTACATCACTGATACACTTGTCAGGAGGGTCATTAAAATTAGCAATAAACACATCATTTTTATCTGGCTCCTTAACAGAATCTACTCTAAACACATGATGAGTAAATGCAGGGCATTTGTAATTTTCAGAAAAAATGAACTCCACAGATTCTTCTCCAATATGAAATTTTAAACTCCCCTTTTTAACATCTATAACAGCACCAGCTGTGGCTAGAAATGGTCGACCTAAAATAATTGGCACATTAGCATCTTCTTCCATATCTAACACAACAAAATCAACAGGGATATAAAATTTCTTCACTTTTACCAGCACATTTTCCAAAATCCCTTTCGGATGAGTTATGGACCTATCAGCTAATTGCAAAGTGATGTTAGTTGGTTTCAAATGTTTCAATCCAAGCTTTCTACAAACAGATAAAGGCATCAATGAAACACTAGCACCTAAATCACATAAAGCTTTATTAAAACAAACATCACCCATAGAGATAGGAATAGAGAAACTCGCTGGAATCTGAGCTAAAGCATCTGCAAAAGGAATGTTAATATGCAATTGCCTAAAAATTTTCAAAAATTTCTCAAACAACCTATCTTGCTTGGTCATATGGAGTCTCTGCGGAAAAGGCACTGGTGGAACATAAGGTTTAAGCGGTGGTGGCACATATATCTTTTCTTCCTCTTGTTCCACTTTCTCCACTTTTTCTTCATTAATCTGCTTACTCTCTACTTTCTTCTCATCAGTGGTCACATTCACTTCAGTGGTCTTTGGTTCCTCCTTGTCACCCAACTGCTTCCCACTTCTCAACATGATAGCACTACAATTTTCACGAGGGTTGATTTCAGACTTGCTTGGCAGTTGACCTTGACAACGAGTATTCATGGCGGAGGCCA